ACACTCAATGGATCAATAACCCTCACTTTAACCAATATGGAAATTTCAAAATACCATCTCAATTCAATTCTGGGTGGCATTCTCAAGATCTAACCCATTCTGGATATACATCTCAACCCCAATTCCAAAACCAATTTTATCCGAAATACACACCTCAATTTCAAAATTCACTTTATCCACTTACACATCTCAATTCCAAAATCCATCTCAACAACCCCCATACACACCTCAATTCTAACATTCATCTCAGCCTTCTCAATCACAACCACCCTCAAGGAAAAAGGGTGGGAATTGGTCCGAAGAAGAAGATATAGCATTGTACAAAGCATGAATCATGATTGGTGAAGATCCAGTGACGGGTATAGATCAAAGTAAGGCTACATTGTGGCAACGAATTCACGCTCATTGGGTTAGGCAAATCGGAGACATGATGACGAAAGAAAGAACACACAGTGCTTTGATGAACCGTTTTTCACACTTTCAACGTGAAGTAAACAAATTTTCAAGATACTACAAAAATGTCCACGACAATCCAATCAGTGGCTACAACGAGAATGATTTGGTAAGTTTTTACTTTGTTCAATATTTTTTCATTCTTAATTTTAATCTAACTTATTAATTTCAATGATTATTTATTTTTATAGATGAATACTAATAAAGATGCATATAAACTTCAACAAAAACAAAAATTTAAATATGAGCATTGTTCGAATGTTCTTCGGGATTCGAAAAAATGGCGAATGCATTGCAACACTAAAAAAAATCCAACTAGACAACCAATGAAAAGATATGTTGATCTTGATATTAATGAGCTTAGAAATTGGTCTGAATCAACTCCAATAACACCAGGTTCATCAACTCTTGCAATATCAACTTTAGGTTCGATAAATCTTAATTATGACGATACACTAGTCGATACCGAAGGTTTGAGTATCTCACACCCCGAGGGACGAAAAGCAAGGAAGATTCGTAAAAAGAAAACGTCATATCTTGAAACAAATATTCTTAAACAATTGGAAACAGTAAAAGTACAAGGTGTCATCTTTGGTGAAGCAGGTGTGGAAGGAGAGCGAATGAGACTTCAACTTTCCATGGAGAGACAACGGACTAAGCAGTTGGCAATAGAATCAAATTTGGAGAAAGAACAGACTAAACATTTAGAAATAAAAACGAAAGAAAGGATGGCTGAAATGGAGTTTGAAAGAGATATAAAGCTCCAACAGAAGCATCAAAGGCATGAATTATTCAACAATAAAATCAAATCTTAAATAAACTAAATCAAGGGGGTGGTCATATGTAATTTATTTATATTTGTGAGAAAATATCCAATGTCTTTTTATTTTATTTATTTAATTGTAAGAAAATATGTGATATCTTTTTTTATTTTATTTATATAATTGTAAGAAAATATGTAATGTCTTTTTTTATTATTATTTTATTTATGTAATTGAGAGAAAATATGTAATGTATTATTTATTTATTTATTTAATTGTCAGAAAATATGTTAATTTAAATGTATTAAAAGAATTATTCCATTCAAATATATAATAAAAAAATTTCAAGTGGTTGAAAGAGTAGTCGTTTTAAAAAATACAAACAAACAAAAAAATAAATATGTTTTTAATTTTCTTTTTACTCAAAATATTAAATATATTAAAAAAATACAAAAGAAATAATAAAATAATAAATACAACAATTAACCCATATTGTAGCTTACGGATAGCAATAAACCGTAGCTAGCACTATACCGGCTGCCCTTGGTAGGGAGAAAACATAAAAAGTAATAAAATATCACTTTCTCTTTCCTTCATACTTTGCACTTAAAAGGAAAAATTATATTAGTAAATATGATTACATATTTATTTTATTTTTGAGAAATTATTTTTTTTAACGAAAAGACCGAAGAGTGCTATGATTTGTAATGTGAGGATGAGAGTTGAACACACCGAAAAAGACAAATTTAAAGACTTGAATACATATCAATTACTTTTGTTCTTCTCATAGTGAAATCTCTTTGTCAATTTTTACCGTAAACATACATTATAGACTAAAAATTACATAAATCTTTGTATCAAGCATTGGTCGTGTTTTTAGGCCTTTAATTTAATTCATGATTGTAACACTTAGTTTTGAGGTATTTGAGGGTTCAGCTGAGCACTTTCAAGATACTAAAATAATCATACGATTCAACACTATTCACATAGTAATTGATTTTTGTAGGTGGGATGGTGTATCAAAATACATTGGAGTCCACTAAATAACCTCGAACTTTTTTGCTATTATAACCAAGAACTCGACTTGGGTCGGGTCACATTAAAATTGTTAGATAAAAAATAAATAAGTTATTACTTATATTACCTAATTAAACCTGATGCACGTGGAAAAGTACAAATCTGTTAAGCCTGTCCTATTTACTTTTTATTATTTTTAAAGCCAGGTGGCTTCTGTTATTCGTTGCCTAAAACAGGGGGAAAAAAAAAAATCAAATTGTTGTACTTGCAAATAAAATCTCCTGGAATCAAGTTTTTTTTTTTTTTTTTTTTTTTTTAATGACGTGAAAACCTTCGCAACCACCCACTCTTTAGACTTGTAACTATCAGGTAAACTCTCGACTGCTGATATCAGCTTTACATTATAAACAACAAATTAAATCGAAAGTAATTAAGAAAATGAGAAGGCTCGAACTTGATATTTTAAAATCAAGTTAAGGTACGATGGTTGGACATCATCAATCACATTTGTTAGTTTTACTTTTCCTCTAACAAACCTGGATAAGAGAAAACCAAGATAATTAATATTCCCACCTGCGAGCATCGTAGTCCAAATGATGGTATGTATTACCCCATTCATTTAAGGTGCAATTATTTTGAAAGGAAATTGGCGAGTGTTGTGAATGAAAATAACTTGAAACTCACTTATGACGTTGTTGATTTCCCACCATATATAATATACACATGTCATATATATATATATATATATATAAGGTAAGGCATAGTGAGTAACAGAGTCACTCTCAAATATATACACAATTGCGAATGAAAAAAGTGGAACAATTATGCTTCCAGTTACTATGGCTATCCCTGGATTAAGAATCCAATAAGGGCATGTTTGGATAGGATAGATTTGGAGGGATAGAGAGAGAAAAGAAATGATAGTGAGTGTGCGTTCGGTTGGTTAAAAATGAGAGAAAAGAAAGAAAAGGGAGAGATAGCCATCCCTCATTTCTTATTTCCTAAAAAATGAGAAGATATAGGAGAGATAGTACTGAATAGTATTTTCATAATTCTGAAATTGCCCTCAACAATCAAAAGGAGAAAATTATTATTCTACTCATATCCTGTCTATTTAAAAGGACTAGCAATTTGGTTGTTATTCTTTTTCTTCTTTTCTCCTCTCTATCATATCCAAACAACAATCCTATCATTTATTTTATTTTCTCTTATATATATCCAAACATAAATAGAAATTATTGTTATTTATCATTTCTTTTATCTCATTACTTATCCTATCATTTCTTTTATCTCATTACTTATCCTATCATTTTTTTTATTTTCTGTTCTATCTATTCAAACATAAATAGAGATTATTGTTATCATTTCTTTTCTTTCATAACTCATATCATTTGTTTTATTCTCTCTTCTATGTATCCAAACAAAACCAACAAAGGATTAGAGAATTTATGTGACATAATCGGAGATATATTTGTCCTAAAAAGTGATCATTCTTCTTTTTATTTTTTTACTTTTTTTTTTATTTTTTTATATTCATATATATATATATAACGGTCAGTCCGCAAAGTAACGTTGAATTTCAAGGACCACTCTTTGCGAATGTAAGCACACAAGTGCTACATCAAACATGACTCCATATAGGAGTATCCAAGCCCACAAAACTAGCCCAGCCCTAAGATACAAAGGGAACGATAATATTGATATAGTGCAGAAGCCCATGTGTGATATAAAACACTCCTAATGACTCTTGTACCCTCGTGTCAGCCGAGTAAAATATTATTATAAAAAATAAAAATAAAAACAAGCATGTAAAATGACAAAAAAATTCAATTCCCAAACATCCAATATATAGATACACAACACACATACTATATGAGAAATAAACCAGAAATTCCAAAATCCTCATCACAACGAATGTTAGGTTACTTTTTTTAACTTCAATAATATATTAAAATTCAGTATAATGTTATTGATTTCCCACTCTCTCTCTCTCTCTACATGTATTTCATATTTATTAGGTGAGGCCCAATGTACCAAATTCACAGAGTCACACACACTCACTCTCAATGAATGTGTTGCGAGTGAAAAAATTGAACAATTATGCTTCCAAAACTACCAAGCCTATCCCTGGATTAAGATGGGTTTAATAAAGGGAAAGCAGGATTCATGTAACATATATAACATGATTGCAAGATATATTTGCCTTAAAAAGTAATAGTTCTTCTCATTCTGTGCAAATAATATCAAAGTATAACTCTCATATATATATATATATATATATATATATACCTCTCAAATTAAGGGGAGGCTGTGGTTCAAGCTTTGGTGGAGGAGACATAGGTGTTGGAGTTTGTTCGACTTTCCGAAAAAATAAAAGAAATTTTTTAAAATCTGAATGGAGAAAAAAATAGCAGGAGATAGCATATATGTAACAAATAAGGTTTTAGGCTTATTGTTCACTTGTTGGATATTTATATATAAGAACGGAATTTTCAACGTATATTATATACAAAATTAACATTTAATAATAAAATAAATCTGCCAAAGCATGGGATCAAATCTTTACAATTTAAATTACTTAATTATATATACAATAAACAATTAAATAAGATATATATCTTTAAAATCTATCTATTGGAGACTTGAGGCTGTGACGCATTTCATATTTTCACTTAAAAGACTTGTTCTTTTGTTTCGTTTTACGATGAGTCCGGAAAGAACCAACAGTGGCTTGAACCTGGTAGCATTTTCTTAACATTCCATAAGGACTTGATAAACAGACCAAATCTATAAAGAATGTTAACCCTAAATAACTTGTGTTCAATTCGGAGATTTTCAGACAGTGAAATCGCAAGTAATAATATATCAGACGGCAAACAGAAGTTCTTATCTGTGCTACATATTTCACCAAATGACACAAATTACATGTAAAAGACTTGAAATTTGTAATCCTGAGTCTCAAAATGGCTTGTCAGTTGAGCGCTTATTTTGCACTCAGTTGTCGATCCCACCTTCCACGACTTCTTGTGAGTGAATCTAACAACTGCTTACATGTCTAATTGTTCAAATGCTCCCCACAAACTTTGATCATCAGACTGTGGATCTCCTAGAATAGCTCCTATCTTTGGTTTTGCAGGTTGATCTCTCCCAAGCGGGAAGTTCCAGAATGAATCAGACTTCTCAAAGAATATGTAAAATGCAACAGCGGACGCCAAAAACAATCCCAAAAGTAGTATATAAATCTGCCACTCTGCATATGAAATGGACAAAAAACAGTGTCAATCTCAACGACTGAACAGACAAACACGCAGAGACATGCACGCCCCCCGGGGGGGGGGGGGGGGGAAGAAGAGAGAGAGACCTTTCCAATCTGCTGGAACATTCAGCTTAGTCACCAAAGCTCCCCAATCAGTGGAACTAGTAAGCACAACTCTGCAAAAATGCACCCCACCCACAAAAAGGTTGAGAATCCAAGCTTCAGAAACAAAAGAAATAGCTATACCAAAACTAAAACACAAGTCAGAAAAGGAAAACATAGTGAATCAATCGATGGGTGAAAGCTGTAGCAATATGATTATCATAAATGCCAGTTCACAGAATGCAACTTGTTCTTTTTTTTTTTGTCCTTCTTAGTTGGTACTCACACACACATACCTCCACTGAGGCTTAAATCCCTGCCCTCCCTTTGAAAAGTAGGGGCCTAGTACAGCTAGGCCACTTCCTGTTGGTAACAAAATGCAACTTTTTTTACACTCATTGATGAGTTGATATTAAAAATGAAGCTTATTGGTCATCTTCTCTGTGTGATTTTAAAAATAAAGCTTAATGGTCATCTTATCTGTGAATGGCCTATAAACCAGTCATTCCAATGCAGTCATTCACAAATATTGGAAACTTAACCAATTTTCTTCACACAAGGTCATTTATAGGTTTCTTTCTTGCTACTAAATTTATGATTTTAAACAGCATTTTTTACACAGCTATCATTTTTTCATATGACCCATTCAAGAATCAAGATAATACATTTCTACCATAAAATGCTACTACGCAAAGTTGAATGAAGACAGTCAATTTAAGGGGACATCCAAGTAGAACCATAGCTGTTAAAGGCTCAAGGCGCACCAAGGCACCAAAGGTCTTTTGGAGCCCTAGCGCAAGGCACAACATAAGGCGAAGGAAGGCATTTGTGTAATAATGTAGATTAATTATACGTATATAATTAAACTATGCAAAACAAACTTGTCAATATCAAAATAAAGAATTTTTTCAACATACCAATTCAATGAATTAGCTGACTCAACATACATATATCTTTTCTATTTGCAAATGTGTTCAATAAAATTAATTTAAAACAGGAATAATTGAATATGTGCGACACAAATAAGGAATGGATTTTAGATATATCAACTAAGAGGGTCAGCTAAATTAATGCTCATAAATCCTTTCACATGCATATGCATTAACCAAATTAAATGTGATTACAAATCTGAAACAATCAAAAACTTTAATCATGCAAACCTTAAACATATTTATCACAAATATTCATAATCAAGCACTAAATACAATTAATAAGTAGTGAGCCATAAAGGTATGAATTTTGTTAAATATTTTATAAATTTAAACAATATATTGAACATTTTAATTTATAAGTCATTAAATAAAAAAGAATATGATATGAAATAAATGATTAAAAAATAAATGGCACACTTTTTCTGAGCCTAGATCCTACTAAAAAGTGCGAGCCTGAGGCTTTATTGGAGCCTGACTGAAAGGGCATGGCCTGTATTAGGTGGAGGTGATCTAGCTGAGCCTAACCAAGCCTAGGGCTTTTTTGGAGCCTAGACGTGCCTCTAACAACTATGAGCAGAACCTTAATGTCATTTATAGGTTTCTTTCTTATTACAAAATTTATGATTTAAAAAAATCGTTTTTGACATGGCTATCAATTTCCCAAACGGCTTCATTTAAGATGATAAATTTCTACCCTAAAATGTTATGTAAAAGTGAATAAGGGCATTCCATTTAAGTAAAAATCCCAGCAGAACCTTGTTTATTGTTAGTTTTGAAAAAGATAACAACAATATCAAAGTAAAACAGAACAAAAATTACACATGGCTAGCCTTGCTCATTCATTAAGACTGAGGATGTTTTCCATGGCATCAGAAAAAGATAGCTCGGGTAAAATGTTCTCCAAATTGTTATCTTACTATAGCAGTCCAAACAAACTTAAAGGAGAATTATAAGCCCAACAATAAATTACACTGCTTTACAGAATTAATTGCACTGCAGCCATAAGTGCAAAATTGGAAACTAAAAGCGGTGACCGTTGGTGATAAAAGGAGAGTCTAATAGGACAGTTTAGTTGTTTGCTGAAGATAAATGCTGGCATCAAGAATTAGATTTCCAGTCACAAAGTTTACCAATGGGCCATTAGCCCAATGGTATAGCCTCTCCTCCCTCAAAGGAAAGGTGAGGGGTTCGAGCCCCATAGTGGACAATTTGTGAAATGTGTGTGTGAGTACTTCCCTAACCAAAAATAGAAAATAAATAAATAAATAAGTTTACCAAGAAGGTGGTAAGAAAGTACAGATAATGTGTGTAAAGCGATACAGAATAAAGACTTGTTGGTAAAATGATACATGGTGGCTTTGTATCACTTAACCATAGCAAATTATTAAACGTACTTTTTGAGGTAGCAACTAGGTGTCTTATCTATATGTTTCAGCAACACGGGGAGTACAAAAGTCATTAATGAGTTCACAGGCAACAGAAATGCTAGAGAAAGACACCTGAGAGTATAAGTGGAGAGAGAGGTTTCTTCTAGCGCTTGTTCAAGTAATGGTCACGGCAAATTATCAAAAGACCATTGAAAGATAACCAATGGCAGCAGATAAGCAAATGATGGAACATGTCATGATGACTGCAATGGTGAGGTGGATGGGATAGTTAAGATAAAGATCACTTTTCCTTTGTGTATTACTATATCATTGCTGTCTAGTAGAACACAATCCAATTTTGGAAAATTCTGCATCCAAGAATTAACTTAATTTGAGAGAGAGAGAGAGAGAGAGAGAGAGAGAGAGAGAGATAAATCTCATGATAGAGAATTGATAATGGTTAGGGGCTGAAGGCGTAGGGATCACTGGTTTGTCTCCAGAAATCAAACAAAACAGTAATCTGGGTATCAACAGGCACTAAAATGTGTGTGTGTGTGTGTGTGTGTGTGAGAGAGAGAGAGAGAGAGAGAGAGAGAGTGAGTAATGGAATCTTTATGACAGAATATCCAGTGCAAAGGGTCTTAGTAGTGGAGGTGAGATAAACAGTCACTAATTTGGTTACTCTGCCCATGGCAATGGGAGAAGTGGCTGGTCTCATGGTAATGGTGAGAGAGAGGGAATCTGACAAGAGACATAATAGAGAGAGGACAGTTGATCAGTGTTGAAGGTGACAGAGGCTTTGATCTCGTGATGGTGAGAGCGAGGGTCCTTGCAACAAGTAGAGATGAGAGAGATGATTCAGATAGGGAGAATTTAAATTGTCATTTGACATTTGGGCAGAATTTTTAAATAGTTGGAACTGACCACTGATAGACCCTTTGATTTCTTAACAGAAAAGTGAAAATTTAGCCAAAAAAATCTCTCTCTAAATTTCAATTTTATTCAACAACATAAGAAGGTATTTTGTTACTAACACTTTTGAAATTTATGTTAATAGTTAAACAGAATAACAGATATAAAGGATTCAAGCGGATATTATAATTCTATCAAATAGAGTTCATATCAAAGGCGAAATTATAAGGAAACCCATTTCTGACTACTTTTCAATTCAGAATTAAAGTTACAATCTAAACCCAGTCGAATGCATCTCAATTTGGATTTTAGGTGAAACCAATCCATCTCATGCCCTAATATCAAGTGAATACATAGCCCATCCAGAATAAGCCGACAGTCACTCACAATTGTATATGACGCAAATATTAAGTTTTCCTTTTTTCCTTAGTTAAAATTGCCACAAAATAAATCTCAAGTTGAAGTGCTTTTCAATATTTTCTTTCAGGTAAAGATCAAGGAATTTATTGATGTTAAGAATTAATCAACATATATGATATAACTAAAATATATATTCATTGAAAAGGATAACAACAATATTTTTTTAAAATAATTTACAACAAATTATTGAATTCCACCTTACCTTTCACTGGGACAGAACTCCAGCGATGCAATGCGCGAGCCCAAGTGAAGCCTCTTACTCCAGTGACAAACCTCCATTTTTTTCACTTCAACTACACATATATCCCCATCTTTGCTTCCCCTACAATCAGAAAAGAATTGCATATTGGTCAAACAAAATCAAAAACTCGTGCCATCCTATCACACCAGTTTACTGAGTTAGAAAACATTCTATCAGAAATTTATTAATAAACTTCATTTAAAACACTATCTATGGAAAACAATTTAAAAATTCAGCATCATCAACACGCCTTGCTCTTGTGAAGAATCTACCTTGAAAACATCAAGTACAAGAAAATTGCCATTGGTGAATTGCAGTCAAGTTTGTCCAATGAAATAAGGATCTCTACTTTTTGGCAAATGAAAGATCATGCTAACTTATTGGATAAACCAGAGCAGAAATTGCTATGACTTGTTGATTAGATTACTGCCTATGGAAAAGAAAAGAAGCAATATAGCATAAAGGAGCTAGCAACTATACCTCAATAAATTATAATTAGGCCTCATTAATCCATTCCCTTTTTTCCCAAAATAGTTTCAAATTCTTTGTTGTTCTCCCAAGTAAGTGTGATAATGGTTTCTCATTTTTTAAGGAAACGTTTTCATAATTGTTCAAAAAGTAATTCTCATCTTCTCTTCTTGGTGATTGAAACTTAAATGTTATGATTCTGCAAAAGATTATCTAGGTCTTGTGGCAGGCAGTGGAGTAGTGAGGGATTCCCATGGAGCTTGCCATGGAGCTACAACTAGTCTTTAGACTTTGTACCAATTTGATGGCCGACTGTCTGGCTCTTCTGAATGTATCAAGTTCTACCCACTAAATTTGAGTGGCAGTCATGATGAATCATATTAGAAGTGTCTGTTGGCTATCCTTGTGGACAATGGCAACGTCATGGGACTTTATTTTATTTGGTTTAAGAAATCCAAGTTATTCTCAATGGAGAACATTTTCTGTCTGGGCAAACAATTTGTGAAGGAAATAAGGAAGCAAAGGCTCTTCCAAAATGGGCATTTGGTTATAATACCCGACAAAACCACAATCTGTAAATACCAATATAAAGAATAAATAAAGGTCAACATAGTTATAAGCCGAAGAACTCCGAATGTATCAAGTTTAGTGCCTTGTCTTTACACAGCGGTACAAGCCTAAAAGAAGGAGAAGGATCACATTAGGTAGCCTGACAGCTATCGTGAAACTTTGTTCAGGACCAGTATGAACACGAGTCCTAAAAATATGTGGAAATGTGACTATAGTTATGACAACTATGGGGGATATGTGAATTTCCCATTACTATAGGCTTTTACATCAAGAGTCAGCATTAAGTACATATCTTTTTGTCTTAATTAAAAATAAATTGACAAGACACATTCAAGATGAGAGTCCATGGTGTATGTTATTTATAGAAGATATTTTTTAAAATTAATGAAACTAGTGAAGTGCGTGCTAAATTGGAAGTTTGGAGGGAAACTCTAGAATTGAAAGGATTTAGGACAAATTACAATGCCACCCCCTGAGATTAGGTCAAATCTTACATGGAGAAACATTTTGTTTTTAACTTTTACTTAGACCCCATGTCAGCTTTTTGAGTTAAAAAGGGTATGAAATTTCATATATACCCTCACTTTTTAATACAACTTAATAAAAATTATTGGAGATATAAAAAGACGAAAATATGCCGTTCTTCTCCATCACAGAAAGGGGTTGTACCAGATAATGCACTGTACCCATTTCTCTCTCCATCACATAAGGGGTAGTTCATGTTGTATGGGCCGTTAGTTCAGGTGGTGGTGTTACACTGCATATATACAAAAAGGGTGATGATGTTGTTGTAGTGGTGGTGGTGGGGTGGGGCTGGTAGTGATGGCGTTGTCTTGTGGTGGTGGTGGTGTCGATGGAGCTTTTACAACCCCTTTCTCTCTCTAATTCTACCCGGAGAAGCCACCATCACTGGCGGACGATTCTCTCCACAAGCTCGGGTGAGAGTTCTTTGCTGGTTTTCTCTCCTTCTCCAGTCAGAAATGAAACCCTAGAGCATCTGATACCTCCTCGGAACTCCACCCGGCTTTTCGGAGCAAATTAGAGAAACCCTAGAGCATCCGGACCGGTTGATTGTCTAGAAAAACCATCTCGCCATTAACAATCCGGAGGCCAACATGTGGATGACCTCGGTGTAGGAAGACCATTCGGGCAACAAAGAGGAGGAAGACGAGTTTGAGTTCCTCGGGAGTAATTCGACCCACGGTGGCGTCGCTCCAAAACTCGCTCAACGGTGGCAGCGTTGAGGCTTCTCCAGGAGTAATTCGATGACAACCAGGCAGATTTCTTGTTGAGGGATTATTGTTTGGTCAAAGAGGTTAGAGAGAGAAAGAGAGAAGAGAAAGAAGAAGACCAGGAAAATAACACAAAAAAACGAGGTCAGCTAGGCTACTGACACATGGGCGACTGGGACTCTGGTCAGCAGCCAATTCTTGTTGTTGAGATTATAATAATTTTAGCTTATTAATTGTATATAATTATAGGAACATGATTGCATTTTTTAGTCTCTTTATATAGTTCTTGGTGTTTTGACAAAGTCAAAGGGTATCAAAGTCATTCTACATAGTGTCAGACCTTTGCTGGTGTCAGTTGGGGTGTGTGTGAAATACGGATCAAATATTTGTAATATGAGTGAAAGTTAAAAACAAAATGTCTCTCCTTGTGATATTGGACCTAACCTCAAGGGGCGAGGATTTAAGATAAGTAGGAATAAAACTGAATATGAGCTGTAACTTAAGTAAATCTGCAAATATAAATTGGGACATGGTAAAGGAGAGGTTGGTAATTATGTGAATCATAGAATCAAGGCACATTAGATTAAATGAAGGAGTGCATCTATTATTTTGTGTGAATTGGTGCATCCCACTAAGATTAAAAACTTCCCTATATTCAATTAAAAGGTGAGCTGCCCTTTCTCAATTGGTCAGGTCAATCGCTTCGGCCGGTCCAATCGCTTCGGTGAATGATTCCGGAGCCCTTCTTTCGAGCTAAATAAATCCCTACCTCGACCAGCTTGGTTATCAGGCATACCATCCCTTAGCGGAAGCAGAAGCAGGCCTTATCTTAAGTGTAGACTATGGCAGAAAGTCAGGAATCTGGTAGTATATGGTCACGTCTAGTAAGCGATTGAATCTTGTTAGCAGGTGGAGGGAGGATCGGGCACTCCAGTCTTCCACTTGCTTAGGTCGCATCCCACTAAGATTGAAAGGTAAGTTCTATAAAAGAGCTATTAGACCAATTGTTCTTTACGGACAACATGTTGGGCAGCTAAGAAACATGTGTAAAACGTGAATGTAGTGGAAATACGAATATTGAGATGGATGTGCATTGTGCAATAGATGTGCATTGTGCAATAAGACAGAAAATGATACAATTAGAAATGAACACATTTGTGAGATGGTTGGAATAGCATCTATTGGAGATAAAATGAGAGAATCGTTTAAGATGATTTGAACATGTGCAAAGGACACTAATGCTATGTTTGGTTGGAGGGAAGGATTGAGGGGGATGGATGAGAGGAGGGATAGATAAATTTTTTCGTGTTTGGTTGGAGGGAAGGGAAGAGAGGGAGGAAACAAGAAGGGATGAAGCATCCCTCCTTCCTTTATGTTTTTCTATCCGGCCACTTTTGGGAGGAAGAGAGGAGAGAAAGAAGGCATAACTACCTATAAATTTGTAATTTACAATTTTAACCTTTTAATAAATTTTGAAATAAATATGTACCTTTTATAATTTTATATAAAAGAGTGTATTGGTAAAAATAATACAAGAACTCTCCTTCCCTTCTTCCAACCAAACAAGAAAAAAGTATCACTCCATCCTTTCTACTATCCATTCCATTCAACCAAACATAAAATGGAAAAGACACCCTCCCTTCCCTAGAGATATATCATCCATCCCTCCCCTTATCTCTTCCTTCCATTTTTCCATCCCTCCAACCAAACGAAGCATAAGTGTGCTAGATACGAAAAGTGACATAATCCATGTCTTGGGTAATGCTAGGGGAAGAGTTAGACCAAAGTTAACGTTGGTAGAGTTATTAAGAAAGGACATGATAGCATCTGCTTATGATGAGGTTATGTCCTTGGACAGAGGAATGTAAAAATAATAATAAATAAATAAATAATTTGTGTAGCCGGCCCCAGATAATTGGAAAAAAAGGCTTAGTTGAGTTTATAATTCTAGGTCGAGAGGAGGCCCGCTGTGGATATTTTTGTTGCATCATTTTGAAATATATAAATATTTCTATATAATTGTGGAGCAAAATCCTCCACCAATCATGGTGATCCGGTCAATTTCCTTCCAATTATAAATATTTTTATATAACGGTGGAGCAAAATCCTCCACCAATCATAGGCATGGTAAAGATAAGATTATATGAAAGGTGTACAATAGTCAAAGGAAAAAAAAGCTTAGTTGAGTTTATAATTCTAGGTCGAGAGGAGGCCCGCTGAGGATATTTTTGTTGCATCATTTTGAAATATATAAATATTTCTATATAATTGTGGAGCAAAATCCTCCACCAATCATGGTGATCCGGTCAATTTCCTTCCAATTATAAATATTTCTATATAACGGTGGAGCAAAATCCTCCACCAATCATGATGCTTCCTTTGACTATTGTACACCTTTCATATAATCTTATCTTTACCATGCCTATATATAGGCTCCTTGTACTCAAGTTATAGACAGATCTAAATAATAAAAATGTAGCCCTTAGTGGCTCTTTGTCCATGGATGCAGGCCTTAGTGCCGAACTAAGTATATGCCTGTGTTCTCCATTTTTCTCTCTTCCCTTTTCCTATTTGCATTTCTTATTCTTCATTCAAATTTAACATGGTATCAGAGCCAAAGGTCTCGAGTTCAAACCTCACAGTCACCCTAATTAAAAATTTGAAAAACACGTGTTGGACCAAAAGAAGGCAACGCGTGAGGGGGCGTGTTGAAGGATTTATATATTTAAGTTACACCCTCTCTAACAGCTTAAGTTTTTGGAGTAGATGTTTGTTAACAAAACTTTTAAAAACTATCTAAAAGTTACTCAAACTTTGAAACAAAATCTGCCAACATAAGTCTTATTGACCTGACAAGTATTACAGTTACGGAATGCAAAAGCTATGGATAAAACACCGAAGATAGCACCACAAGTACAGAGAAAAACAAACACTCATAATCCTCTTCACAGCCACTCATAATCATGCAACAGAGCATATCAAGTAAAAGAAAATCTCAATAATAAAAAACATATCAAAACGACATTAATGTTAGAAGAAGTTCAAAAAGTAAGCATGTTTTCAAAGCAACAGAAAAGAATTAACTTTTGCATATCATCATAAACGGACAATAATTAACAATGCATTGCTAAATATTTAAAATTTCTCCCAATACTGCATTTTGTCAGCTGCAAGCCCATGAAAACTCATTTTAAAAACACACCAGATAGCTTCTTTGGCAGAAGACCAGAAAACTCATTTTAAAAACACACCAGATAGCTTCTTTGGCAGAAGACCACAAGTAGATTAATATGTTGTCCTTTTCTCTTTCTGGTGGTTAGGAACTTAGGAACAGATTTCTGTTTCTAGTACTTAGTTGAATCAGAGAATCAAAGTTATATATTGTGCGCTCAAGTTCAATAGATGTAATGCTTGCGAGTTATAAAAAATGAATCATAAAAATTACATGCCGTGTCAAAAATTCACAGACACACCATCATAACTTTCCATCTTCGTCTATCAGTTGCAATGCATATCTACTTAATTTACAGAAGAGTAAAAAAAAATCTAGCACTTACAGAGCAAGATATTTCCCATCCAAACTGATGGACATCACGGAAGCAGGCTTTCTAAGTAGACTCTTATGCCCAATATTATTCCATGTACTTATATCCCAAACAGCAGTGACTGATTTCTTACCTGTTTTATAAAGATGACCATGCATCAAAATTAAAGATATAAGGAACTAAATTATGAGATGGTAAATCAACGCGCCTTGTATTCTTGTACCACAAAAAAAATATACCCTTTTGAACAGTGCAAAATAAGAAGGGTTTTGTGCCATCTTTAGAAAAACGACACAGTTCAATCTTTTCATCCTGCAAAAAGAAAGAAAGGAAAGGACATGATATCAGGAAACACAAAGAAATGGGCCAGAAAAAACCATATTAATGTTGGATAAAAATAAACTATACCGCAGTGCGAGTCAAAGAAGCCAATGGAACACCATCATTTGTGTTCCATATTCTGGCAGAACCATCAGTAGATGTTGAAGCTAAGAACTCAGAGTCGAGGCTGAAAGCATGACAACAATAGAAGCCAAATAGTTAGCGTATTTATCTGAAATTCAACAAACACCAAAAAAAAAATTTGAGAGTAAGTAAGAAAGAAAGAAAAGAACTCATTTATTATTTCCAATTTAGCAAAAGAGGGAGAGAAAAGGAAAAATAAAAAGAAAAGAACAACAAGAACAAGAACAAGATAAATTATTCCAACCTATAAAATTAATTTCATACATTTATCAAGACATTGAATTTTCAAACATCAACGCCTTTTTTTGGTAGTATATACTGACCAATAGACATTTTGTTCAATTACGACCTTAGTTTCGCGTGCCAACACGACTCGATATCCTAACAACTCCTACCCTCCTTAAGGTTAATAGTGAAGAATTACGGATTTATGGGGTCTTTTTTTGTTGCCTTATAGCATGGATGGTGTGGTCTTTTTATCGTTCTGAGTGATTACAACTTCCACTGTGTAATTATTTCAGATTCTAAATCACATTCTCTCATTTTCTATTAATAAATAAATAAAAAGGGTAAAATGCAAGAAACACCCCTGAACTATTGATAAACCTGCAAGAAACCCCCTGAACTACAAAAGTTGCAACTAACCCCTTGAACTATTGAAATTTGTTGCAGATTGCCTCATCCGGTCAACGGTCTGTCCATTTATGGCTGTTAAAAAAGCATGTGTTTGCCACGTGAGAATAATTGGACAATAACACCCTTACAAGATTATAAAGACCAAATTGCCCCTTTAAGTAACCTTTAGAGCCAAACAGCTCTTTATATGTTTATACATGTACACCCAAATGCACAATTGCAGAAACCCTAACCCGTTTAGAGAAAATCACAAAATTAAAGGCCCAAACCAACCTCATTCCTCTCAATACCTCTCAATATTGGTTCGTGCTCGACATACCTCCTTAATTTCGTTTTGTGCTTGAACAATTTGTGTCACTCTCGTCATGGTGTACCCGCTCTGTGACCTTCGGTTCCTGGTTGCTTGACTGAAAGGTAGCATCTTTCTCTTTGGTAGTCGCGGAAGTGGGGGTGGTGGGGTGGGTTTGTGGGGTTCGATTGGGTTTGATGATTCCCTATAAATTGTTTGAGTTTCTAGAGAGAGAAGATTGTGGTTGGTGAGGTGATGGCGATGGTAGTGGCGAGGGCGGGGTGCTGGCAGTGGTTTGTCCAGTTAGATTGGGTTTGACGGTGTGTGGTTGAGTTTCCATCATGGTTGGATTGGTCGATGTTGCGGTGGTGGCAGTTTGTTTATGAGTTCGATTGGGTTTGACGGTGTTTGGTGGTGTATGTTTCAGTATGAATTCTTTATGTTTCCAAATGGTTGTTCATTGGTTCACGTTGAGGGGGCGGTAATGGCTGTTGGCGGAAGTGGGATAGCTGATTCTGACGAGTTTCAGTCTTGCGAGCTTCCCTTCGTTTCAGACCGGTGTGTTTCAGTCCGGCGTGCTTCTCTTCGGGTCGGTCTGGTGTGTTCATTTCCGGTGTGCTCCAGTTCAATTCAGGTCTAGTTCTTCTGCTACTTTGCAAATCAGCTCTCGGTTATGGAGATCTTCAACAATGGAGTTTTGGCCATGTGCTAGTCTTCAATCAGACGTCAATGGTGGTGTCAATTGGGTGCTTCGTGGTGTTGGTTTCTCTGTTCTAATCTCTATGTTGAATATATATATATATACATATATGTGTGTGTGTGTGTGTGTTTAAAACTACATTGTTTTATGGTAAGGGTTATATAAAGTTTAAAACTACCGTCGTATTATAGTAAGGGTCAAATGGTCTTTTGCTTTTTCCGGTGAGCTAATGGGGTAAAATGCAACAAAACAATAGTACACGGGGGTTTCTTGTAGTTCAGGGGGGCTTCTTGCAACACCCCAATAGTTCAAGGGGGTTTATTGCATTTTACCCTAAAAAAAATAGGTATTGAAAAACAGCCTTCTCCTTTGGATCATCCAAGTGTGTCAGTCTAATGCAATTTAATCAAACCCAGTAGCAGGTTCAAACAGCCCCCTGTTTTCTCATTCACCTGCGTAAAGCCATTATTAAAGGTTTTTTCAGCAAAATAATGGCAAAGAGTATCCAAAGGGTAATCATCAAGGGTGGCATAAAGTGTTAAAGGGTTCTTAAACCTCTTATATTAAAATCATCGAATCTGCTGAACAACTCATTATCTAGTCCATTTATTCTTTATTTTTGGGCTTTTCCATGTATCTCAGGAAAGCAAATCATTCCTTGAGGTTGAGCAGCCACCAAATCTCTGTTGTCCTTTTTACTTCATTTTCCCCCTTTTATTAAGACTCTATTTTTTGAAACTTGAAATAAGAAAAACGAAGGCAAATGGATTTGTTGGTTTCTATTGATGCATCTCTTCTACGCATTCTTTCATCTTTCACATTGAGCACTAACCAGTTCACATCCACTTGCTTGCCTCGTAAGTTATGCAATAAAAAAATTTGATGATATTTATTAATCAATAATAATATTCATGAAATCATCATGATTTCATGGTCATCCCAGTCGCCTGAGTGATTGAAATGTTGACCTGTGTCATCCAGTCCCCTTCTTAAGAGGTGGAAACAGTTCAAGTTAAATAACATTTCTCACAGGCAATGTATACAAAAATGATCCATCTCGCTCCTCTTCTTGGACATGGTACACAACTGTAGAGAATCAAGACCTAGGCCTCCTTTTCCCAAGCACAACACTGGTATTTAATCTTTGTATGTGTCACATTCAGAGAAAAAGTCTTAAATTTAAAAGGCACTTGCACTTCCAGATCAATTCCAGAGGAATGAAGCAACAAATAGCCAAGTTCTAAATAGAGGAGGAGAAGGCATATTATTTTTAAAATCATTGGGAAGAAAGAACTCGTCGCTTCTCTACGATTAAGTTGAATATTCTAACAATAATTTTAGAGGAATTGACAATCACAGCTCCTGACACCTTGGAAGCCAATATGAACCAGGAAATGATTCATGAACAGGGTACCAACGCCTCCATCCCCAATAAACCACCAAAAATATATCCTGTACCCAATCCCTTTATCTACTATATTGAGAAGAAGCTTCAAACCCCCAAGGGACAATTTCAGGGGACATCAATAATTGTTTTGTAGACACCACCTTAGATTCCGACTAAGAGGGTAGAGAGAGACATGTGGTGGCTACCTTGACTGGACGGAGTACAAAAATAAAATAAATCTATATTGCGTGATGTCATGGATCCATCATCTTAAGTGAAGAGAACAGATTCTGAAGTAAAATTTAAAGTAGGGTAGGGTAACTTCTAGAAATTTTATAAGAGAAAACCAAAAAAGACCAAAGCAGGCCTGGATAAAAGATAGTTTAAATTATTTTTACTGCATGCATATTCGAGTATAAGCATAAACAAAAATATTGCTATGAATTCGTACAGAAGTGTGATAAGCGACAAAGAATCTACCTAAAATCCATGTCCTGAAAGGACTTGTGAGCTCTTGGTTCATCCAAAATGATGTGCATTCTCGGCCACTCAAAGATCCTCAGATGACCATCCTATTAACCAATCAAAGTCAGAATACACATGTCCAATATACAAACAATCACCTGTTTTGCAATTTGAGTATAACGAAAAGGCAGAGAATAATTAATTATCAGATTTTCGATTATTGCTTACCACACCGCCAGTAGCAAATTTGGATCCATCAACACTAAAAGCTATGCATTTCTGTTGGCCAACACCTTGAAGTGGAAGTAATTCTTTATCAAACAATTTAACATTTGCTTCTCGTATATACAACTCGAACAATCTGCACATCAAAGAAACTCCTCATCCCATGTTTAAACCAGCTAAAATGGTAGACATAATGATAATATTCAAAAAAGAATTGGCCAAATTTAGGGTCTATACTATCTCTGATAAAAAGAACCAAATAATAAATTTGTATCTCCAATAACAATGAACAAAGAACCTATTTAACATAACTTGATTGTCTTATAAATCTTCGATTTGCTGATTATGTTATGGCCGGAGTCTTACTCATGGAAAACTGGTCGAATTGGGGGAAATTATAGATATTTTTGCAGATCAATCTACTGGAGAGCCTGGTACTCAATTAACATTAAGAACTTTTCATAACACCTGAGTATTTACCCCCTAACATGTACGAGCCCCTTCTAATGGGAAAATAAAATGTGCGAGACCCTTCTAGCAGAGAAATTAAATTCAATGAGGATACAGTTCATCCAACACGTATATATCTTGGACATCGGCATTCATATCTCAAAATATGCTTGCGTAAAAAAAGAAATATATATATATATATATATATATATAATAACTACTTTTGAAATTTATCTAAGGGAATTAGAAATAGGTGTCATTGCTTGGCTCGGGCTGCCAAGTGTGAAATTCATATTCAAGTTCAATAGCAGAAATTTTGTCCAAACAATGCCAAAGCTTAAGTATGTATCGAATCTATCCCTCCCTCCCAGTACCAAAAATTGGCAGGACGAATACTGTTAATGGCCCTGAAATTATAAATATGTTCTCCATTTTGTCAAGAATGCTGTGGTTAACAAACTCTACAACAGGCGTGTTAAAAACATCATGTCCAACATTCATGTGATCCACGCATGACATAGGTGCAAAGTGGTCACTCAAGTCAGAAATAAAGTGCCTCTCCAAACAGAAGTTCAAGAGATTTTGTTGTCTGGAACATGATAAATACATCAATATATAAATGCACATATATGGTTAGGTCTAGGATTGTAAGACAATAGTCCACTCCCCTAGCCCTTCCCCATACAGCCATACACTTGGATTCCCTACATATAGGCTCACCAACCAAGCATTATTAACACCATCGCCTGTAATTCTTATGTGATAATGAGGTTGACTAAGGCTGTCAAACTAGGGCAGAGCTATCCCCTTCAAAATTCTATTTATGGTTACCCATTTTTATTATATATATATTTTTTTATTTTTGCAAGCTCACCATGAATGACCACCATTAATGGTTATCATGGTGAGTTGCAAAAAATTAAAATTAAAATTACTTGTGACCCCTTTAAAGTCCATTTAACATTTTTACTTTTGCTTTTAAAAATACAAATCTAGTGAAAAAGTGTCAATGTAGTCGCTGCTACAACATATCAATACTATGTTCGTATGTATGTATAATTGTATATACATATGTATTATTTATTACCTATATAAATTTGAGAGACACAACAAAAAAAAAAAAGGAATGCTCACAAAATTTGACAACTTCGGTTATTGGCTGTTAGCACATTCTTCTCTCAATTTTTTTTGTTCTCATCTCTATTTACTTAAGTTGTGTTCTCCTTTTCTTTTTTAGGTCATGAATCTTCATTTTTAGGTTTTATTAAGAATAGAAAGATATAATCACAAGTCCACTATTGTTAAGCTTGCGCCCTTATAACCATTGGATTGTAATGCTGTGCGGTCAACCTGTTAATCTATTGGTCATAGAGATGCAATTTAAGTGAGACTATCCTCGTAAAAAACATGCTGTTAAGAATCTAGTGAATTTCAAGGAATTAATATTCACTAAATACAAAACCTAAATCAAATGGTCATTATCTTCCTAAAAATTCCAATATATAACTATCTACTCAATATTCTATCTCGTTTTATCAAATTTGAAAATTCTTCAACCTGTTCAAAAACTATATGAAAATAGAATGCAGAATGGTAAAAACATAATAATAATAAAATAAAAATAAAAAAATGGGAGAAGTTCAAGATATAAAATAGCATTGAAGAGGCAATAACATATAATGTACCCATGCCAATTCACATGAATAGTAGATTAAATCCTTATGAGTCAATATTGAGTTTATAGATTATTAGCGTTCCAAATCGCATAGTATGATATGTGTCTAAAATAACAAAAGAAGATATATATATTGTCTTCTTTATTCTTTTGGGTTAATGGGCAAAATTGTATATCTATGGATAGTCTTTTGGATTTTGTGGATAGCTTAAAGTTGTATTACCGCTGTTAGGCGGCTTGATTTTCCTTTGGGAGTGCTCCCCTTTTGAGTGCCTTGAATGAAATTTACTTATCAAAATATATATATATACACAATATGTATATTGGGTGTTATTGGACACCAAAGACTTTGAAAAGTTAGTAATATGAACAGTATCTCGTTAACTATAAATAAATAGTCTATAAAAAAACAAATAAATAAAAGGCTTATAGAAATATAGAATTTGAAAGATTGCAAATATGTGATTAATTGGTGCTCTTTGATGACAAAGAGTTTGAAATGTTAGTACAAACAGTATTCCATTTATTAGAAATAATTGAAATATATAATTAATTACTTATTACAACTGTATATAAAAATTTAAAAAACCCCTATTGACAAATTTTTTTTTTTATAAGATTTCATTAAAGGCACTCAAAAGGGGAGCGCTCCCAAAGTTAACAAAAGCCGTCCAGGACGACACTATAACTTTAAGCTATCAACAAAATTCAAGAGACAATCCATAGAATTACAATCCCACCCATTGACCCAAAAGAATAAATAAGTTAGAATATTGTATTTAAGAGACCAAAAATAGGAGACTCCTCTCCCTCAAAGGATCTCATATTCCTCTCGCGCCACAAACCCGAGGAGATATTCAATGCACCAGGCATACCAAGCCATTAGTATGCCGACCAATAGAAATACACCATTTTATGAAATTGATCCTACCTATTTTTGAAAACTGCTCTCTAGTAACTAACTGCTATGATAATTTGTATTGGTTGGGCCCCGCGCACCCAATATCTACTCCACAACCTCCACCAAAAACAAAGGGGAGTAGCCCTCCAAGCATCTCTGACTCGACTCTCCACTAGCATTTATAAAGTAGATAGATAGATAGATACAATTATTTTTTAATTCTTTTAAGTTTTAGTTTCATATTACTAGTTCCCCTCCCCAAAAAAGAGCGAGTGTGTTTAAAATCCGGCTGATGCTCATATGCTAATGATCAATTTAGCTCAAGACCATATCATATACGGAGTAATAAATTACTAAAAATCCATACAGAGTAAATTCTGAATTGGGTCTTAACCATGATAATTATTTCCATTCAACAATACCCAAAAAAATATTTTCAAAAAAAGCAAACGTTTATAAACATCTTAAATGTAGAAGTGAGCAAACAATACTCAACCTAAAATTTGACAAGAAGGTATCGAATTGGAAAAGTATAAGACAGAGAAACTCACTTGCAGTCACCAGTGGTGGTAGAGCAAACGAAGTCGTCTCCACTGGGGTGCACCGCAAGGCTCACAGGTTCACCTTCTTCAAACACGTAGGTAGCCTACACAAAATTATATGGAAAATTATCAATTGATACACATGTATATGTATGTGTATGTGTGCATATATATATATAAATATATGTATATGTAGAAAGAGAGGAAGAGACCAATGGAATGGAAGAGAGAGAAGTAGTCTTGGGATCGAAGGAGAAGATCTGGAGAAGAGGCGGGTGGTTGGTGTGCCTCGACCTTCCCATCACCACGAGATGCGCGTTTTCCGGCCGTCGGATCCACGACGCGCACGCGATGTTGCCCTGCTGCGACGCACTAGTCTCCTCCATCTCAGAGATAGAAAGAGAAATCTTCGTTCGAGAGAGAGAGGAATTGATGATGGTGTTTCCGTTGTTGGGAGTTGAGAAACTGCTCTGTTGAAAAGCAGGGGAAAGTGCGTGGGAGGGATTGAAATATTCGGAAGATTTTTTTTCTCTTTTCAAAGGAGAAATGAAAAGAAAGAGAAATGTAGAGAGGAATGCGAAAGGAAAAGGTGGGTCCTACTGAATGAGCCGGCAACTAAATGGTGGATGAACAGCGTCAACGCCTCATTGGTACGACCGTACCAGATCGACGGAGGATATTCGCTGCTGATTCCGCGGGAAGGGATCGCAGGGACGTTATTTACAGGGCGCTCAATTTTGTTGCGGATTAAATAAAAGGATGGATAAAGTGGATAAAGAAATAAAAAAACAGAAATTCAACGATAACCCTTAACTAAAATTTTGAATTAGAATCGCTTCTTAGTGTAAAAAACCGGGGAAATTTGCAATCAAACTTTAAAAAATGTAAGAAATTCCATGAATTATGTAAAAAAATTACAGATCATCCCATTCGGTCAAGTTTCGGTGAATGTTGACCGTTAAAAATAGTTGACTTATTTTAAAATACCATACTACCCTTGAACGCATGAAAGGACTAAAATACCCTTAATTTCTATCATCCGAAGGCAAGCTCACTGCTGCTATCACGTCGCGAAGCACCCAATCGCAGCTGAGTCCTCTCCACAACCCGTCGCCAACCGCTGCGAAAGCTTGCCGTCGCCATCTCGCCCACATCCGAGCACTGTCAAAGTTCATCCACAGCCCATATTGCCCGTTTTCTGTCAATCGTGGCGTGCACAAGCCGCCGGATCCGTTACCAATGTGCCAGTCTCTGATTTGCGCCGGAATCGTGACTTCTCTAATCGCTATTCTGCACCGCCGATCTCTCTCTCGCTCGCCGGCTGCCACCACCTTCACCCCTCTCTCTCTCGCTCGGCGGCTACGATGATGATCGATGCAATTTTCAACAGCAGTGTATGGTTTCCGATGATGAATTGCAGAGAGATCTCTCAATTTGCAAAGAGCGGCGATGAGGTGAAGGAGTCGGCGGCGCCATCGTCCTCCGTTGCAAGCTTCATTTTCAGCAATCAATTCCTTTATGGGTACCAATTGAAGCGAAAATCGCTGCTTCAAAAGCTCAGAGATACCATATATATATATGCATACCCCTCTTTCGTCTCCACATTCGTGTCGAATTTGATGGTTCAGATTGAGACTCAATTGCTTGTTTCGGCAAACCCAAATCAAGAGCATCGACTGGTCTAACGTTTGTTGATGCAAAATCTCGCCGCGATGTTTAACAATTCATTGATGTGCTCCATCTCCTCTCTGTTTCTCTTTGTGGTTCTTTTATTTCTGCCAATTGCCATGGACGAAATAAGAATAAATTGTTATTCCTTTTTGTTTGACTGATACCCTCAAATATATGGAACTGATTGTTACAGGACTGAGGCTTTTTATGTCTCTGTGATCAGCCAATTGCTGGATTCGCCAAAGAGGGTTGTGGTATCTTAAAGCTTGCCGTTGAATCAGCCGAAGCTTATTAGAATTGGAACCAAACTGAACTATAACTCACCCAAACTAGAACAAAAACTCACCGGAACTAGTGGGGACGAGCTGGTGGTGAGTTCCTATGATGCCTTGTGAAGAAGATGAACAATGCATATATATGTGTGTGTGTGTGTGTTTATACATAGCTGTTGTTATCACTTGTGTTTGTTACGTCAATAAGTCAATTTAAGAAGGGCAACATCGTCTTTTTTTCTTTTCCAGTGGCCTGAGTGGGCAAATTACAACAAATTGAAAGTCCAGGGGGGTTTCTTGTAGTTCCGGGGGTTAGTTGCAAAACCCCCATAGTTCAGGGGTTTTTTTTGCATTTAACCCAAAATAATATTACGATTTTTGAGAAAAAGACATATATTGTTAGGAGTTTCAACTTTCAACTCGAGTACAACTTAGATTCATATTTGATTTAATTTAATTTAAGGGTAAAAAGTACAACAACACCTCATGTAAGGTTTGCTAAAAGGACACACTGATGAAACTTAGCTTATTTTTTGACAAATACACCCCTTATATGAAATTCTATCCAAAAAGGTCTTAAATCTTCTGAAAAGACGAAATTACCCTTAATATTAAAATCAAATTTATTATAAAATATCAGATATAATAAAAAGACAAAATTTCCTTCTTCTCTCTCTTGCCCTGTTCTCATTTGCGGTGATATTTTTCTGTGTCAGAATCAACCCTTTTCATTATTCTTTTTTGCTTATTTCATAGCTCAGTAACTCCAAATCTAATGGTGAGTTTTTGCATGGTTGGTCCTTTTCATTGATGGGTTTTGCTGCTCATGCGTTGTTGTCAAATGTGTATTGCTTAGATTTCTTGCATCTTTTCACGGCTTTGGTCTATGTTATTGGTTGTTTCTGGTAAGGGTTTGGTTGACTGAAAGTTTAGATATTAAGGAAGGTCTCTATTTGGGGCTCTTATTCTGATTTTTTGGCCATTGTTTGTTTTTTTCATTTGAGTTTATTAAAATTATAGCGGAAAATTTGGGTCTGATTCAGATTTTTTGCTTAATCTTGTCTTATTGGTAAACGATTTTTTCCTAGGTTTTAGAGTCTTGTTCATGCAATTGATCATTGCTCTACTCATTTGGTGTGTCATATGATGCCCAATCTAACAAACCCTCTCACTCTACTCATCGGCGGGCAAAGAACCGGCCATCCAATCCGCCGACCACTCTTCTTTTCTATTTTCGATCTCTGTGCCGTGACTCGATGCCCATTAGAAACAATCGAGATATCGGATTGTGCTACTTTCTATTGCCCACCATTTTATTACGCTTACGGCGACGGAAGCTTCGTTGCTCATTTGTATAGCGACAGTTTATTGATACCCATGTTGTTGCAGACGCTGGCTCTCTGAAACTTCACATTCGTCTGTGCTCACTCCACCCTCGCCGAGCCCAACGGCGTCACCGGGTTCGGTTGTGGACTCTTCTCCTTGCCAGCTCAGCTCCACCTTCTCTCCTTAATTGGGTAATCGATTTTCTTAATTACCATTTAGTTTCTCACTCGTTCGACGAGGAATGAGTTTGGCGTCTGAGTCCACTTATTTTGGGTTGGTGTGGGAAGTGGCTGATTTCGGCGCCGTATAGCATGAAAAGGGTTGATAGAAGAGGTAAATGTGGGATAATGGTGGATTCTGGGACGACGTTCACGATGTTGCCAGCGGCTTGGACAGCCATAGACGAGGGACGGGAAAAGATTGCGCAATCGGTGAGAAGACAAAGAAGGTGGGAGAAGGAAGGGTTTGTGAGCAGAGGTTAAAAAGGTTATTTTTAACATTCAAATTAGTCAATATAAAAGTCAAAGGGTAAAAATGTGAATTCATTATTATTGGGATGTCTTTGGTAACTGTATCACACTTGAAGGGGTGCCTTTGTCCCAATATTGGCTAAGTTTCATCTGCGTATCCTTTTAGCAAACATCAGGAAGTATTATTGTACTTTACCCGCTTAATCTTAACTTGACCATCAATTATTACTTCTTAACTCCAGTTCAACTCGTTTTTTTAACTTTTAAACAATGTATGCTAGATAGGAGTTAATTCAAATTATTCAATGGCCAATCAAAATTTAAAATTACCCCTAAGCACAAAAAAATTTAAAAATTACAAACAAATTGTTAGTAAATTTAATTATCATAAGTGTCTACATACAATAAACTAATATTTAAACAAAATAAATTTTGAATAAAAGTTATCACAATCTGAAAATTATATATAATATATTTAATTTTAAATAAAAAACATGTATGCAAAAAATATTGAAATTTGTGTTCGAGTTAGGCTTGGTTTGCGTTAACCTCAACCCAAAGAAACCCCAATTTTAAAAATAATTGTTTAAGCTTGTAAAAAATCATATTGATCTCGGGTTAGTCCCCCAAACTGCCCTTTGTGACTATTATGCCCTGTTACAACCAAGTAAAAAAAAATGTCACAATTGATATTAAAATTTAGTCATAATGAATTACAAGGTTATTTTGATCAGCAAAACGATGCAACTAAGATTGGCGCAAACTTTAAAATCAACAATTTAAGTTTAATAAAATTTTAATATACTATCAAGGACATTATTGTTATTTCGCAACAACTTAACGATTTTGCCATGGGAAGAGGCAACGTGATAGTTTTTGTTAATTCAAGGGTTGTTTGATAATTGAGGGGGTTATATGACGAAACAACGCGGGATTTTGTTAATTCAAGGGTTGTTTGATAATTGAGGGGGTTATATGACGAAACAACACGGGAATTTTATGATTTTAGCCCTATAATATAAAAGTCATTACAACTGTTAGTATAAAAATAAAAAATAAATAAAGTTTTATAATATTACTATTCACCATCGATCTTGTATAATTTTATTTTATTATGTATATATATATATTTACAGTAAGTCCATTTTAATATTAACTACATGACAATATAAGTGGTGTATTATTATTATTTATTTTTTTCAAAATGTGCTAATTTAGAAAAGGAAAAAAAAAAAACTCATAGGGTTCATAGTCGGATTATTCTCTTACGTATAAACTTGCTTGAAATGCCACGTAAGGTTTGAATTAGGTTTATTACTTTATGAATGGTTGATAAATCTAATTTTAATATGAATTTGGCCTAAACCTAATTGGATACCAGTTGTGAAATGATAATTTATTTGGATAAGACTTGTCTACTTACTAGTAAGGGCATCCCCACTAACTGTTGATGTCGTCCAATCACAAATGTACATATAATTTGCAATAGCAAAATCAAGAAAATGATAAGAAAATTAGAGAGGGTAATTGAATTTTATTTAAAAAAAGTTATTGTCCTTATTTATCATTTTCCTAATTTTGTAATTACGGTTTATTTGTGCATTTGTGATTGAACCACATCAGTAGTATGTAGGAATTGTCTACTCAGCGGTGTGTAGGCAAGTCTTGTTCTTAAAAAAAAGAATATAAAAAAAAATAACGAGAAAAGTAATATTGTGATGAAGTCTATCCCGTGACACTTTCATGAGCTCTCTATCATTTTATCGTAATTATGTATAAATATTGAGACATGTAATTAATCATTTGAAATATGATTGTATAAGAATTATATCATCAAAATCTTGTACCAAAATTCCTTTACTGTAAATGACAAGAATCAATCAAAATTTTAATTTTGACCCCATTGTATAATTTTTTTTAATGATATTTTATGTATTTTTAATTTTTATACAATTGGGATTGGCTACATGTATAAATTGTGCATTATTATCATTTTTCTAAAAATATACTAATTTAAAATAAATCTCATACTTACTTGCGTGTGAACTAGCATAATGCTTAGATCCGAGTTTTGAGTTAAGTTTATTGCTTTATGAATGATTAATGAATTAAATTTTAACATGAATTTGCCCAAAATTGGTAGGAAAAAACAAAGAATTGGTTATGAATTGAAATATTTAATTCGATAATTTAATGATCAGCAAAGCCAAATATAGATGGTCGGTCTGATTCGATGGTAGTCCAATTCAACCGATTTTTTCTCTGACATTTGTTTCGTTGTTTGGTGTAGTGTTCTTGGGAAAATAATCAAAATTTTACATATGGTGGTCTCACTAGTCACTAATGGGACATTAGTTCACTGGGCAAAATTTATTATGCCTATAACGTTATTTCTCTCCTATTGTTTAATTTTTTTCCAACATCTATTAGCGAATTTATGAATTTATTTTTATTTTTATTTTTTTGGCAACCTACTTCTATATTTGTAATTTGGTATTAAGTCCCTGAATTTACCAAAAAAAATTCAATCCACCAATTCATTAGAATTAATGACTTTGAATCGTTCAATCTAAGTCACATAAAGAATAGTGATGCGAAAACCGCAAAATTGAAATCATACATAGTTAAAGCTGTAAAAATGAATCAAACGTTCGACAAATAGCTTGAGCTCGGTTTGATAAGAGTTTGGCTTCAGTTCGTTTACTTGATAAATGAAACAAACTTGAACAAAATTTCCGAACTCGTTTAATAAACGAGCCAATCTCAAACAATCCCGAACTTGGCTCGTTAGTTCATGAATTTGTTTGTGAATAAAGCTCGTGAACATATATATTCACATATATATATATATATATATATATATTTATGTTCGTGAACACGAATATATAAATATATATATATATGTAATATATATTATTTAGGGTAAAGTGCAAAAAAACTCCTTGAACTATATTTTGTGTATAAAACGTCATAAAATATCTCATTTTTTTGTAACATATCCCAAGAACTATACTATATTTCATTAAATGACCTTAATGTCCCTTATTATTGAATTGTATGTAATATATTTTTCTTATGTAAATAAATTATGAAAAAATTCATACTAATTTGATGAGATATTTCCATTAAATTTGCATAAATTTACCTTTCATTTTTTTAATGAATTATTTAAATAAAAATTTTTAGTAAAATTTTTAATGAATATATTACATGAAAATAAGGTATTTTTTTCAAAAGAATTTTATTAATTTTTCTTCAATATATTGTATGAAAAAGCTGATAATTTTTTATGATAAAAATGTTTAAATTGATTATAATACGTTTTATTATAAATAATAAAATTTTAAGTTAATCAATTTAGAAAATTGTAGTTACAAATCTATTTATCTATTTTTTTCATTTTTATGATAAATTGATACTAAAAATACAATTAAGGTAAATAGTATAATTAATATTTACATAAGAGAAAAGATAATAAAAATAATTTAATAAGAAATGAAAATTTTAATAAGAAAGGGTAAAATAGTCTTTTGTGATAAATTTGTCTTTAATTGCAACAAATTAATAATTTAGGGAGGGCGATTTTTAGTTAGAGTGTTATTTGCAAAAGGACAAAGTTTAGGGAGTTTTTTTTTGGTACTTAACCCTATTATTTATATGTGCAAGTGTGTCTTGTACCTTAAAGAAGTTGGCCCACTATTCTTAACTTCAGCCCAAACAATATGTACTACAAGACCAACTTTAGCCCATCCAAACTCAACATAAACCCAATCCATATACATGTAACCAACCATTTAAAAAAAATCTAAACACAACTCACAAGCCCATATCAAAAGCCCATCTATTTAAACATATTAACCACGTCTCATCTCAACCCTAAATTACCTAACAGTTCACTGCAGCGACCACGACTCGAGGCTCACAATAGCGTTTAAAGCCCCCAAGCAGCCGACGAACACTGTAACAACAGAAGCCCCAAGCTTAAAATCGGTGACTAAAGGCAAAAAGTGCATTTAATAAATTTTTGTTTTTGTCTTGTCTTTGGGAATAGTGCATAATCTCCCATACAAGAAATTATGTTTTTTATTTTTTTAATTAATTAATTTATTTTAAATTACGCAAAAATATACAAATGGGAATCAAGGGATTTAAATTTTTTGTTTAGCTGCCGAGCCCAGCTTGAGCTCATGCGCAACCGAGCTGAGCTCCGATCATTGCTAGTCAAAGCTCCATCCGAGTCCGGACACTCGGTTAATTTGTTTTCTACTTACAGAACTATTATTTTTACTTACCCCCCAAAAAAAAACCCTATATTAGGAGATTCACATATATATATATATACACACACATATATAAGGGTAAAGAGCAAAAATATTTCTACTAAATTTTTTTATTTAAATAATTAATTATAAAATTTAAAGGTAAATTTATGCAAATTTAATGAAAGATATCTCATCAAATTATAATGAATTTTTTCATAATTTATTTAGATAAGAAAAATATATTAAATGTAATTCAATAAGAAGGGACATTATGATCATTTAATGAAATATAGTATAATCTTTGGGTATGTTGCAACAAAATGAGATAGTTTAGGGAATTTTATGCATAAAATAAATTTAAGAGAGTTATTTGCAAATTTAAACATAATTCTAGGGGGCGATTTTTAGTTCGAGATTATTTACAAAAAAGTAATAGTTTAGGAATATTTTTTGGTACTTAACCCAATATACAAATGGGAATTGAGCCGCCGAGCCAAGCTTGAGCTCATGTACAGGCCAGCAAAGCTCTGATCATTGCCCGTCAAAGCTGGATCGAGCTTGATCATCCGAGTCCGAACACTCGATTAAATTATAGTCTGGAGTAAAAGTGTGCACTTAAATTTTAATCCAATATTAACAGGTCTATTGGATCCCTTCAATGCCAGACGGCCCAAACAGATTGCTAGGTCTAAGCCCAACACGCGGGCTGTAGTAGGGAAGAGAAGAGAAGTGAACAGAGCGTGTACTCACTACACCACCACCCTAAAACCCTCATTCACATAAACCTCGCTCGTTCTCTCTTGTTTAAAAGTCTCCGCTGTTCGAGATCTCCTTAATTGAGCTTTCTGTGAGTTAACATCCAATTCTGTTGAGGTAATTTGTTTATATGTTCGTGTATATATATATATATATATATATATATAGCAAAACCCTAACTTTTGAGTACACTAGTAATGTCAATTTTCTTGGATTACTATATCAATGTGATTTCCTGTATGGGAATTGGATGGAACTATTTATTGAGTTGTCTGTGGAATTTGCGTGGGTTTTGTGTTTTGCTAGTTGCGAAATCCGATTTCCAAATTTTATTTGATTGGTCCATAAATTTTTTTTTTTTTTAATTTTGTTATATTTCAATTTAATTTATGTTTTTTGATATGGGTTTTGATTGTATTGTTATTGGCTTGGGTTACCTTCTGCAGTTGTCTAGTCAGTCAAATGGGGGTGGAACAAGAGAAGAGTACGTCTGGCAAGATTATGCTTAATGGAGAACAGGTATTCGTATATCTGATATTTTTAAAAGAGGATTGATTAAGCATGTAGTGACTCTATGTAAAGTAGTTACTATTTAGTTTGCTTTAATTATTTTACACCTGTTGATAGTTTAGCTTACTGTAACTCATTATCTTCTTTAATCCTCCGCCATTACTTCCGGCTTTGCAATGTTTATTACGTTGTATTACTTTTTTGTCGGTTCTGAAAGAAAGAAATATAGAAAGAACTTATTGTAGTTTTAGGGAGTCCATTTAGCATGTGTGTGGACTTTTTTTTCCCTCTAATATTTTTGCTAAATTCAGTTTATTCCTTAAGGATATACTTGATAAAATATCATGGAAAAAGGGGGAAGAAAGGGTTGTGATCGTTATTTTAGTCGAGCGGTTACTTGTTCTTATGGCGTATCATGTATGTTGTTCTTCTTAATTGATTATCTTGTAAATTTGTAGTGCAACCATAACTATAAGCAACTCAGTTGTTCGAGAGTTTCTAATTATAAGACGCAGTTTTAAAATGTGTTGATCAAGTACCAGTGAGCTGTCATTTTGGTCTGGAATTTTTGCTTCTTCTGATATTCATTACTTCAGGCATTTGGAATCATTGTCTTGGGAACATAAGAGTTAGGACTGAAGTTGTATACTTGTCTTAGTAATTCTTTTAGATTTTTATTTTTTTGGCATATCTATACCCAACTTTCAAAATAAGTGGAACAAATTTGGATTTGCAGGAGATTTCTGATGAGATAGAAAAGAAAGTGAAGAAGTATCTTAGAGGTGAAGGTGCAAACTTGGAGGTATGACACTTTATGAGAGTTTCAATCATGTTACTGCTTTTTTCCCCCACCGCAAACGGTCTTATATATGCCTTATCAACAACATATCTATATTCGCAGGCTTTACAAGATAAAAAATTAAAGGGTCAGCTTGCTGTTAAAGAGGATTTATATGGAACTACTGCAACAACTGCTGCCAAGGCTGAGAAGGTGAATTTATTTTTATTATTTTTTATGCTATTTGATAGTTAAATCAATTTTCTTCAGTTGTTTCGACTCTCAAATTATTCACAAGTCCAGATTCTATATTGAATCTGAACTTAGTAGTGACATTTACTTTATATATGTAGGTTATGATCTACTGTTTTTCTTATAAATCTGATCTTTTGGACTTCACACACACACACACACATATATATATATATTATCACAAAATACATTAGAACTGTTAAACTGGATCTTTTTTTGTTATTCTATAAATCTTGTTGAACTGGATCTTGTATTTCTTTCATCTTATTTTTATACATTTTACTTAGCAAAAAAAAAAAAAAAAAAAAAATTTCTTTCATCTTATTTTTAAGCAGACAATATAGTGTCTTGTATCAGTGATTCCTATATATTCTGACATGTGATCATTCTATTTAGTGGCTTATGCCGAGTGAGGGGGGTTATTTGGAGGCTGAAGGTATAGAGAAGACATGGAGGATAAAACAGGAGTCAATTGCTCGTGAAATAGATATTTCGAGTTCAAAGAATCAATATGATATCGTCTTACCAGGTTGATGCCTACTGTCTAATTGGCTTTAAATATTTTGCTTCTCGATATGTGATGCATATTTTGCTCCTTGAGTCAAATCTGTTTTCATTTTCTTGGGCGGTGGGAATGGTTGTGGGTGTCCGGAGTCTTCCAGTTGAGTCGGTCACATCAAGCACATCTCATTTTGTTTACTTGTGGCATCCTCTTCGACCTCTTTCCCTCACCTATTTTGAAAAAAAATAAATTCAACCTGTTATTCGGTTGTCTCCTGGTAACCTGGTTATAAGTATGTATTGAATTTGGATTCGGGTTAACTCAGTACGCCTGAATTTTGGGCTTCTTTTGCAATCATTACCAATGCTCTATTGTATTATGAAGTGTTATCTTTTGTCATGGCATACGATACCCTTTATGACCTCTGAGGTACATTTTGGTGGCTAGTCTCATTTCCCTCCTCTATTATAGTGTTATTGAATTGTATTGATACGAGTTCTTTTGCTATGACCTTTTCATGGCTACTAGTATTGGACTCTCAGGTTCTAACAATGCTTATTTATTCGTGGCTGGATTAATTTTTTTTTTTTATTCACATAAAATGTTACTTCTATGCGCAGAGCTTGGTCCGTACACACTGGATTTCACCTCAAGTGGTCGGTTTATGGCGGTTGCAGGACGCAAGGGTCATCTGGCTATCATAGACATGAAAAATATGGGCCTTATTAAAGAATTTCAGGTATGTCAAAGGCTTCAAAATGAGCTCGTCCTTCTTGAATAGTGATTGGATCTTACTAGAATCTTGGAGTTCCATTAATGCTATGATTTTATATTTTTTGTTAACCCAATTAGTAATGCAGTTATATTATGTATCGTATATATTTCTATAAAAGAATTTTGAAACTATAATTGGCCAGGATCCATGTATTGGGCTCACTATGTGTTTCCTTCTCATCTATATTGTAAATTTTATGGCAAGGTGTGAAAGTGTAACTTCCATAATGCTTTTGATGAATTCTTGAGAATTGAGATGGCCACTCTCCTTACATTTTAAAATCTTGTTTTTCCTTGAAGCTGAGTGTAGTGTGGAGCAACTTATCTTGACAACTTTGATAGATTTTTATAATAGGTAGTCTTGTGTGATACTGAGAACCTTTTCTTCTCATGATATGTCCTCCTTTGCACATGGTTCACAAAATTACATTTCAGCTCCCTTTTGTCAAGTATTTTTTAATTGAATATGTAATGCAAAGGCTGCCTTCTCACTCTAGAAATTTTATTTTGTCACCTTGAGTAAATTTGTCGTCTCGGACAACCTTTATCTACAATAATGTTAACACTGGGCTGATACCGCAATTGCAATGTGCTACATCCGGTTTGTTTAAAGGATGCACATTGTGAAACAAGTTCCTGAACTATCCTGTTTTCATTGTTTTGGAACAACACATTATACAACCACAAGGAGGGTGCTCTAATGAACATCCTTTCAATTTTGTAGAGTTCCAACAAAGTGTACCGGTTGGTTGATATCTCAATTGTCATGGTTTATTCTTCCCTTGAAGTACCTCACCTCTGCCTATCTAGACTCATGGCAACTTCATACACATGACGCCTCAGATTTCCTCTATATAACTTGGGGTGTTTCTAGTAATCGTTCCTCTACATTTTCTAGCCTTTGATGACTAAATCCATATTAGTTCTGAGTTGACTTTCTTGTTACAGTTTTGTGGTTTGTGAAAACTACTTACAAGCTTGATTTTTGAGAACAGAGTGCATCATTATAGAACTGGTATTTAACTTGAGGCAAAATTTTAAGAACTATAAAGTAATGATATTTATAATAAAAACAAGAAGTTTAAATGATAAAAATACACTTATTGTAACATTTGTGGTGAACGGCTTCTTTATATTAAAGAGTAAATTACTCTGACCTCTCATGAGGATTTTAAAAATAACCCTTGGATGAAACTTTTGTAAAAATAACTATGACACTCCTTGTCATTGACAGTGTTAACTTTTTCTCTGTGATTAACTTTTACTCTGTACCTAGTCTATCCAAAAAACACAAGAAAGAGGGGGAGAGAGAGAGAGGTGAATTGGAAGGGATAAGAGGCTGGCCAGCGATCATGCTGGAAAACCACCCGTGGTTGCCCTTAGCCCCAAAATCCCATCACCAAACCTCCATTCTCATTATTACACCTTCTTTGAACCATAACCCAACGGATCATAGAAATTAAGGATTTCGATGGTCAAATGCATCACCTTCTCCCACATTTGTTTTCTCTTGTAGACTATTGTCTTCAACAAATCCAAATTCAATTTAGCCAAAGCAGATGCTTCTATCTAGTACAAATATAAGACTAGTTATTCATTAATGGCACGAGGAAGGCCTCAAACTTGGGGTTGCAGAGGAATCTCAGAGAAGAGAGGGCTGTGATGTGATGGTCGAGGTAGTGCCATAGCTAGTCCTCTCCTTCTCTGTATTTGCAAGCTTTACACGTACATGTGTGTGCGTTTCTAAATACCTATAATCAATCCGTATATACATGTATAGGCACTTGTTTTTTTGTTGATGCATGGATGTGTGTCCCACTGTCCCTGTGTGTATGTGTGCGCTTCTTTGTGTCTGTGCTGTTTGGGGGAAGTTGACAAGAGAGGTGGTGGTGGTGGACTGATGAAGTTGGCAACTGAGAAGGAGAGGTGTTAGATTTAAATTGGTTGCAATTTTGTTCTAAAAATTGAAATGAAAGGTAAAATTGTATTTTAGGAAAATGAATAAGGCTATTAAAGACTTTTTATCAAAACAAAGGGAAAAATTGGCATTTGGTAAAAATTTCAGTAACGATCTTAACAGCCCATTAACAGTCAGTAGACATGGTTCAGGTTTCCTGAAGTCTTTCCCATGCAAACCCGACCCTTAGCAAGGTTGGGAAATCGTAATTATAAACTAAGAAACCTTAGCCTAATCTTACCGATTGGACTGGGCTGGATTGAGCCTTGGGGTTGGTTGTCTTCATCTTTATGAGTTGCATCCATGATGCTGCCCAACATGGTAACATATTGATTCTAATATATGATTGGTATAAGGATGTAATATCTTGAAAAGTTACAGCATTTTAGTAGAGTAGCTGTAGTATGACTGAATCTACTAAAATTTATCAATTGCAATGCCATTAAGTTGGAGTTCCATGTAAAATGGTCCTTCAAAAGTCTTTTGCACTTCTGATGGGGTATGCTAAGCTTATCTCATTTTCATTTGTTTGCATTAGCAGGGTGTGTCAAATTATCTGTTGTAATCTATGCATTTTTTGTACATTAAGAACCAGGATTAACCGACTCCTGATATCATCAGCATCATTTCTTATGTTGTTCAATTGTCATAAGCTCAAACCATTGCATGGAAATATTTACATTTGATATACACAAGTGTTTTGAACAGTAATTCATTAATTCAAATCCTTGCATAAGTTCATAGAGGTTTACTTTGCTCTCATTTTATTTTTATGAATTCCTAGTTTCTGTTTTGTGTTTTTGAGAACTCCCATTTTAAATGATTTCTATCGTTGTTTCTCTATATGAATATAATATCCATGGTTCATATGAAAGATGAAACTTTGAGTTGCTAATTCGTGATTCTTTTAGGTTAGGGAAACAGTGCGCGATGTGGTGTTTTTGCACAATGAACTCTTCTTTGCTGTTGCCCAAAAGAAGTAAGGCTCTTTCTTTTAATGGTAATATATTTTGCCCTTCATATGTAGTCCTATTTGTAGAAATGTTTCACTTAGCATGCATGGGTGTATGACAAGATATGGACGTGTGGGCCCAATGTTCATGGTGCTCGGTTGCTAATAACTTGTTGGACATGACCTAGATATGAAACCAAGGGCTAGTTTGGTGTGCTGGAATGGGGATGAGGTAGGAATGGAATGCAATTGGGAATGGAATGGAATGCAATTGGGAATGGAATGGGAATGATGCAGGAATGGAATGATGATTCTGCTTCCACTGTTTGGCTGCAAACCGAGAATGATGCAGCAGTGGAATGACCATTCCGATTCCCCTGTTTGTTTAGACCAATTAATAAGTTGGAATGGAATAACTTTTAAATTAGTTTCTCCAAATACCCTTACTTATAATATATCAATTATATCAACGAAATGACATATTTTTATTATTTAAATTGGAATAAAATATAACTAGCTTATACCAACTATTGCATTTTTATAAAATCTATGAAAAATATAACTATCTTACAAAATGTAAGAAAAATGTACGAAAATCTTGAGTTCAAGAAAATCTATTAAAAAATTAAGAAAAGACTAACAATTTGTTGTGAACCCGAGACCTCACAAATAATTGCTTTTATTTATTGTGAACCCATCGTATTAGTGCCCTAAAAAATAATTACTTTTTATGAGTAATGAAGTTTGTAGCAATTTTGAAAGGCTTTGAAAGAGCAGTTACCATTTTTCAAAGAAATAGCCTGGGCAATGATGGAACACAAGACTAAACTTCTTGTAGTCCAAACTTAACTAGTATTCTATAAAAACATTATATTAAAGTAAAAAAAACATATCAGCAGCAGAATACTCTACAATTGCACTTAAAAATGTGGGTGTTGATAAAAAATGTTTAGCAGCTGTACTCGTTAGAAAATAGAAATTCTGGCTGCATTTAACAATAAAATTTTTAATAGAACATCCTTAAACAATAAATAGATCACTGATAGCTAAAATGCATAAGCCGGGAGTCAACAATATTTTAAAAAAGCTGCTAAACAAAATGTCCTTCCGGCAATTCAATATTGCACAAACTGTCAAACACCACAAGCATGCATCAAACACCAGATTCAAGCCTGGGCTAGAGATCAAGTCTTGACAAGCTGGTACATTTTTTGGAACACAAGACCAAACTGATGGCCTTTGTAGATTCAAAAGTGTAGCACTACCAAACACCACAAGCATGAATCCGAAACAGGGAACCATAGTTTCTTAACACCATAGAACTACTTGGTTCATCCAAAAACTATATCCAGAAGTCTAAGTAGCATTTATAGAACTACAAATAAGTACATGGAACACAAACACATACTAACATTTCAAGTAACATTACATTTCTTAAAGTGCAACTCAAAATGTAAAATGAGATAATAAACAAAAGTTTAAAAAAAAAAAATGAATTTCATCTCCCTTGTCTCCTTGCCCTCCATTCATCAAACATATGAGCAACTAAGTTCTCTCTCCAAGTACTCCATTCATTTGATGTTTCGATCGTCGTAATTGAACCGCTATGTGCTTCAGTTACCACTTGTTCCTGAGCTTCTAAACTTTCTTCCAATGGGTCTCTCGGCATCTCTTGTCTTATAAGATTATGTAAAAGACAACAAGCTAGAATAACCCCGAACTTGTACCTTAATTGGATAAAATGAGGGACTCCTTAGAATTGCCCAACATAACTTGAGAAGTCCAAAACATCTCTCTATCACATTTCTAGCTGCCGAATGCTTCATGTTGAAAAATTCACGAGGGGTAGTAGGTTGGTGTCCTTCCCTCCAATCATTCAAGTGATACCGTTGTCCTCTATATAGTGCAAGAAATCCTTGACAATTTGTATATCCAGCATCAACAAGATAGTATTAACCTTTATAATAACATAAGTTTTAGTGATAATTTTCTATACTTGAGGATAAACTAAAGCGTGAACATTGTTGTATAAACAAGTTCCTTACCTTGAGGGACATTGAATCCATTTCTCTTCTCCATTGCCTCTCGAAGCACTCTAGAATCTGCAGCTGACCCTTCCCACCAGGTAGCACATGTATAAATTGCATGTCTTTTGAACACACTCCCAACATATTTATTGCAATTTCACCTTTTCGTGTTCTATACCTAGACTTGTCTTGAGTAGGCACTTTCACCTTTATATATGTCCCATCCAAAGCTCCAAGACAATTCTAGAATATTACAAAAAACAAAAATACGTCAGTCAAGTTCATAATAATTAAGAGATGTCTTCATCGAGAATCTAAAAGACCATTTACCTTAAACCATTTACACCCCTCATCTGTTGAATTTGAAGGAATTGGCTCCGGTTTTTTCAGCAAAACTCCATGTAGACGTATGACGGCATTTAATGCACTATTGAAATGTCTACTAATAGTTTCCACTGATCGCCCAAAACGAAACTTTATGACTCGATACTTGACATGATGTGCAGGAATATGTAGAAACATTGCAACTTGTTCATCTATCATCAATTTTTTTTTTTTTTTGATAAGTAACTCGTTCATCTATCATCATATTTTGTGTTTCCTTTAACCCACCTAAATTTTTGAAGCAAGGAGCACAATTTGGTAAAGGTATGCCTATCCATTCTAAGTTTATCTATGCAATTTCTATCACTCTTGTAAACTAGTTGAAAAATATATTTTATTTTTGAGTAAAAATCCATTATGTATCTCCTTCATAGAGATACATAAAACACAATTAAGCAATAAATCAGTTGAAGCCACCAACTCACTGCATACTCTATGTTTGACCATACTGTTACTAGTGCCATTACTTTCTTTTTTCTTGTCAACTTCTTTGTTGCTGAATTGAGTCGTGCCATTGCTGCATTAAAATAAATTTGTATAACTTGTAAACTTTATAGATAACAGTCAAATTATATAATTATTTCAAGATAATATCTAACAAAATTTGAATGCATAAAAGGATTAAAGTATCAATGTATTTCTGCAGCTATACTGCTTTAAAGTTAATGGCTCTACAGGTGTATGATATCTAGCATGTGAATGCAAGTGAATGGTACCAACTGAAAAATAATAAAAAAGAATAACAAAATCTCTGTTTTTGTCTGTAAATTAAAAAGATATGGATGTGATTTTCATTTTTTGGCAGTGTAACAAGTTAATAGCCTGAAAAAATGGTTCAAAAAACCAGTTTGATATTTCATATATTGCATTTTACTATATTCTTATTATAATCATTTTATTATCCAAAATGTTAATAGATTTATGCGATATCAAATTTGGGGTGTAGCATTCAACAATTTTAGTAGTATGACTAAGGTTATATAATATCCATGTTATACACTTGCTGTTTGTCCACACACACACACAGACACACACACACACACACACACATACATATGGGTCGAGTTGTAATCTGGACAGAGATAGAGCACAAACCGGAGAAACACAACATATAAAAGGCTTAGAGAGAGAAAACTGTCTATATACATACATATTATATATATTTATGTATTATTCTCTATATGTGTGAAGAGAAAAAGATCTAGGTTTGCACTGAAAAGAGAGGGAAAGAGAGAATGTACCGTCACAGAGAGAGAGCGGAGGTATCGTAGAGAGAGAGAGTGACCCTGTTGGTAGATTTGTCCGAAACGAACCCAAAAGGTATTTTGGTACCATAGAGAGAGAGAGAGAGAGAGAGAGAGAGACCTTGGTGGTAGATCTGTCTGAAAAGAAGCCAATGGGTATTTTTTGTCTTAGATTTTTATATACAAACATATTATATATATTTATATACATACATATTATAAAACTGTCTATATACATACATATTATATATATTTATATATTATTCTCTATATGTGTGAAGAGAAAGAGATCTAGGCTTGCGCTGAAAAGAGAGGGAAAGACAGAATGTACCGTCATAGAGAGAGAGCAGAGGTGTTGTAGAGAGAGAGAGCGACCCTGTTGGTAGATTTGTCTGAAACGAACCCAAAAGGTTTTTTGGTACCATAGAGAGAAAGAGAGAGAGAGACCTTGGTGGTAGATCTGTCTGAAACAAAGCCAAAGGGTATTTTTTGTCTTTGATTTTTTTTTTTTTTTTACTATTAGTGGGAATGAGTGGGAATGGAATGGTCATTCCACATCTCAAGAAGAGGAAGGAATGGGCATTCCCTGGGAATGCCTTGAAATGGCCATTCCACTTTTAACGTGACACACCAAACAAGAGAAGGGGAATTAGAAAGTGGAATGGTCATTCCATTCCAGCACACCAAACTAGCCCCAAAGGTATGAACTTTTAAGTCATCATTAATCACTCTTTCCAAGGACATGAAATTGGCACTTTTCAATAATAGTGTTTTTTTTTTTTTTTTAAATAAAAAAAATTGTGATGTTTCAAGTAGGATCTGGCTCTGGATACGAAAATGATGGCACCCTTTCAAATTAACTCCCTGCACCTGCTATCTCTCTCTCTCTCTCCCCTCTTTTTCGCCTTCAAAATATAGCTTTTCATAGTTCATCTGGCAGATTAATAATAATTTCATTGGTTGCTTTAGCTGATCAAGTCTATTCAACCTTGGACACCATCCATGTAGACTATGTTGTAATCTAAAATACTTCTTCAATCAGTTCTGTGGTTGTCTTGTGATGAAATTTTATTTCTTTTCCTTTTTAAATTCACTTGGTTGGTAGTCAAAGCCGTTGTAGCACAATTTTATATTGCTGGCATGACATCTTAATGGGAAGGTGGGGTTAAAATTTGATTCCTACCTCCTGTCTATATAAATATATATGATCATCCATGATACATTTTTTTTCTTCGTGTTTTTGATTAAACATTATTTACAAAGATACTCGACCACCATTTTTAACTTTTTCTGCTCGGTTTCATTGTCCAGATTTTTTCTTGGTGTCCTTTCATCATGTCAAATCTGCCTTTGGATTAGTCTCCTTTTCTAATCATAACCTGCGACTCTCCTCATTTACTAGGCTTTTGCTTTGTTTTATGATCTATTATTGGTGACAGTTTATGATTTAATCTAAATAGGATGGTTGATGTTTGTTTTTTAGTTGGCATGTACTTTATTGCGGAATATTTGTAGTTCTGACAACTGACAAGTTACTTTTGCCGTGCTTGCATGTCTTTTAACTTTTCTTTTTGTTCAGGGGATCTAAAAATAAGGGCCAATCCAACCATTTTATTGATGTGTGGGTGTTGGGGAGGGTGGGAAGCTAAATTCAGTTATATCTTCAGCCTTTTTCCTGTTTGTGGGACATGTTACATGGGTTTTATTTTTTCATTATGTTATCTTATAACTATTTAGGCTAGCTCTAAACTCTTGTGAAATCAATTTTCTAATTATATGCTTCTTACCATTCCATAATCCTCATGCGCAGCTATGGTCACTCTGTGTACAGTGCACACACGTTTTGATCCAAATCTATTACAAAGAATACAACCACCACCACCAGGTCCACCAAACCTTTTCCCAATTACTTGGGACAGCTACATGAATCACATGTTTCCATTCCGCTCTATTTAAGGCTATAGCCTCAGTCAGTCCACATGCTATCATATCTTTCTTTACTAACTCTACCCACGTTAACTTTGGTTTTCCTCTTCCCCTAGTATCACAAAGAATGTCTGGTCTTATTAGGTTTACCCACATAAATTCTTGTTTTGGTTCAATACGACTAGTTGATCATGTAATATTCACTCATTTAATTCTTTGAAGGACTTTTTCCTAACATTAAAGTTACTTGGCAGTTAAATATATCAATGACCTGTAGAGTATGTATCAATTTTATATATTTTTCTAAATGTATATGATAATTAATACTTGAAATAAAGCATTCTACATTCTTATTTGAAGATATACCTAAGCGCACACATTTGTAACAGGTACCCATATATGTATAACCGGGATGGCACAGAACTTCATTGTCTAAAGGTTGGTATTCTGGCCTGTAGATACTTGTATATGACTTTTTTGGCTATAGTATGATTTCTTTGATCCTCTAGTATGCCAAAGACTTTCTCAGCAGCAGTTGATTGTAAATTTGTCATATTAGTGCATATACATTTGTTCTGTTTCTGGTCATCTCTTTTATTATCTTTAAAGCTTTTGCCTTGTATGCCTCTATCCATACTTAATTGACAATGCAATGAATGCATGGGGGGATCACATATTTCAAATAACAATTTCAGTATCAAAAGTTGTATTCAGGAATACAGAATTGCAGGTCCATTGACATAAGTTTATGAACTTCCTGTTGTCAATCTAGACTTTATGTGTCTCGTAGTGGCTGTATACTTTGGATCCCAAGAATGAAAACCCTTTGGTTTTAAACATATGGATTCACACAGTCTGCTTCCCCATTGTTATGAGACCACTATTTGTCCCAAGTATCTGACATGGTTTTATGCTTCCTTAGAATTGTTTCACTTATAATTGTCCGGAAGTAAATGGAGAGGTTGGAGTGATGTGCTAGATAGGACTTTTTGAACACCTTACCTGGAGATGGTGCATTTTCTTTAATAAAATATTAGGCTGTCCACGTCAGGAACAACTAACTTATTTTCTGAAGCATAAACTTTTGTGAATTATGATTTTCTTATGCAAAGGCCAACATTTGTGATCAAGTAGAGGGTTAAATCATACAGCCAAATGTATTTGAACTTCTCAGACCATTTTCCCTTTTTAGTATGCTCATGTGTAGCTTGTGGAGGACTTTTGATAAAGATGCTTAGCTTCACTGCTTAAGTTTTAGTGGCTTATTTACGGCTCCTATTTAATCAGCTACCTAAATTTGCGCATGAGTAGGCCAAGAACCTTTCCGTCATCTGGTTTCGTCCTTATCCAAACTCGATGTTAGCATACCACCTTATGGGGAATTGTATTTGAATCCATGGTTCCATGCACACCTCTCTTTTGATGACTGCGTGTCTAGTTTCTAACACGGGAGCATGTTGGCTACTTTACTATTTTCTCTTTTTAATGGTTATAATTTACTTCAGATGCATAAAAATTGATCTATGTTTTGTATGTCCTCCAGGAACACGGTGCTGTGCTAAAGCTTCAATTTCTGAAGAACCATTTTCTTTTGGCGTCCATAAACAAATTTGGGCAGCTCCATTACCAAGATGTTACTACTGGTGAGATGGTGGGTAATTACCGGACTGGTCTAGGCCGTTCTGATGTTATGCAGGTGAATCCCTTCAATGGTGTGCTTGCTGTGGGCCATTCTGGGGGAACAGTAAGCATGTGGAAGCCCACCAGTGCTGCTCCCCTTATCAAGATGTTGTGTCATCATGGGCCAGTCACAGCCTTGGCATTTCATCCTAATGGCCATCTCATGGCAACGGCCGGTATGGAGAGAAAAATAAAGCTTTGGGACTTAAGGAAATTCGGGGTTCTCCAAACATTACCGGGCCATGCCAAGACCTTGGATTTCAGTCAGAAAGGTTTGCTTGCTACTTCAACTGGATCTTTTGTACAGATTTTGGGAGATTTATCTGGATCTCAGAATTACAGCCGATACATGAGTCATTCTATGGCAAAAGGTTACCAAACACGGAAAGTCTTATTCCGACCGTACGAAGATGTTTTGGGCATAGGGCACTCCATGGGCTGGTCTTCTATTCTAATCCCTGGGTCTGGAGAACCCAACTTTGATTCTTGGGTTGCAAATCCATTTGAAACATCTAAACAGCGGAGAGAAAAGGAAGTGCGCTCACTTCTTGACAAGCTCCCGCCAGAGACAGTTATGCTAGACCCGTCGAGGTTTGGTACAGTGGTGCAGAGGAAGAAGAAAGAGAAGCCATCGAAGCAGGAGAGAGAGGCTGAAATGGAAGCTGCCATTGCAGATGCCAAGGACATTTCCTTCAAGAAGAAAACAAAAGGTAGGAACAAACCAAGTAAATTAGTGAAGAAGAAGCAGGAAGGTGTTGAGAGGGCCAAGAGGCCTTTCTTGGAGCAACAGGGGAAGGAGGAAGACTTGTCTACAAAGAAGAGACATAAAACAAGCGAGGAAAATCAACTGCCAAAATCTTTGCAACGATTTGTTCGCAAGCAAGTGGAAACATAGATTGTGCTCCGCTTTAGTCGCGTTTTAAAAACGTTTTTTCCCCTCTTATCCTCTCCACCAAACAAAGGAAGCTTGCTCGTCCTTCCTTCCTATCTTCTCTCCGCCCCCTTTTCCTTCCTTTACCAAACGAACCATAAATTTCATCCTCCAAGAAAAAGGTAAAGAAATGTATCATTTTGTTTTTTCTTTTCAAATTCTGTTTAGTTTTGTTAGCCATTAGAAACAAACTGGCTAAGAGGCTGTGTACTTTGATTTTCGGCCTAGTTTTGTTTTATCAAACATTTACTCATGTAACAGGGGCATGTGTTGAGGCATTTTTTGATAATGATTTTTAAATTATTTCTGTTAATCTCAAAAAGCGATTCACTTGCATTTTTGTATTATTATTATTATTATTATTTTTTATCAAACATCTGCTTCTGTATCTGTGAATTGTATGTATTAATGCATTTATCTGTGTGTGTTTGCTTCTGAGAATTGTATGTATTAATGCCCATACTACATAGGTAATAATACGTGTATACTTACTATGCATATGTATGTATGTGAACAATCAACTTTTTTAAGGATAACATATGAAAGGTAAATTTCACCTTAGCTATTATTGTTTTTATTAATTTTTACCTTCTGTTGGGTCATGACATATAAAATAACAATGCTATAGTACTAATAAGTAGGACAAACTGTCTTGAACACAGATGATGTAACATTAATTATTTTCTATGAGAAAATAAAGTAAGCAATTTTTGTTCTTACCCAAACGTTAATCAAGGAGTAGTTCTTTATATTATTTTGCTAAAATGACATATTTGCACTAGATGTGGGGAAAAGTTTAAATTCTGTTTTGTTAGTTTTTTTAGAATATTTTTTGACAACTCAGGTAAAAAATAGTACTTATTTTTGTAGAACTGTTTTTTATAATTTCTGTTTTCTATGCAACAGAATAAACATATAATTTTTTTTGGATAAACTTTCCTTTATCTTCCTTGAAGTATTGTGAAGTTCTAGTTTATGTAGCGAGACTATAATGTTAGTTTTGTTACTTTTGCCATTTTAATGTTTTAAATGACAACAGAAAGAAAAGGGCAATACTTGGGTCTAACCCACTTTATCCAATCTGTTGATGTGGCGCAATAAATTTAAAATAAGTGTCCAAAAGCAAATGTCAATTTAATTTTAACACTTGTCGTAATTTTATTCGGCCACATTAATAGGTTGGATGAAGTTGGATTGGATGCAAGTGTTGTTCAAAAGAAAATAAGCAAATATCAATTTAATTTTAATACTTGTCGCAATTTTATTGGACGACATTAGTAGGTTGGATGAAGTTGGGTTGGACCCAAATATTGTTCAAAAGAAAATGGACAGAAAGTTGGCTTTATTTAGTTTTTAACTCTGAGAACAGTTAACATAAAAAACTATATAAAAAATTCTGCCTCATTTAGTTATCTGAAAATTCAGTTATAAAAAGATTTATTTTCATAGAACTGCTTTTTATTGTTCTCTAAAAATTATTTTATATTATTTTAATTTTTGAGAACTATATTCAAAGTTACAAACGGAATAAGCCTTTAATTTTGTTACTTTTGTATTTTTTACTGTTTAAAATGACAACAAATATTTAACTGTCCTCAAAATTAATTAAGTGTTGAATATTGACAAATCATATCATCATCTCATCAATAATTATTATTATTATTATTATTATTATTATTTTGTGTTAGGTAAAGAATCAAATCCAAGACGTAGCACGTTTGGTCCAAAAGACCCTTGATTGACGTGGCATGGATGAAAATTGAGTAAATTTGAATTGTTTTATCCAAATTGGTGCTGACGGTGAATTCCGAAGGAGCCCTGTTCAGGTGGGCTTCTGGTGCCTAAAGGAGTACTTCAAGTCGCCAAAACCACACAGAGTGTGTGTGATTTAGAGAGAGACAGGGTGTGTGTTTAGAGAGATGCCGACTGCTGTTGCCATTCTGAGCCTGGCGTCACCCGCAGCTACCACCACTCTCTTATCCTTCACTCGTTCCCCTCTCTCTCTCCTCCGACAACGCGCGCACCCTCACAGCATCACTTTTCTCTCTCCTACTTCACCCACTCCGACCTCACTGATCAGCTCTACCAAACGCCTCCTCGGACCGTACAATTTCCGTTCCTCAGCCGCCGTAGCCGCCTTCTACGGCGGTGCATTCTTGCAGGACGCCGGAGCGACGGCAGCGGTCATGGTCAGCGCTTACGGTCTCGTCTCCGTTTTCGACAATCTTACTCAGCGCAACCTCATCGAACAGGTCTTGCTCAATCTCAATCTCTCTCTATATATATGCACACACAGATACATTACAGGTAATTATATGCACGAATATGCACAGATACAAGCTTAAATACATATCTTTAATCTGTTTGGATTATCTTTCTGTTAGATCCTCACTTCAATGCATAGGGTTCTATTAGATTTTCTTTCTCTCTCTACTTTTTTCTTTTTCTTAAATCTTCTTCTGGATTGATTTCTTCAATTACCACTTCCAATGGCTATTGTCTCTTAGTTGGATAAGATAAGGTGTTAAAGTGTTCTATATTTCACACACACATAAATGTATGTATGTATAGTTGGCATGACTTTATCTTTGAAATTGTCCTGTGGAGATTTGGTACGTATGCGCAATTATAAACCACATATAAAGTGGTTCACACATATAGTAATAAATTAACAATTTCCCTCATAATTTCAATATATATGCACGACCAAACCTGGGATTGTTTGTTTTCATGCCAATATTTGGAATTTAGAAGGACACTACTAATTTTGTTAAACTGTCAATTCCGAATTGATCCGGTGCTCCCAAACATAGCGTAAGGAAATTCACAACTAGTAAACTGTAATTGCTGAATTTGGAGTTCCAGTTTGTGGTACTAATTAAATACCAGCAATTAGTGAATGGAGTGCCTGTCAATTGCGGGAGTTTGATTTGAGATCTTTTCGGGGGTGTCACAAGGAGGAGGAGAATAAATTTATTAAATGTTTTAGTTTGAACTCTTGAAGATTTGATTCTAAAGAATGTCCTCTCATTTTAAGGGAAATATATAACTTTCAATTCCAAGTTCAAATTTAGAACAGAACAGCTCGCACTTGTAGTAGTAAGAGAGGTAGGAATGATAGCGTGAAACGTCTTCCATTTGTCCACAGAAAGGAAGTTCGGTAGTTTTCTAAAATTGTTTATCAGAACTGATGCAATTTTTTCTACTAGAATTCAATTCCCCCAAAACGACGTAGAAATATTTGATCCATTTGGAAGTTAATTTGTAAAAATCCTGGAAATGAGAGAATATTTTATCATTCAGTTGAACGATTTTATGTCCCTTACTTTCATTCGGACAATAATTCTTCACTCCCCAAATTTTTTCCCCAGAAATTGAGCAGGAAACTGGTCCACATATTGTCCGGGTTGCTTTTCATGGCTTCCTGGCCAATCTTCAGGTATTGATTCTCTTTCTGTCTGAATCCTTACTATGTCACACTATATATATTTGAGTACCATCAAATTTGTTTTTTCATTACTTCTTCAGCTGATGATTTTATTCATAGAATAGCACATCGACAGGGGCTCGCTACTTTGCCTCTTTCGTTCCCTTCATTAATTGCTTAAGACTAGCCATTCATGGGCTTTCCCTGGCTACTGACGAAGGACTTGTAAAATCTGTTACTCGAGAAGGAAATCCAGAGTAAATTTTCCAAGTATCATTGTCAATTTTTTTATGAATTTGGTTCTTCTCCGTACATTGTCAGTGAATCTTCTTTAACTTAGATTCACTGTATCCCTTGCAGGGAATTGCTTAGAGGTCCTTTATATTACGTTCTCATGTTGATTTTGTGTGCTCTTGTCTTCTGGCGCGAGTCACCAATTGGGGTGATCTCACTGGCAATGATGTGCGGTGGGGATGGTAAGACCTCTGCTTCAATCCCGACTAAGTTGTCTCGAGTACTTCCATTGATTTCCTTATGACTTTGTGTAATTCAAAGGTGTTGCTGATATAATGGGAAGAAGATTTGGGTCCATAAAAATTCCTTATAATCAAAACAAGAGTTGGGCCGGTAGCATCTCCATGTTTGCATTCGGTTTCTTGATTTCCATGGGGTAGGTTTCAAACCTTCTCTTTACTCAACCTATATATATACGAGATGGAAGGTTAGCTTGCTCCAAATGAATTTTGACCTTGACATGGAGCTTCTTCTTCAATGTAGGATGCTCTACTACTTCTCAGTCCTCGGATACTTCCAAATGGATTGGCTTTGTGCTATGGAAAGAGTTGCTTTAGTTTCTTTTGTGGCAACTGCGGTGGAGTCCCTTCCAACATTGGGTGTAGTGGATGATAACATTACTGTTCCTTTAGCGAGTATGGCGACTGCATATATGACTTTCGGTTATTAGCTTGTCAAGCTTAAGTATTCTAGTGACCGTATTATTTTTTTTTTAATTTCATTTTGAGTGGAAACCTCCATATTTATTTAGTCAGATGGTCTTTTAATTTTTTTTTTTTTTCTTTTAAGTCTTACCATATCTGTTTTGGTTATGGTGCTTATTGATGTTCATGTACACCTCTGCCTCTTTATTCTGTTGTTAGTTCTGAAACAAGTAAATGAAGGTCTTCTCTTTTTAGACTTGGAGTCCATTGATTCCAGGTGTTATTATATGATCAATTTGGCAGCACCTTCTTCCGTCTTTCTTCGAGTTTCATCATTAATCCTGTTCCATCATCTTGATTTATCATGGCTCGTTAGTTTAATAACACATGTAGATTCCGCGGAGTAGGATCGAAACTGCTTGAAATTGGCCATAGAATATCCCTTTTTCGAACTTTCCTCTAACAAAGGCTTCACTGTACTGGGAAATTTTAGGCATTGCAGACTGGTTCCTTCAGTGCAAGGATACAAGTAAGCATCTTTGCAAAGACTATTTTTGTTCTGCACGTTCTCTTCCTCTTCCAGAACATCTAACCCTAATCTTCTTCGAGCTCGTTTCTTCACCGATACCAAGTGGAACCCTGAAACCATTAGAATCAGAGGAAACCATATAAACCTTTTTATGGCCTTTTGTGTTCCTCGTTTTAAGCGGCAACTTTTTGTTCAGTTAGTATGCAAATGGTGTTTCTTTCCGAGAACTATAATATTGTGTGTGTGTCTCAAGGACTCACTAATAGAACAGGGAAGACATACATGTTAAGCAGTTGTTTTGATAGAAGGCGCTTGATCCTACTTGTTAAATATTTATTTGAGATGTAAAAGTTAGCATTTAGTGTTATGTAATTTGCCAATGAGTCCTGCTATTTGGCCCGACAAAATAAAATATGACTCTTTAACGAGTCTATTTGGCTGCTTAGGTGTCAACTACAATGGATCCCATCTTAACTAACTTATCTACAAAGAAAAAACATCTTCTTCCCAACACAAACACCTCTTATGCAAAAAAAGAAATTTCAACTAAATCCTAGCACCCTTCTATCTTCAAATCAATCCAGTAATCCATACAAAATAAAACTAACTGAATTCATGGGGCTTTAATTATGATCATCAAAATCTACAAAATTACAACAACAAACATGGCAGTGTGTTAGTATAGTTGGATCAGTAAGGCACTAAAATTGAAATTAGCAAAAGATCTCAATAACAACACTGACTGAAACACCAAAATAACACAAACACCACCATCACCACCTACTAGTACACTCCAAACCCTCAGGCAAATAAGGATACACGGGAAAATAAGGAAAGGGATGAATATTGATTTTTAATGAAACAGAGCAGATAACTTAAGTCACACAATCATTTTCAATACGTGTCGCTCTTACACTTCGAGCACTCTCACGCTCCGTGCACTATCTCGCTCAAATTCTAATTATTTATGATTTAATTCTGTCACTCTCACGCTCGCGCTTTATGTGACTTGGCAAATAACGGCTCACCGCCTCAAATTGGATAATCTTCATTCCCGTAATGGTAACAAAATCTGATCACGGATAATCTTCACTTCCGTAATAGTAATAAAATTCAATTCAATAAATATGAATTTTTAGTGAATTTTATTCAATTTTTGAAGATCATTTAACACAAAAATTTACTCTTTTATAAATTCTAAGCTAATCTCATTGTTAAAAATGCTTAGTAATTATATTTTTTACTATATTAATGAATAATAATATAATTAAACATGAAATAAATGAAAATTCATACTACATATGACTAGGGGTGGCAATTTGTGTTTGTGGGTCGTGTTCGTGTCGTGTCGATGTAAGGGTATTATACTAAATAGGTAAATTCAGACTCAACCTATTTAATAATCGTGTCAAGAATTCTCAACACTAACCCATCCCGTTTATTAAACAGGTAAACGTATTAACCCGTTTAATGACATGTTTATTAAAACGAGACATTTAATATTTAATTAAATATTAAATAATAGAATAAAAATTGTCATAATTAATCCAAATATTCAAAATAATAAAAAAAAAATCATAAGGCCATAGACAAAGTTTTTGTTAAAATGACTTAATCAATTGGGTTTAAACAGGTAACATATTACATATGTCATATTCATGATTATAACATGTTGAGTTAAATGGATCAGAAACGGGTTACACGGGTTGAACTCCTCAACCCTAACCCGACACGGTTAAGAAAACGAGTTAATTGTGTCGACCCTTTTATGACCCAAACCCTTTTAACTCGTATTATGTTATTGTGTCATGTCGTAATTTGCCACTCCTGCATATAACATACGAAAATTTTAAAAAGAAAAAAATGGTTTTGTCTACCTATTAAATAAACTTTTTTTTACCAACAAGTCGGTGGCTTAGCAGTACCAGACTTTACTTTCTAAAGGGAGGTCAGGAATTCAAGTCTCAGTGGAGGCATGTGTGTATGAGTACTAACTAAGAAAGTAAAAAAAAAAAAAATTGTTTGTGTACTATTTTGATTAATTTTATTATAGCTGTTTACAATAATGACTAATTGAAATTTTATTTTGAAATTAATGGCCTTATTTTATTGACCCGAACCTTCAACCTTCTAATTTGAAGGTTAGGAAGTCGTGTGCATCATTTTTCTTTGCACCAAAGGTGACGAAATAGAGGAGGAAGGGAAGGTATAATTATGGTAAATTATTTAAGGTGACATATTAAAATTCATCAAATTTTGTAAAAAAACTATATAATGAGGGTACAGTTGTAAAAAAAATATAAAACACCTCTTTTTACAAACTGTGGAATGTGCGTGTCCTCTCTTTTTCTTTTTCTTGTATTTTGCTCGTTTAAACAAAAATTAGCAGTTTGGTTGAAGGGATGAAAAAATAAATGGAGGAAAGAGGGACAGAATGAATGAGACCCTGGGGAAGGATTTATTTGAGTGGATGTGGTGACAATTTTTTTTTCCTTTTTGGTTTACTTAATTGGAAATAAGGGAAGGATTTTGTTTAGTTGGAAAAAAGGGAATGATATTTTTTTATTATTTATTCTCTCTTCTAAACCAACGGGGTTAAGAAGGAAGGGGTTTGAGGAGAAGAACAGGCTTGTGTGAAAACAACTAAAGAGCCATGCAAGGCTGTGGAAGAGACGTATTCATCGGTTGGTAATTTTTCAAAACTGTATGACCTCCAACAATAAATTTCAAGATTCAAGCAAAAAGACCAAACTTGTCAATACCAAGCCTTTATTTCTCAAAGGAATCCGAAAGTTAGAGGTCAAGCGTCAGCGGAGGCATATATGTGTGATTACCAACTAATATATATATATATATATATATATATATATATATATATATATATATATTATACCCTCATTTAACAAGTGATTTTGTAAATAATTGATTATTAACATTGCTGTTACATACTTATAGGGTAGTTTTTCTTTCTTTCCATCCTCTCTTTAGCCTAATTTTGAATAAATAAATAATAGAAAAAAAAAGGGTTTAGAGAGGGATGCATATTCCTCTCCTCTTCTCTTCCCTTCCCTTCCTTTTTACCAAACAAGGTAAATTTCTTTTATGGATCATTTCTTCCAACCTTCCTTCCTACCAAATATAACAATAAGTGTCAAAGAAATGGCCGGTTCTTATATGAAAATCCGCCGGTTCTTTGTACAAAGAATTAGCTAGTGCTTTTTCCTTTGTTTAAATATGTAACAATATTTTGTATTTTGCAAACCACATAAATTACACCTCCATACACTATTTCTTTTATTATTTTATTCTAATACATCTCAAACCGATAATTCTTTAAAGGAACAATTTACATAAATGAAATACTTTGAAAACAAAATCCTCAAAGTTAAATGGACATAGATGGACCAACACTTCAAACCTAATTTCATTATATTGACAATGTGCATGATGTTGATTCCATTATGTCTTATTTAAATTTTGTCGTTTCTGTACTCCGACTTTGACATTCGCACTCACTCTTGCTCTCTATGACTATTCATTCTTACATGTGTCAACTGTCCATATGTAAAAATTCGTGTCATTTGGGTGAGTAAAGGCTAAGGATGTCAACTAGTCCCAGTCAACTCAGTCAAACCTGTGTTCGATTATTTGAGTTCATTATGAGTCTTACTTGAAAGAATCTGTCTCCTCAATCTACCAGTTACGTTTTTTACACAATCACTCTCCTTGCCAATTTTCTATTATTCTCATGTCTTTGATATTTTTATGACTATTATAAATTTAGTATTTTTTCTTTAATCCACAATTGATTGATAACCTACACATGTATATACTATGTATTATATATTTTGTATTATGCAAATCACATAAATTACACGTGAGAGCTTGGCTAGTAAGGATGTCAAGCTAGTCTTAGTGAACAATAAAAATTGAGTTCGGTATGGATCTTAACTTGAAACAATTGAACAGAAAATTCTAAAATTAAAGATCTATACCAATCTCTCAAAACATTAATGGATATTAATTTTAAAAAATCAAGACTTTGAAATATATATATGTATACACACACACACACACATATATAAAGAGGAAGAATAATGGCGGTGTCTCGGTAAGTCATTGGCCTTGGTTCAAGCAGATTCTGGGTAATTACGTACCCAAACCAAACAAAAGCCCAGCCCGGTGAGAAAGATATAGAAGCTCTCAGCTTCAAACAAAGATTTGTATATTTTGCATTTTCCTTTAATAGTAAAATCATATAATTAATGAGATATAGTTCATAGTATAATATATATTTTCTTTTAAAATAATAATAATAATAATAATAATCATATTATATATATATATATATATATATATTGGGTAAAGATTTAAAAGTACAATAAGATAAGAGTTTAACAGCTGTAGATATAGATTCCTATTAGTATTAGGTATCAGATATCTTTTGTTACGATTTATTTTCTTTTTTTGTTTATCTTCTTAACAAACTCTGTTTCTCTCTCATATATGTATATATATGTATATTATTGTTTAATTTCATTTATAGTAGAACTCTTTGATCATATGCATGCAGAGAAAAGAGGGAGTCAATCTCTACGCGTCTTCTCAAGAGAGTTCTTCTAATGAGTCCTCCAACTATGGAGTCTGATCAGAAAACGAAGCCTAAATTCAAGGCTTCCCTAACAACTCAAAAGCTTCAAAGCCCTACAAAGCACAAACAACAAGAAGCTCAAGCTTTCTCTTCTGCTCTTTTGCAGGACAATGATCTTCTCAATGAGGCTTTGCTTGCATTGGATGGTGTTAACAACAGCAACAATGGTGGTGATGATGACAACAACAACAGTAGTAACTTCACCATCAACAAGCAGAGATATTTCGAATCTTTGCCACCTGGTTATAAGTTCAAGCCCAGTGATGAGGAGCTCATTGTTCATTACTTGATGAACAAAGTTGACAATAAGACGTTGCCACTCCACAAGATCAAGGATGTCAACCTCTACAAGCATAACCCTAGTCAGCTTGCAGGTCTCTACTTGTTCTCTCTCTATATCTTCTTTTGCATGTTTAATTTTTGCTTTTAGGGTTTTAGATGGTTATTTTTTGCTTTTAGGGTTTTTGAAGATCTGATATTGAAACCCCAAAAAATCTTTTAGGGTTTTATCCCTCAAGGGTTTTTCAGTTTTTAGTATTGGTTTCATTCTGTTTAAAAAGCAGCAAAATTCATTCAGTTAAATAAACATTATGATCTAGGAATAAGCATTAGCATGATCTAGAGTTCATTTAATTTTTAATTTTTATTTAATTTTTAATTTTTATTTTTCGGGAAGTCATCCATATTGGGTAGTTCATTCTCTAATATATAAAGCATTAAGCATGAGTTCATTTAAGCATAATCTAGAGTTCATTTAATTTTTAATTTTTATTTTTTGGGAAGTCACCCATATTGGGTAGTTCATTCTCTAATATATAAAGCATTAAGCATGAGTTCATTTAATTTTCTATTTTTCGGGAAGTTCTATAAAATGATATAGGGTTCATGACTTCATTCATTTCAATAAGCATTATGATCTAGATCATTATGATCTAAAATTGATCTTTGTTCCATACTTATTTTTGTTGGTTTTAGTTCATTGATATTGTTTTAATTCTTTTCTATATATATCATACTTTATCATCACTTTTTGAGTTTCCTGACTAATCAGAATTTAATTTGCAGTTCATATATATATATATATATCACTTTTTGAGTTTCCTGACTAATCAGTATTTAATTTGCAGTTCATATATATATATATATATATATATTTTTTAAATTGTTCTATTCTAGTTTTCTAGTATCCACAATCCTCCAATCTACCTTGAATTGCTGTCATTCTAACATTATGCCGCGATATAACTGTGGTGTATACACATCATATTCATCTATCTATTACCTCGCAAGGTATCAAAATCATAGTGTTAGATCTTCCTTTTTACTATTTGTTTTTTTCTGTTTTAAACTGAATTTCTTTTTATGTTTGTATTTTATATGTTTCTTCATTTATTATTGACTTACAACAATAATATATTGCCATGTCGAAAGCATAAATTAAGCTATGTACTGGTCTGTGGTCAAATGGTTATTATAGTATTATTGAAACCCTAAAAAAAAGCCATTCCAGGTGTTGTTTCTCTTATTTCCTTATTATTATTATTATTATTTTATCATGCATTAATTTGAGATCCCTAACAATCTTTTGATTCTTTTAATAGAGATTTTCCCAACATTGGCTGAAAAAGAATGGTACTTCTTCACTCCAAGGGACCGGAAATATCGGAATGGAAACCGGCCAAACCGAGCTGCTGGTGATGGATACTGGAAGGCTACTGGAGCTGATAAGATTGTTGAACACAAAGGTGATATTGTTGGATATAGGAAGGCACTGGTTTTCTACAAAGGAAGACCTCCAAAGGGTGACAAGACCAAATGGATCATGCACGAGTTTAGAGTTAAAGCAGAAGCTCCAAAAAGCAAAAAAGGAACTGATGACATGAGGGTATATACTACAACTCCTTCAATTACTGTATATATAGAATGCATATATTGCAATGCCTGGAGTCTCGTTCAGATATATTATTAGTAATACTTATTCTATGTGTTGTGTGCATACATTAACCTGGCCATGGTTGGAGTCTCGTTCGTTCAGATATATCATTAGTAATACTTAATAATCTAGGTGTTGTGTGCATATATTAACCCTCGTCCGTACATATATATTATTGCTAGCTAATACTTAACCTATGTGTTACTTTCTGCATATATTGCAATGCAATGTCTGGAGTCTCGTTCAGATATATTACTAAACCTCGTCAGACCTTGCGATGGCTGAAGTCTCGTTCAGATATATCATTATTAATACTTAATAATCTAGGTGTTTGTGCATATATTAACCCTCATCCATACATATATATTATTGCTGGCTAATACTTAACCTATGTGTTACTTTCTGCGCGCAGTTGGACGATTGGGTGTTGTGTAGGATTTATCAAAAAGCTAATCAAGCAAGAGTCAAGCGAAATCATGATGAATCTGGGGAGATTGAAGATCCCAAAACATCTGCCCCTACACCGCCATCAGTCCCAAGTTCTCCATTTGTTGTCAACCCGACGAATCCGAATGCTGTAGTGGAAATGAACTACAATTACAACCCGGTTGGAGGCTCAAACGGATTTATGGGGAACCCATTGGTTAATAATAACTATCCTCAAATGGCTTACCAAAATGGAGGACTAGTCCAAGCTGAAACGCAACAGCAATATCTCGATGCTTCATTAGTCCCCAACTATGCAAGGTTCAATTCTCATCATCTTCAGCAGCAAATGAATTTCAACTATGGGCCTGCTGCAGTACCAATCTCTTCTTTTAAGCCGCCACCTCCTCCTCCTCCTCCTCCTCCTCCTACTACTACTACCGTTCATCACACCGATAACATTGCCATGCCCATGCCCGGCCACCACTACATTAAAGGAGGAGACATGGCTTGGGATCCTAAGCCAAGACATGAAGAAGAAATTTGGAAACCAGTTTATGATAATTACGACGATTTCGCTCAGCTTGAATATTTGGGAAACTTGGAGGGTTTTGGTAATAATTTATCCGATAATGCCTCATACAATCCTCCGGCAGATTACCCAACTGACCACCCCAATTTACCCGAGGACGGCTCATATAATAATCCTCCAACTGACCCTTCGTCGTTCTGATTCGAGTTTGCTCCATCGTTTGGCAGTGCTGATGTACATAGGATTACGCAGCGCTGATGTACATAGGATTACATATTTTCTGATTCGAGTTTGCTCCATCGTTTGGCAGTGCTGATGAACAAAGGATTACATATCAGGGCGTGTTTTTTTTCCCGGCAAATAGTTATATTTTAGGTGTTCTTAGCTAGTAGTTGATTATATGTTATATACATATACATATCGACTAATTATGTCAGTGTCGTTTTGTAAATAACTAGCTTTAGGAGTTAGAGAAACTTCTGTATTTTATTTTTTTAAATAGAGATCGATAGAAACATTGTATTTTTGGAGTAGATTGATACATTAATTGCTTGTTATCTTCGGGTTTAAACATTTTTTGTTTTGAGTTATTAAACGCAAACAGTCTGGTGGATTTTCTTTATCTTTCTAGGATGTTTTTTTGCTCTCTCTTTCATGAGTAATGTTTTTTTCCTAGTTAATGAGCTTATTTTTGTTTTCTTGGCTTTGGGGTATGTGCATTGTTCTGTTTTTTATTTTTTTTGAAATGTGAATTTCAATTATATATATATATATATATATATATATATATATATATATATATATATAAAAAGAACAGAATTACATACCCACAGACATACAATACATTTGCAACGATGGTAATCTGGGCAGTGAAAAATATGAGGGGGCAATAGTGAAAATGTTTAAGAATTTTAGTGGAGGTAATAGTAATTTTTTTTAGGTATATATATCGAAATGAGAAAAATAGGCATAGTTAATAAAAAAAAATTAATTACCCCACCCCCCCCCGGCCGGCGAGCTACATTTAGATCCGTGCCTGTTTAGAGAGGAAAGCTTGTATCAGGTAGATTAATATAATTTAATTTGAACCTTCCTTTCGTATTTATAGTTTTGGTCGGTATAATATATAATATACATTAGTAAAAGATGAAAATCGTTTTCAACTCTTATTTTGAAGACTTGAACAGAAACCAGATCAAGCCTACATTATGGAGGAGCATATTTAGTTATCCAAAAATAGAAGAAGCTTATCCAAATCACTCTCAATTTTAGATATTCTTATTCTCAGGTAAAGATAAAATTGGGTTTAGGATGATCCTTAATTTTAATATATATTTGTTTAGTCACTATCGTGTTAAAAATTGGCCCTACCTTATTGTACACCAAAATATATGCAAAAATGCAAATATGATTGAAGAGTATGGACATCCCCATCCACACAGTTCTGCATTGTGGGCTCCTTTGTGCATCGGGTGTTAACAAAATAACACAATATGAGTCCAATGGGTCCCAAATTGTATAAGGATCGGATAAATGAGAATAACAAGATTGATACCCATACAATGGATAATATGTTTGTTGTGTGATCAGATATTTCATGAAATTAAAGTGATGTACTCAAATAATACTACCTTGCTTATTTATTTATTAATCTGATAAGTCTACTTTGGAAGTTATTTCATTATTTATTTTTTTATAATTATTATTACTATTATTATTTTATTTTGTTGGGTTGAAGATACAATTATAATAAGAACTCTTCTAATTCTAACCCTTCAATATGTAAAAACAGATTTTGTGCATTGGGGCGGAGCCTGTGTATCCGGGATGGGCCCACACCCCTAAATTATTAACTTTTAAAATTATCTTTTTAACTTTTTCTCTTTTCCTCTCAAAGTTTTGTCATTTTTCTTTTTTCACATTCTTCTTTGTTTTTTCTTCTATCCCTCCCAAATAAAAAATAAAAAAAAAAACACAAAAAGCCAAAAAAAAAAAAAAACAGAAAAAGAAAAGATATTGACATTATAAAATAACTCTCAAGTTCTTTGAGCTAAACCTTTTTGTTTTTCCTTTGTGTATGCGAATTTTTTTTTTAATACCCTCTAATAATTTTTTTTAATTATTATTTTTAATATTTTTGTGATGAAGATGCTGGTGTCACCTTAAAGCACCCGATAATCCACCCAATATACCCTTTGATAACTGACCCAACCAATCAAATCTTTTTCCTTCTAAGGATAGTAGAAATTTACAAATGTATGGTTGGTTGATTTTCCTTCATAATAGAAAATATAACAACAAATAATTGGACTCGAATATTATTTTAATACTCAATACTCACTTGTGAGTCGTGATAAAGAACTCTTGAGTATTCGGTGAAACTCCATTTTAAAAGTTTAAAATTATCAATGTGATCACTTGAACAAACTATTTTTTTTTTTTGGTTCCTGGCGCTTGAACAAACTATGATTACATGAAGGATGTTAAAATTTTACTAGGTTAGAATTATTAGGTGATATTTCGAGAATATATATATATATATATATATTAGATGATGTGGCGATTTTGAAATGGTTGGATTTTATTTCAGGGAATACAAGGAGAATAAGGCTGGAGAGATCCGAATCCAAACTCTGCGGATCTCTACTTAACCAAAAAACCCTCCGCATCAAACACGTGTCCATCATCCAAAGCGAAATTGAGCTTCTGCATACTCGCGAGATGATGATGATGATTATGATTATGATGATATTAAACAACTGGGGTTCTTCATCTGCTTTCTCTCTCTACTTTTGTTTCTCTCTCTACTTTTTCATAGTCAGATCACATGCAACATTCGTAGCACTGAGCCCGTTTTCGAAGGCAAAATTCCTCCAATCATCATAGGCCGTATCAGCAACCCAAATTCAATCCAACCCAATTATACATAGACATATATATACACACACACATATATACACAGAGAGAGAATTTTTACACAGAAAGAGATGTTCATCATGATTCAACCCAATGTGTTTGGTTGTCTTCAATCGCCATAGCTGCATTGATCCAGTTCATCCTATGTTTCTTTTACCTTTCTAGGGTTGAGAAATAAAGCTGATAAGTAGTTATATATATATACACACACAGGTATAAGGAATCATTTGGTATTTTGTTCTTTAAGACGGTGTTGGCTTTATCAGATTGGTTCAGAGGGAGAATATTTAAAGAGAATCTGATCTGATGCATAATGGGTTTTCTCTTCTGTTCAACGGTCTTCCTTCCTCTTTCGTTGGAGGCTGTGAAAATCCAACACTTCTCCCAAGATTTCTAGAGTGAGAAAGTGTTATTTTCACAGACATAGAGTGATACATATATTGACATATATAAATATATAGATGTCTATATATGCATTTATTAACATTTAGGGATTTTAGAGAGAGAAATGTTGGCATTGGTTGGGGGTCAAGGAGGAGCAGCACCAGCAGCTAATATGGAGAAGGATTTTGATTCAAAGCTTAGCATTCAGAGCAATTCATCCAATGGTGGGAACACACAGAGATCTAATAGCTTTCAATTTAGGGCACCACAGGAGAATTTTAGGATCCTAGACTTCGAATTGGGAAAGATCTATGGCGTTGGTTCTTATTCTAAGGTTGGATTTTTTTTTTTTAGCTCCTTTCGATTTTATTTTATTTTATTTTTTGATTCTTTTTTACTCTTTTTATTTTTTCATTGCTGTTAACTTTGATTCTCTATTGTTTTTGTTTATGTTAATCTGGTTTTCACTCACTATAGATTAGTGGGTTGAGCCTTTGATGATTATTAAGATTGAATGCCATGATGTTTTATTTATATTTGTATTTTCCAGTTTCATTTTTTTGGTAAATTTGAGTCCTATAGAATAGTGGTTTGTGCCGATTTATTGTTCATAACTTTTTAAATTGGGTATATTTTGTCATGATGACGATGATAAATGAAATCGGCGTTGAAATTTTCATTTTCATATAGTATGTTATGGTACAGCGGGTTAGAATGCTAGTGGCAATTCGGGTATATATAGGACCTCTAAGAAGAGCAGCAGGAATTATTATTTTTATTTAAAAAAAAAAAAAAAAATTGTTTAGATGGATATTGACAACAAGAAAAATTGTGTGTTCGGTTTGGAGCTAGGATTCTCAGTGCCAAATGCTTTTTTTGGACTGAGATGAGCAAGGAAGTAACTTGACATCGGTGAAAGGAGTTCTAGTGCTTCTATGCAATATTTGAGGAAAAATTCACTGTAATTATGATTAAAAATATGAACTTAAATCAACCATGTCTTATTCAGAAGCATATTAAGCAGTGCTCTACTCTTGGTTGAGCCGTTTTGGTATGGTTAGACATTGGGACTTGTATAGCAAGACATCTCGGCTTGGCAATGCAATACTATTAAATAGAGAGACTAGTTTGTTTGGAGTTGTATTGCGAGGATTCTCGTGCTTTTTCGCTAGCCCACTTTCCCAGAACAAGATTCTCTTTATGTTCGTCATACTTCCAACAATGAGCCAACCACTCAAACTTCAAATTTCTCCGCAAGAGCTTCGTATTCAAGAAAGTAGGTTCCTTTCTTTGGGTGCTACATAGGTTTCTTTAACAAAGGAAGATAGGTATTTTTCACTTATTTTCAATTTCAATATATTTAAATGTGATTATGCATATAAATGTATTTTTGTTGTAGATCTATATGTTTATTGTTAATCCGAGAGTATTTATGCCCTATTATTTTTCTGTAGATTTATAATCTGCTTAAGTGGGAAAAGTTTGGAATTAAGTCACATGGCTAGACTTTATTTATTTCAGAAAATGCTTAACTTTGCTTCCTTTTCTTTTTCTTCTCATATTTACTTTTTATTTGAAAGTTTATTAAGGATATTAGACGGTTAACTATATCTAAACATAACATATGTTGAACTACTTAATATCTCAAATACAACTATATATTTAGTTTTGCAATTTATTCAAGAAGAGTTTATTGAAGTTTTTGTACTTTTTGCGTGTAATATTTTAAAAGAATTACATAAACAACATAAACGTTATGAGGGGAAGAGTGTGACATTATTCATAGAGGTGTGCTAGAAGGAAGAAAAATGATGTTGCTCAACTAGAAGAGATCATATTTTTGATATGGGGAGCGCAGATGAGAGTGGGGTTGAGGATGATTGGAATGACGAGGATAGTGTTGGAATGAGAATGTGGGTGATGATGAGGGCAATGGAGGCGATGGCTGACTTTTTTTATCTGTTTACCACATGTTGTATGCTTTATGTATATATATATTTTTAATTGTAGTGAATATTATTGTATTAAAATATATAAACTAGTTTATTGCCTTTATTCATTTATTAGACAATATTATATATGTTATGGCATAATCAAATCTCTGCTATTATGGTAAGTCATTTCATAAATCGTGGCTATCATATATGCTAACACTAAGTGATGCATTTTGTTTGTTTTAAGGATTTATTTTGCTATTATATTTTATAAATTTTATGGTCTTTAAAATTTTTGTGTGTTATATCTAAGGCGCCCTTTGGCCCTTTTGTTTCTTTGGGCTTCGCTCCCCTTTTGAGCGTTTTTAATAAAATCTTACTTATCAAAAAAAAAAAAAAAATCTAGAGTATTGTTGTGTTGCCAATTTTAATCTGCGATGCTGCTGCGGGATCATATGAAGCTCCCCTGAGCCACTGATCAGAATCTCTACTTTGAACCATGTCCTCAAGAGATGTAGCCTTCTGAAATCAGGGAGCTTCTAATCCATGCAGGTGGAGATTTAATGTAAAACTATAATAAATGATAAATGATCCAGAGGCTTTCCAGATGGATGGGATAGGGTATTCGTATATCTAACGTATAATTTAAATGTATAAATGTGTCCTCTAAAAATGGAAATATTGAATGAATTGATAGTAAATTCTGAGATTTTACTCTCTTTCCCTTCAAGGGAATCTATTAATCGTTGAGAACATGGAATTTCCACAATGACTGTAAATCCCTCTGATATCATTTGAAAATACAAATTCTTGTTGTGCCCAAAAAATTTATTTTGGTTACCAGGTAGAGTACTTTTTTCCTGTTGTGTGGTACATTTTTCTTACTCTTGGACGGTAGAGACTGCCTAAAAATTTCTGGCGAAAAATAAATTCTTATGCCAAACAAATCTTTGATAAAAAGCTGTTTTATAATGGGCTTATCACATCAATAGTTTAGTTTGTGATCACTAGTTTCTTTTTCCTTTCATAAAACAGACATTACCCACTTCTGGTCCCACCACCGTAGAGTTTTGGGAAGGAGGATTTGAGACAGATCTAACCTTTGGTATTTCACAAAGTGGCTACTCTAAGGCTCAAAATCATGCCAGTGACACCGATGATCAAGTGTTTAACAGCTTAACCTTTGGTGTTGCCCAGTTCTTTTCCCTTATACAATTAATTAAAACCAATTTATTGGAAATAAATACTAGTCTACTGCATTTTAATGGTGTAGCGTGTTAGCTATAACTCATGGAAAGAAAATGGCTCCCGAATTTGGAAATGCCTAAATCTATTTCATCTTTGCGATCTTCACCAGCCCTTTTGGAGTATGTAAGATACCAGGATCCATTACAATTCACATATAAAAATGATGCAGCGCAGCTAACAAAGGTTGGATTTTTTGTGGGAAAACACTGTTATCTTCTATCATCGCATGTGCTTAAACAATGTCTTTTGTACAAGCGTGCCCGTTCAAATCATTTGGTTACGGAATTTTTTTTTTTTTGTTGTTGTTGTTTGGGGGGGGGGGGGGGGGGGGGGTGGGTTTATCATTTTTTCTTCTAGTAATCTTATTTCAATATTTTGGGGGGATTCGTTATGGTAGCTCTGGAACCGATTGCTATTACCTTCTGATTGTTCTTAATCTAAATGATGTTCAACATTTTGATCCTTGTCCAGATTGTGGTTATCCTGTCGCATCTTAGGTTTTTGAAGCATTTGTATCAGTTATATATCTTGAGTTCATAGTTATAGCTTCTGATCCGCATTTTGAGATGTCACTGTCAATTCTTCTCAGTGGCATGCACATAATATCCTAATAATGATGTCTTCAGGTTGTGAGAGCAAAGAAGAAAGACACAGGAATTGTATATGCCTTGAAGATCATGGACAAGAAATTCATCACCAAAGAAAATAAAACTTCTTATGTGAAGTTAGAGCGCATTGTACTTGATCAATTAGATCATCCTGGCATTGTGCGGCTATTTTTCACATTTCAAGACACTTTTTCGCTGTGTAGGTATTTTTTGGTCATGTCTAATTAAAATTTTGATTATTCAGATTCCCATATGACCATGTGTTCCATTTGTTTATTATGTTTGACTGTTTTTTTCCCAATTGGGTATATTGTCTGACATTGATCCCTTTAATTATATTGTGAAGACATGGCACTTGAGTCCTGTGAAGGTGGAGAACTTTTTGATCAAATAAACAGGGTAAGTAGATTTTAAAAATCTTGGATCCATGTTTCCTTCATGTATTTGTGGAACAAAAAGTTAAGAAATTTTAACAATATTATATACTCTGATATTTTTCTCTAGAATTGAATAGTTCTCTCGAGCAGCCAATAACTACTATTGAATATTCCAAATATTTCCTGCAACATTCGCAAAGCTTCTAAGTTATTCCAAATATATCCAAGTTGAAAGCATATTTTCTTTTTCTACCAAGCAACTTTTAGTAACATATAACTGTAATTTGAATTTTTAGAATTGGATGTAATATTCTTGCCGTGGAATGGAAACATGGGATTCATTTAGCTGACTCCAAATAATTGGGAAAAGGCTTGGTTATTGTTGTTGTTGTGGATGTGATATTCTTGCCTAATTTTTTAGGGCTCTTATTGTTTCTATTGTTAAGTAATTCCTTAATTTAAAACTTATCAAAAAAAAAAAAAAAAAAAAAAAAAATCCTTAATTTAAAAATTTTAATTATTCTACTAGAATTTGTTTCCTCTTTTCTACCTAGTTTGTCACCGTTTGGCATTGCCATCCAATATCCAGTAAATCTGTGTATGCAGAAAGGTCGTTTGTCAGAAGATGAAGCTCGCTTCTATGCTGCTGAAGTTATCGATGCTCTAGAATATATACATAGTATGGGATTGATTCATCGAGATATTAAGGTACTTCATCACATGAATGCGCTGATCTATTGCTTGTTAAAATTGCTGACAGTTCCTTTAATGGCAGCCAGAGAACCTGCTTCTTACTGCGGAAGGACATATTAAAATTGCTGACTTTGGCAGTGTAAAGCCTTTGCAGGATAGCCGGATCACAGTCCTTCCAAATGCATCTTCTGGTAATTTTATCAGACTACAATGAGGAAAATATTGACATTATGATTGAGTGTTGCCTTAAATTGTTGCTATATATGCCGTCCAGATGATAAGGCTTGCACATTCGTGGGTACAGCTGCTTATGTCCCTCCAGAAGTGTTAAATTCTTCTCCTGCAACTTTTGGGTATGGGACTCTTCCATGGAATAACTTTTATGTGTGCATGTGTGTATATATATTTATATTAAGTAAGACACACAAACACCAACTTTGTCCAACTGAAAGTCGAATTCTCAACCTTCCCTTTTGGGAGTTGTAGTAGTTATTTGTATATTCTTGGTTAATTTAAGTAACAGTTGGTTCCTATTGTTCCACTTTTTTGTTCGTTTTTTTTTTTTTTTTTTTTTTTTTTTTCCTTTGAGGGAGTTGGAGGGAGGGAAGGTACATGCATTGTTCTTTTCTTTCTTAATGTAACATCTTTGCAAGATGACTTATTTACTCCTTTTGAACATATTCAATCAGAAATGACCTCTGGGCACTTGGCTGCACCTTGTACCAGATGCTTTCAGGATCTTCCCCTTTCAAAGATGCAAGTGAGTGGCTTATTTTCCAAAGAATTATTGCCAGAGATATCAGATATCCGAATTATTTTTCAGAAGAAGCTCGAGATCTTATTGACCGGTTGTTGGTAAGATATAATCCATCTGCATGTCCACTTTATCCTTCTTTTCTTGAGCTTCATGTTTTTTCTCAGTTACTTTTCATTTTAAAAATATATTTGTCAGTATCTTTAGCTTTGGCTACAAAATTTGACAGAGATAAAAGCTTAGTCAGAATTTTACTCAACTCCCAACCAAAAAATGGTCTCGAGTCTAATAACTATGCTGCATGAACACTATACTAGACAAAAAGTAATTTTTATGCCGGCGTGACGATATGGAAAATTCTTTCAAGTAGGCCACTGACATGGCAAGGAGACTAATATACGTGCAGTAAATGAAGAAGGATAATATAGTAGAAGAATAACACATATACAAGCATGTATATGTATATATTTTACATCATATAATATATACATATACATGCTTGTATATGTGTTATTCTTCTACTATATTATCCTTCTTCATAGACTGAATCCCTTGTTAGAATGCAGATACCACACATCTGCATTATAACAAGGGATCTGAATTGCCAACTCCAGACTGCCACAATAAGGCATTTGTTCAGTTAATTAGGATTCTTTTTTGGAAATCTTACTGAGACTGGTTGGTTTGTATTGTGTTGTGTTTTCTTATTTTTTAACCTATCATTCCTCGTTCGAATCGATATAGGACCGTAATAATATTAATAACTTGTAAATATCCTTATAATTGTAAGCCTTCTTCATTCTTCAATGTGTAAAGACATTCATTACCTACATTTAAAAAAAATCTGTGAATTATATAGCCACAAATATGTCTTTGCAGCACAGCTTGTGTCAGTAATGCATTTGTGGGCCCACTATTGCTTACACTATGTTTAGTAGGAAGGAAAGGAGGGAGATGGGAAGGACAGGACATGGCTCCATTGTTTGGTAGAGGGGAGAGGGAGAGGGAGAGAATGAGAGGATGGATGAGGCATCACTACAGGGCCACTCATTTGGTTTCATCTGAAAGTAGGCGGAAGGGAGGAGGGAAGGGAAGGATGATAGTTATAGAAAATGGAAAGACTCTCATTTATTAACTCTGCCGTATTTGCTCATCTATTAATTTATTCAGTGAGGGGAATGGTGATTGAATAGTATTCACAGGCGGCCTCCTATTACATTGCTCACTTTTTTCCTGGAAAATGGAATGTGTCACATCCTTTTTTTCCCTTCCTTTCAACAAATAAAAGGAGGGAATGACACCTTCCCTTCCCTCAAAATCCTCTTCGTTCCCTCCTCCATTAACTTCCATCCGCCTTTTCATCTCTCCTACCAATTGGAGCATCACTGATTTGCAAACTCTGAAACATATGTCACAAGGCAACCTCACTGCATTTTCTGATTACCTTCAGATAGATGCAAATATCTCTATAGTTGGTTCATATTGATCTATATTGAATAGCCAAATTTACTGTTTCGGAAAGAGAGTAGCTGATTTTATGTTAGAGAAGGGCAAAAAGAATAATGCACCTTTTAGTTTGTCCAGCCATTGTTCATAGATAATAGGTTCATATTGGTAATTTGGCATATTTTACTCAAGTGTTAACATGTACCATGTGAATGTTTTAAATTTCTTGTGGTGCTACAGCATTTTAAAAGGAGAAACCATGGGACAAGATATTCTTCTACCTCATTCTGTTGAAAGAAAATGACTAAGTATCAGGAAAAGTAATTGTAAGCTATGCGTATAAAATTTGTAAATGGCTGACCATTTTGCATGTAAATTATATTATGAAATGAGACAATCTTAAAAATTACAGGGTAGTTAGATAGCTACATTACATGCAGTGTCATCTTTCTTTTCAACACTTTATGGATTGTTTAGACAGGAATCACAAGTTCAACAACTTTAAGCGTAGTACAATGAGTGAAATTTCAGTAGGGTTCATGAGGGTGTGTTACATTTGAGCTTCACTGTTTTAGTAATTAGTCTTTTAGGATTTATGCTCCTTTTGGTATTAGGGATGGAATTTGGAAGGTAGGAGAGGAGGGCTGGAAGAGGTATGCCTAGAAGAGGAAGGGGAATTTACCTCCTTATGTTTGGTTAAGCAAGGAGGGATGGATGAGGGAAGGCAAGAGGTATTACCTGATTTTAACATTAATATACATATTGAAAGGAGGTTTTTCCTTTGAGAAGAAAATTCTCGAAAAGGGAGGGGAAATCTGAGCACTTTGCCTCGTTCTTTCCTCCCACTTTTGCGAGGAAGGAGTACGGTGGTCTTGGAAGGAAAGGCTCCACTCTTATCTTGCTTTTCCTTCCACTTTCCTCCTACTAAATTATGAAAAGCCCATAGTTCTCTCGCATTTTCCCTCCTCTCTTCCTTTCCCTTCCCCTTTGCTCCTACCAAACTATCGAAATACTAATCTTCGCTTTTTTTTCCCTCCCCTGCCTTTTTTCATTTCCCTTCCCTCACTCTCCTGCCGAAGGAAAGCCCATTTTCCCCTTCCTCCTCCTCTTCCTCCCAGTCCTCCCTCAAACCAGATAAATCATTAACCTTAAGTCCTTTACTTTTTCATTTTTTTGTTTTACTTTTTCCTGCCTTCTGTAAAGGCGACCAAGGAGGTGGAATCCTATGTTGACCTATTCCTGAATTTAATGAGGAAATCACTGCTATATGTCACTTAAAATCTTTTATACCAAGAAAATATCTTTAATGTGTGTTCTTTTAAATTAAAATATCATTTCCTTCTTATTTTTCTTTTTAAACTTTGAGAGTAGCTTATCATTGTAAGAAAATGCCATAAGACACTTGTATAAGCATTATATGAAGAGTAATATAGGGATTTTATATTAGTGTACACATATATTTCTTAATATTCATGCACGTGAGTATATTGTTTCTGTAATGGTAGCTTATTGCAAGTGTGTATAATGTACTTATGTATGCACATATGCGAATCTGTTATATACATTTGTTATGTGTGTATAGGCTCATGTATACCATATACATGCTATGTTTATGAGACATATATATATGTATATTCACATATACATATTATGTTTATGAGATGCATTTACATATATGTGCATATACATTTGTTTGTTTGTGTTTGTGCGTACTTATTTGGCAAATGAGTTCCAAGTATATAATTGAAACATGATTTACATAAATAGAATCATAAGTTAATATCTGGTTCTGTGAGCTACTTTTTATTCTTACAAAAATTCTGTAGACCGTGTGCTTGAAAATGCTAAAAAGAATTTCCTTGAAATGTTTTACGTCAAAATAAACAATATATATGTAAGTTGTTTCTTGATTATAGATGATATAAATTTGTGTATTATTTCCTTTATTAAAGTGTTCTACTGTGCCTTCACTATGCATAAATGATGCAGGATATTGATCCCAGCAGAAGACCTGGTGCTGGGCATGATGGTTATGCTTCACTTAAGAAGCATCCTTTCTTTGAGGGAGTTGACTGGAAGAATTTAAGGGTACAAACCCCTCCAAAACTTGCTTTGGAGGCAAAGGTATGTTTTTCTTAGGCCTTCTTTTAAATTTTTTTTATCCTCCTTTTTTTTTTTTTTTTTTTTTGATACCTGTTCTTTTGCCACTATTGTGGTTCTTGTGAGATGTGTCATACAACCATTTTTACTTCTAATGTCAATTCTTTTAGGCTCAGTCAAGTGAGGGTGATGATGTTCAGGACTCTGCATGGAACCCTTCACACATTGGGGATGGTTTCACAAGACAAAATGATGGAAACAGTGGTGCTGAATCGTCTTCTGATGCTGGTCATATAACTAGGCTTGCTTCTATTGACTCCTTCGATTCAAAATGGTAATTATCAAGTACTTTCTACTTGTGCAGTTGGTAGTAAGCTACCCCCTCTTTTAGAAGCTTTAATTGGGATTCTTTCAAATGCAACTGTCTCAGTTGAAAATTTATAGCATGATCTATTTCACTTAATAGCAGAACAACAATGAAAGCAGTAGAGGAAAAACAAAATCACACAATAGGAAACAGGACTTTACATGGTTCAACAATTGCCTTTTATCCATGAAGAGGGAGATCAAAGCCACATCAACAATGAATTAGAAGGTTACATGAGATAGGGTTACGAAACATTAAAAAATGCCCCAAGGGATTATTTACACCCAGTGAATTGTGTTTGGTTCAGAAAAATGAACCCCTTTACAAATTTGGGCTTAGTTCCTTCCTTGGAACCTTTTATCCATGAAGAGGGAGATCAAAGCCACTTCAACAATGAATTAGGGGGGGTTACATGAGATAGGCTTACGAAACAATAAAAAATGCTCCAGGGGACTATTTTTACACTCTCACTGAATTGGGTTCAGTTCAGAAAATTGAACCCCTGTACAAATTTGGGCCTAGTTCCCTCCGTGGAACCTTAGCCAAAAGTTACTACGAAGCCCACAACTTATAATACATACAACATATTGCCGAGCATGCATAATACAAGACGTCTCACAACATGATCAGCTGCACTTGACTCTAAGAGGTGGTCAATATGGATATTCTTAATATGAATGTTGTTACTTGTCATGGGAGTTGAAAAGTAGGACATTCCCTAAAAGAGATGGATCAAACTTGATCTGAAGTAGTTTGCGCACTCTATTAGAATTGGATTTCATGCAACTTATTTTTTATGAATCATTACCTTATATTCTGGTTGCAAATCTTTAATTCTAAATCCATGATTTTTAATAACTCTGCTGGTAAGAAACCCCAAGGAGTATGTACTTCTACTTGTACTTTTGCAGTAAAGTTGTACTTCAAACTTCCAGAAAGGTTCCTTGATTGTTTTCCAATTTGAATGCTTCAACCAACCAGAAAGTTGCAACTCATTATTACAGAGAACTGGTATAACCTGCTTCTTTGGAGAAGATAGGAAGGACCATTAGTAGATTGAAAGAAAAAGAGCAGTCTTGAGTTTTAGATACATAGCATATTCACCCTCACTTTTTCTCCCTTCTAAAAAGGGATACTAATGGCACTAGAAATGATCATGGTGACCAGTGCATTTTTCCATTGATGCATCTAATAGTGGCAGCACTTGCTATTTTCCTTTGGTTCATCATATTGGCATATCTAATTTGTTTTGGCATATATACAGGCAACAGTTTTTGGAGCCTGGGGAATCTGTTCTTATGATCTCAATGGTCAAGAAGATTCGAAAACTAACAAACAAGAAAGTTCAGCTAATCCTGACCAACAAGCCGAAGTTGATTTATGTGGACCCCTCTAAGCTTGTGGCTAAAGGGAATATAATCTGGTCTGATAACCCTAGTGAGCTTAGCGTCCAAGTTATGAGCCCTTCACATTTCAAAATTTGCACAGTAAGTCCCATTTTCTATCTTCTTCTGGGGCACACATCTACCTTGATAAATTTTGTTCCCTACAATCATTGCAGTCACCAATCATAGTGGTGTGAAGTCGAGAGTATTTGAGAATTGTTTATGCAAATATGGAAATGCAGGGATGATTAGATCTTAAAAGTCCACATAGAGTCACAATGTGCCATGCTTTGACTTTTCTTTTTGGCCTGCTCAGAACAACACCTGTGAGTGGTTAGTGCAATGACTGGAAAAGGAACAGGGAACATAGCCCAATTTTCATTGCATTTAAACTTTCCCTTCTCTTGTTAAATTAATTTCTTTTCTTTTTTTTTCTTGTTATGGTATAGCCGAAGAAAATTTTGTCATTTGAGGATGCCAAACAAAGAGCAATGCAATGGAAAAAAGCAATTGAGACCCTCCAAAATCGGTGACTTTTATTCATTGTTTGACAACACATTCTTTGGTTGTAACAATATGGCAGAGGAATGTGGGGATCCTGAAAGAGATGGGTGCTCCCGGGGAATTTTTTATTTATAGAAAGTGATTCAATTTGGGGAACCAGCCTATCAAGTTGCAAGCCCTTCCCCATACAAGCATCCCTCTTCTTGTGCTATGATTGATTTTTGAGTTTTGTGCTAAGATTAGTACGACGGTGTTCCTAATGGGTTTGTTGGGGAATGCTATGTTTCTGGTACCAGCCAAATAGAAAAGAAACATTCTATTTTGTTTTCAAAGCCTTTCGAATTTTCTGTTTTGATTAGTGATAGTCTGCATCAAACCCTCCTTAATATATGTGTGAATTGTAGAGAAGTCTGTGTACATGTAAAAGGAGTGATGAAACATGTCCTGAAATTCGGGTGGCTGTTCAATTTTTTTTTTTTTTTTAAAGATTAAGAGGACTCTTCTAGTTGAAATTTTTTCAAATTAAACGAAGTATCTTTTGCAGTTGACAATGTTTAAACAAATTACAACTGTTTGATAGGAAGGGATGTTGCATAAATTATTTTTATCTGCTTTGTTTTTTATTTATTTATTCTGCATTTCATTTTACTCCAGGAACCAAGTGTTGTCTAATTGATATTGTGAACATGTTAGGCCGTTTTCCCTACTATGACTCTGTTATACTGCTTTTGGAACTAGAGACACATTACCACATTGGTGCAATTTTAATTTTTAATCGGTTACATACCATTTGGAACTTAGATATATTGTCCCTGAAAGTGAATAATGTGACTTTAATTTTGACAGGTTACATTTTCATGGTTACATTTTCTTGAAGTGGGAGTGTTTTTTCCTTGGATTGGTCACATAAATCAAGTATTGTGATGAATGAGCCTGGAATCCAGGTAGAGATAGTGATTACCAAGAACCCTCTGGTTTATGAAGTTCTTATTGTGATAGTGTAGGGTACAAATGAGCCAAGCCGACTCGTTGGCTGTTCGGGCTCAGAAAGTTAGGGTTATCACCGTGCTCGGAGCTGAGTAGCTGGCTGTTCAAGCTTGGTTAAGAACTTAAGATGAGGTTGAGAGACATGGATTCTGCAGTGATGTGAGGTACCAGCTCTATACTGTTCTCCTTCAAGTTTGGAGATCAAACGAAGGGGATGGAGAAAGTTTCTCTACTCTGAAGCAAATGATCCTCAATGATTTAGAAGTTTTGAAAATCAAATGAAGAGGATCGAATGAGTGTAGAAACTATGAAGTAGTGTTCCTTCGTGAGCAAAGAGATGTCTAATAATGCAGCAGTAGTTATGCTCAAATCAAGTCAAAAAGCGCAACATTTCCAGGAATGAATTTAGATAGAAACATTTTTATATCAATACTTAGGACATTTTTCTTACAAAACAATGTGACCTTACTATGCATTCATAAATAAAAAATAATCTTCATTATGAGCCCGTTTGGGATTGTTATAGAATGTCGAAAGGGCTTTTAGTAGTAAAGTTGTCATAAAACTGTTGTCCCTAAAATTTGTTTGGTAATAATGTTGCATAAAACACTTTTATTATTAATTTTACTATATTACCCTTACACAAATAAACAAGTGTTAATTTTCTAATATTAAATATTATAAAATTCCACTTATAAGATCAACTTGTATTAGTTTTCATTTTTATTTTTAAATATTACATATTTTGTTTATGATAAAGTATTTTTATTTAGTACTAAATTATAAATAAGTTAAATATAATTTAATGATTATTAATTTGTATTTGATTTGAGATCTTCTAGTAATACACTAAAATAAACAAACTTGTTCACATGTTATCTAATAATGAAATTTAATAATATAATGTTGCAGTGTCAGAAAAACTAGAATATTCATTTAAACTAGGATGATATAAAAATAAAATAAAAAAAATTAAACTAGGATATTCATTTGCTGTTGAGGAGTCCCAAAAATAATAGGATATTAATTTGCTACTCCGTATTTGTTTGTAACAGTAACAAAATAGTATTTATAAAAAAATAAAAAGGGATTAAATTATTTTAAAAAAAATTAATTACGCAATTCTAAAAGCTAAAATTCCTAGCCTCACTTATTTGCGCTTTTTTGAAGTAACTTTTACATTGCTTTATTTTTTCACCAAACATATTTGATCGCAATTTTTTGAAATGAAAGAGAAGCAACCTTAAACACCCACTATGTCTATACCTCGATAAAAAAATTTCATACTTTCCGAACACAAAAGTTAAAATGACTGCAAGCCTACACCCCTTATTTCATACAAACTTATACTACATATTTTCTATGGATTCTCTAATGAAAAATATATCATTGAATTATGTTATAGATATTTAAAATAAAAGTTATTTTCTTTGCATAAATATAATCTTACATATCATGTGAATTTTATTGTTGGAATTAGAAACTCAACCAAATATTTGCTGTTTTCTAATTGTCACATGTTTGTAGTTTTCAAATTGTCACAGAAATGTTTAACCCACTTGCCCAAACATAAAAAAAAAAAAAAAAAAGAAAAAAAAAAAGGAAAAAAATAGTGAAAATGTTAACTCGACCCAAGTGCGAACCAACCTGTTCACATGGCCAAAACTAGCCGCCCACCACTTTGTATGGTATAGTTGCCGGTCAGCACAGCCCGCCATTGGGATCTTGGGAATCAAAGTTGTCTCTCTCTCTCTAAATACAACTCTCTCTCTCTATATATCTAACATCTATATAGGAGAAAATACACCGATAAATTTGGCGGATGATCGATGGCGCTTTCACGGCTTCGACATCCGGTCATCTCTCGCGCTCATTCTCTCCTCAGGACCCGCCTACTCTCCGCCACCCCAATTTCAAGATCACTCACACGGTACTCTCTCTTCTTTTATCTCTCCATTTACATGCACAATCTATACAGATCACTACAATTTTTCATAATCTAATTTGATATTCAATTATGTGTATTTCAAAATGGTTTTGTTTGTGAGAGTAGAGTTGTTGCGTGGTTGGTGAAGTGGTCAAAGACTCGAAGCCAGTTGGTGTTGTCAAAGTTGGTATTGTCAAAATTTGGAAGATGATATCGAATGATTTGACTAGAGAAACAATGTTGTGACTGTTTTTATTTATTTATTATTTAATCTTTTTGAATTTGAATTGTAATAATGTTTGCAATTGATTAGTTGTTTGAGCTATGTGATCATCTTCAGCTAAAGAATAAAGGGTGTTGTTGATTCCACTTTTTATTTTGTATCAAGAGGTGGATTATAAACTGGAATTTTTATTAAGAAGATAATACCCAATTCCTCAGCCTGTTGAGTACATGCAACAAAAGGAAAGGGGACCAATGGTGTTTAACATATATATTTTGATCCATATCCCACTTGTTTACTGGTTGTTTGCAAATGCTGACCTTCTTTATTATACAGGATAGGGCATTTTCCTGTTTTAAACAATATATTGTATTATTATTATTATTTTTTAGCACAACAATATTGTGTTATTACTTAATAGACAATCATTAATGTGCAGAATTGTTGTGCTGGTTTCACTGGGAAAATAACAGAAATAAGAAGAGAAAAGATTGAAACCAAAACAAAAATATTTACATGCTTTATCATGCAGGTGATTTTGTCCACTGCACAAGATAATCAAGGAGAGCTTTTACCATTAATAACATTGACTATGTAAAAACTACCACTAGTAAAAAGGTTCATGGAGTTTCTCAAACCATCACCAAACTATGTCGGATATCCACTTTTTATTTTTTACTTTTTACGTCATTAAGAAAACAACCTCTCTGCATGCGGAAGTAAGATTGCGTGCCCACTTGAGCCAACCCCTTGGGGTTTAGGTTAGCCCTTTTTAAGTCCTTAAAACGCACAATTGAGAGATTTAATTTGGAGGTGAAAGTTTGGGTGATTGTTGTTTAGTCCAATCCAATTTCCAAAAATGGCTATATGATTGTAGGATTCCTGGGAGATGAGTTGGTGATAGGAGGGCGGATGAAGCTTGAAAATATTAGTTTGCAGGGAGGGAAACAAAGTATTCTAGCGTTTAAACACATGGAACCAAGGAGTACCTCCAGACTAGGAAAGGGTCTAGACTAAGTTACTTGAATGCCCATTTTGATAGATGGGGCTGCATTTCATTTCCTAGGCATTCGATCACCTGAGAGAGCAAAATGTGGTTATTATTATTGCCTTTAATATGTATCAATTAATTTGAACTCTTTGTTTTTTGCACAAGGCTTCATATCTTTGCACATGCCCTTGCTTATAATTGACTTGTTGGTGCAGCAGGTGCAGTGTGCAGAATTCTATTGTCAACAGTGATGGGACTTTGTTAAGGTTTGCATCTGTAGACTTCCATTGTTGTCCCTTTCGGATTTTGTCATGACTACTTTACATGATCTCATCAGCCACGTAGGTTAATTATGAGAGTAGTTCTCTTTTTTGGGGAGTAAAGATTGGACACTTCATTCATGAACTAGAGCTTTTTATTTGCTCTATGACAATTTTACTTTCTTTAGCATCAGGGCATGACTTGATTCTATTTGAGCATGCTGACATCAAACTAAATAAAATTGTGCTCTTGGGCTTTTTATTTGCTCTGTGACCATTTTACTTTGTCAACCATTAGGGCATGACTTGGTTCTATTTGAGCATGCTGACATCAAACAAAATACAGTTGGGCTCTTGGTAATCAATTCATAACCCAACCTAGACATCGGATTGGTATATTCTACCATGTCCCAACTATGCTCAACTCGTGTACGCCATATTAATTTCAACCCACACAATTTTTAAGTTGGAGTGGTTGAGTGGTTGATTTGAAGTTTTGAACTTTGAACAAGGTTCCCTTGAAGTGGTGGTCCTAGAAATATTTGCTTCATTTTAACATATACGATCTTAATCAGTTCATACTTCTCCTGTTTAAAGCCAACGCGATGTTAGAAATGCAAATCCAACTTAAATCAAGGCCATTTACTGGTTCAATGCCTTTATTGGTTTGTACCTAATCAACCTTAGACCAATGCAATGCCATGAAAAGAAAATGAATCTACCACTCAAGGCTGGTTGGGTCCGTTGCGTTGTATTATCAGGTGTTAAGCTTTTGTTTCTCCTTTTCTTTGCGTTCACTGATGATGACGTTTACCAGGCTCATACCTTTGTCCTTGTTCAATGGCGTTCAAGACAGCTCTTATAAGCTCAAGGTTAGTCAGTGAAAATATATACTGTTTTCTTTCAGTGCACATATTTTTTCTAATGTAGACGGTTATTTTGCAATTTACAGTTGCCAACTGGTGTCAGAAATTTCTCATCAGCAGGTACGTATCTTCTCCATTCTACTTTTTTTCTCTTCTTACATCTAAATGTATATGTTGAGTTTGCACAGGTTGCTTACTCTTGTTCCAGTTATTTATGTGTTTTCTGTTCAGCCATTATTTTACAATTAGACTTGCAAAAAATTCTTTCTGCAACTCTTCAACTAAAATCCACCAACTCCAATACGATTACTAGAATTCCTCTTATAGAATTTAAAATCCCTCTTGTTATTAGTGCTCCGTTTGGTTGGAGTGATGGAAAAATGGATGGAAGGGAGGGAGAGGGATGGATGAGGCATCCCTAGGGAAGGGAAGGTGTCTCCCTCAGTTTTTGTTTGGTTGAATGGAAGGGATAGTGGAAATGATGGATGGGGTGACATCTTTATTTTTTTGGTTGGAGGGAAGGGAATGAGGGTTTTTATATCTTTTTACTATATACTCTCATTATATAAAATTGTAAAAAAAAAAAAAAAACAAGTGCTTTTTTAGAAAGGTCAAAATTGGTATTTCATACATTTAGGTAGTTATTCACTCTTTCCCTCCTCTCTTCCTGCCCAATTTTGGACAGATAAGAAAACTGAAAGCAAGGAGGGATGCTTCATCCCTCAAATTTATTATTATTTTTATTTTTTCCTGAATGTGGTAATTTAATTCAAAAAATAAAATACAGCAATAAAGTACAATACAAGCAAAGCCAGAGAGGCTCAAAAGGAAAAAAAACTTCCAATGAGCAGGAAAAAACTCATCATCCCTTCTTGCTTCCTCCCTCCCTTCCCTTCCTTCCAACCAAACATGAGTAGGCTTATTCATCCCTCCAACCAAACATAGCATAAGTTCTAGTCCTTAAATCAAAAGAATCTTAGGCTGTCAATTAAACCTAAATAAAAGAAGCCTAAGAAGAAAAAATCAACCCTACTGCCCAAGCCGTTGGAGCACAGTGGCAACAAGTTATGCATCTAAAGGGAAGGAAGGGTCCAATGGTTTGTTAATGGTCATAATAGTTGAACAACCCTACTAGTTGAACTTAAACAAATAATTAATTCCCATAAATAGCAATCATAACATCCTCATTATGATTAAAATCATAAGGGGGGTGACCAAGTATGGAATTTACAAATATACTCTTCAACACACATGTTTTCTGGCCGGTACTGCATTTAGTGTAGATAAACTTTTGTTTCTGGTTGTCAGGATTCTGAAAGAAACTGATGTTTCATGGGTTGCGTAATCTCCTCTTATGTTTAAGTTTAATCCAAACCCCAACATTAAAGAGTTGCTTACTCCTTAATCCGCCATACAATTGAGGTCCCTTTTAAGTTAGCTTCAGTAAATTCAAGGTCTTGAATTTTGTCATTTCTCACCATTGGAGACAACTTTACTAGTTGTATAACCAATTAAGGAAGACATTTGTGTGGCCATCTACATGTTCATGTTTCAAAGAGCTTGCTCTTTAATCCACCAAACAGGTGATGTTCCCTTAAGTTTAGCTCTTGCAAAATAACATTTTGAACTTATCTCATCTGACAACATTTCAATTAACTTAACAAATCTGTATATCCAACCAAGAAATACATTTGTGTGGCCTTCACATGAATTGTGTGCCTGCAACTTTGCATCTTTGTTGACTTAACCAATTTTTTCATCTCCATAGTCCCATTTAAATAATTACTGTGGATATAAAGGAATGCAAATGCCTTTTTGTTTTTTTTGATAAATAATAATCGATTAAAAAGCGTTCAAAAGGGGAACGTGTCCCATAACAAGAGTGGAACCGGGTTCTAAGGACCCAAGGAATCCAAAAAATTAACTAAGTCATCGGAAGACGAGCAAGAACTCCTCGTCACGTAACTAAAAATAGAACGAATAATATGAAGTTTCAGCGTCGCCATGGACGACTCCTTCCCTTCGAACATTCTAATATTCCTCTCCTACCAAATGCACCACCAAACGCAATGCGGAACTGTCCTCCAGTAATCGCGAACACTGCTTCTCACACGTCATCCCCTCTATGCACTAATCAATCCCTTGGAAGTTCCGAGCATTACCCAAAACATACCGAATAAACAAAATATGAGGTTCCAACAGTTGTACGCCACTGGAGAATGTTGGAGAATATGATCCACTGACTCACCGTTTCGTTTTCAAAGGCAACACCAATTAACAATACAATTGCCTCTCTTCCTCAAATTGTCAATCGTCAAAATCTTACCCCATACAGTTGTCCAAACAAAAAATGCCACTCTAGGAGGAGCAGTAGAACACCATATGGTCTTCCATGGAAAATCAATGCCTACGAAGTTGGTTAGGCATCGAAACAGAACTCTCATTTTCTTTCAAAGATTTAATCTTTATGGATCGTACTTCAAAACGACCATGGGATGGAATCCACCTAATATCATCACTACCGCTACCAAATGCCTCCTGTTTATACTACATGTCCAGAAGAACACATACTTTGTCCATCTCCCAATTCTGAAAGGTACGCCGAAAGCTCACATCCCATGTAATCCCACTACTATCAAGCCGATAGCAGTCAACTACGCAGGCATGTCTATCGGCTGCGATGTTGTACAAACGTGGGAAGGTGCAAGATAACGGCTGATCACCGCACCATAAATCCTCCCAAAAACGAACATATCTACTGTCATGAAAGAAATGCGAATGTTAAGAACTTAAGATGGATGTACAACAAGACCAAAAAAGGATAAAGTTAGAAATGAATAAATTCACGAGATGGTTGAAGTGACACCTATTGGAGATAAAATGAGAGAAAAACAAATTAAGATGGTTTGCCCATGTGCAATATGAGGAAAGTGACGTGGTCCTTATTTATTGAGGGTAATCTTTGGGAAAGGGAAGTTCAGAACAAACATGGGTTGAGATAGTAAAGATATGATATCATGTGGTTTGACTGAGGTTATAACCTTAGATATTCCAATGGAATACCTAAACAAGATTTATATAGCCGACCCAAATTGTTGAAAATAGGCTTTGTTGAGTTGACTAGAGTTGATGTTGTAGAGAAGGAAATTGTGGTGTATGTGGTAACAATTGTTGCTTCTTTCTTGGAGTAGTATTAGCTAGCATGATTTGTATCAGGAAACCATATAAAATAAAGAGTGAAACTTTTTATATCCTTTATTTTGAACCACAGAGGTTGAAGCTTCATCCATTTACTGTCTAAATACAGTTCGCTGAAGAATCTATTTTTGAAACTGAATTTGCTTTCATAATCTCATCATCTTTAGAGATGGCCTCGCATTTATACTCAAGGTCTTTATTAGTGGCCATAAAGGTCAAAATGTTTTGAAGGGGGGAAAAATGATTGAAGAAAGATAGGATCTGTTGCTTTGAAGTTTAACTGATGCAAATTGTTTTAGAATTCTAGAGCTTTAATGAATGATCAAATAGATTAAGGATGGTTGAGAGCTGGTAGTTTAGGGTAAAAGATTGTTAGGATTTGTAGGGGCTGTATAACCCCAAAGAAATAACAAGAATCCCTTTTATAAACTTTAAAACCCTTGTAACCCTAAATCCATTCCTTGGATGAAAGAGTTGTACCCTTAATTAAAACTTCAATAAGAGAAGCCTAAGAAGATAGAAGTAATTCTGTTAGTTTACTTCTAAAGTAGAGTTAATTATCCGCTACGCGATCATGAACACTACCTACTATAATTTGCCACTATATCACATTGGTTACTTGGTACTGGTATGCTATAAGAACTTGAACTATCCATAACTTTTGAAATGTTAAAATTATGAACAAATAATTCTCAACAAAAATTGTTTACTCAAACTGAATGATAAATAATTATGAACTTCCTCAAACACTTTTTACACACGAAAATAATTATTGATTAGCGTTGGCCCCAAACCTTAGTTTTTGGATTCTGAAGACGGTGCATCTTATCAACCAATAACTGGCTACCCACTACAGTGGCTTACAAGGATTTGCCTGAGTTTGTTGATAATTGAACTGGAATAAGAATATACATACATAGAAAAAGATGCATTTGGTACATTTTCATATTCATCTATGTCAGTGGATTTACTTTCTAATTCTTCGGCTGAGCTGGTTCTATGTCTGCAGAGATTCCATCGCATACTGTCATCGGAATGCCAGCGTTGTCGCCCACAATGGTAAGATAGGCAGTGAAGGAATTTATAGTGGAACACTTGCCACAGTTTTCTTTTTATATTGCCTTCCTTTCTGCAAGATGAATATGGTACATGCTTGTGTGCTCTTGTGCAGACTCAAGGTAACATAGCAAAGTGGAAGAAGAAAGAAGGAGATAAGGTCAGTTATATTTTAAAGGGTTGGTATATTCGTTGGGTATTTGATATGATGTAACGATAAAGTGCACAAAATATAACCTCTCTCTGGAAAGAGTAGAGCCCTTTTTCTTTGTTTATTTCAGCAAGTTTGGTTCTGACTATTGATTTGATCTAACAGATAGAAGTGGGTGACGTGATATGTGAAATAGAGACAGATAAAGCTACCCTTGAGTTCGAGTGTCTTGAAGAGGGGTAATTCTTTATTCTCTCATGTTATGTATTGGATGGCATATAATATTATTTTCTCTCTCATGTTGTGTATGGGATGGCATGTAATATTACTATGGTCCATGGATGATCTACATATTTATTTGAGTGAAACGTTGTCTAACGCTTCACTTCCTCAGAAATTTCATTGGCATCCTCTACTACAAGTTTACTTTGGAAATGCTTCCCTCAGAAGTGTTTATACCTTTCTACATTAATTTATTTACTGCATATAGAAATTAACATTTACTTTTCAAAAAAAAAAAAATTTAATATAAATTTTATACTGTTCGAAAAAGAAAAAAAAAAATTAACATTTGACAGATAAGTTTTTCTATGCATCTTCATTGTATATTCTCGTCCTGCTTTCTGTTCTGGACATCATTATGACTTACTTTAACATGTAGTTTCGTGGTGACCGTGTCGAAATATCACAATTTTTTTGAGAATGTAAATATTTTAATTCTAACTGGATAGAACAAATAAGCCACTTTTGAATCATGCTCATTTTTCTTCTTCTGGCATGGTGTTTGGGCTGCAGATTTCTAGCTAAGATACTAGTACCTGAAGGTTCAAAGGATGTGCCTGTGGGACAACCTATTGCAATAACGGTAAACTGTGATGGTCCTCAAACATTTGGTACTTAATTTTTTAAGTTTTATTCTATTCATAGAACATCACATGCAGTTACTTTCTCTCAAAAAATTGTTTTATTATCTTTTTTAAAAGGAGAAATTACTCTTTTGTAGGTTTCAAGGAATCAAATACTGTGTTTGTGAATGTCCTTTGCAAAGTTTTTCCATTATTTTGCTTTATTAGATTTTTTTTCCTGAGTTCTAACAACATTTTCCTTTTGGAGGGATAATCTTTCAGTGTCACACTTATTTCTTAAAACTATTTCTGTTTTACATTGTGATCATAACATTTTGGTGTTTTACGCTGATTTTCTACAGTCAATAATTTTGTTCAAGCATTAATCATTCAGGCTATCTTATTATTACAAAAACTGTCATGTACTTGTCCACAAGGTTGAGGAATCAGATGATATCCAAAATGTCCCTGCTAGCGTTGCTGGTGGATCAGAGGTTGAAGAGCAAAAATCAACTTCACAAAGTGAAGATAGGACACAGGGAAAAAGGTCTATTAAGATTAGTCCATCTGAACTTCCTCCTCATATCATTCTTGAAATGCCTGCATTATCCCCAACAATGGTGAGAATTCCAATGATTATTTGAGCAGAAACTTCACGTTTATATACACAGATTTTTTTACTTTTTTTTTTTTTTTTTCCATGTTGAAACTTATATTGCCAGTTCTTTTCTCTTGTGCAGAACCAGGGTAATATTGCTAAGTGGAAGAAGAAAGAAGGAGACAAGGTTAGTTATGTTTAAAGTAAGGCTGTTGAATCTGGAATTTAGATATTTTTTCCTTCTGATTAGGTGAATATTGATTTATGCATCTTTATTCCGTGTTCTCTTGATCCTTTACTTAATCTAACAGATAGAAGTGGGTGATGTGATATGTGAGATAGAGACAGATAAAGCTACCCTTGAATTTGAATGTCTTGAAGAAGGGTAATATTCTTTCTTACGACTGAGTTCACTCATTAGAGAGCAGATACTGTTGGGCTGATGTTAAATAGAATTCTGTTATGAAGTCCTAATCTGTGTTCTTCTGGATTATGATTGCTTCTTGTGATAATTTATCCCTGTAACAAGGAGTGCCTGACACTGGTACAAGGAGTTTAAAACAGTGACTTCAGAAATACGGAATGTATACCATTATGGCCTTTTTGTATGTGTTCAGCAACCACTTTGTACGTGTGTTTGACATGCTAGATAAGGCTAACATCACTGTTCCATTGTTATCACGTATTTATTGTATACTTCTATAGTATTGCATAACTGGAGAGGGATGTTCTTCATATATTATTTCATCAGCACATGCCTCTTGGTTGTTACAGGGTGTTAGAACCCCTTCTCCTCTTTGTAGTTTGTTATGGACGTCAATAATTAATTGTAATCCTGATGCCGATTTTTTTAAGAACTTACTTTTTATAGTGGTTATATTGATGCAGAAACAAATGAAATTGTAATTGATGTTGTGTCTGAAATTTCCCTTGAACACATATGGTAAAATTTTTTGGTGGATGGTTGGCTGCAGGTTCCTGGCTAAGATACTGGCACCTGAAGGTTCGAAGGATGTGGCTGTGGGACAACCCATTGCAGTAACTGTAAAGATGACTTCCTTTCTTCCTATTATTAAGTTCAATATTCAGTTTCTTACCGAATAATTTAAGCAGTAGGGACTAATAGTAGTTCTCTTTTACTCAATTTTTAGTTTATTTATATATTATATATTTTCTTGACAATATCTATTACTGAGGGCATTTTGGAAACATTAACATCTTTTTTTCAAGGTTGAGGATTCAAAAGATATTGAAACTGTTAAGAATTCTGTAAGTGGTAATTTGGAGGCCAAAGATGAAAAGCAGACCCATTATGACAGTGGACATGAAGCAAGAGCACAGAAAACCAATTTCACTAGAATTAGTCCGTCAGCAAAGCTGCTGATAACAGAACATGGATTGGATGCGTCTTCAATAGAGGCTTCAGGTCCTCGTGGTACTCTGTTGAAAGGGGATGTTTTAGCAGCAATAAAGTCAGGGAAAGGATCTCCAAATATTTCTTCGTCAAAGGGGAAGATACCTCAATCAGCTTCAATTGACCCCAAAACTTCTTCCTCTGCATCTCCACAATTAAGATCTCAAGAACAGCAATCAGATTCTTATGAAGATCTGCCTAATAGTCAAATTCGCAAGGTAGGTTTCACTAATGTGTCAAACAGCATTGCAAGGTTCTCTCAGTTTGTTTTTGTTGATTATTGAAAACGTTCAAATATGTTTTAGATAGAACCATGCTTGAATGAATGACACTCATTTTTTCTGCATGTTCATAATTCCCTGGGTAGAATACTCCAATTTACTTTGCGACTATTTGGAATGATATTTATAACTTATCATCCAAATTCACTGTTCACACCCAACTCCATATTGGAAGAATTCAGCATTCAATTTCTTATTAATTTTTAGAAAGACAATTAACTGAAATTTGTTTATGCTTGCATTTTTAAGGGATCTATAATAGAATATCCTTTTTGCTAAAACTGCAGTTGTTCCATGGTGCTGTAACTATAAGATCCTGAGTTGTTTTGCAGGTGATAGCGAGGAGATTGTTGGAATCAAAACAAAATATACCTCATTTATATTTAACCTCAGGTTTTTGAATTTTTTTATACTAATCTACATTTGCCATATTAATATATTTTATGATCTGAAATATTTGATGGTATCTATCAGATGTTATACTGGATCCTCTTCTATCGTTTAGAAAGGAGCTTAAAGGTATGGAAGCTAAGCTTCTACCACGTCAGCTATGGTTTCTTAAGCATACTTATAATTATTGATTCCATCCTTCCATATTTCCTCAATGTACAGAAAAACACGATGTTAAAGTATCAGTGAACGATATTGTCATCAAAGCTGTTGCAGTTGCACTAAGAAATGTACCTGAAGCAAATGGTAAGACAGTTCCGAATAATTTTAGTTATTGGTGCGAAGTATTTCAGTGGATGCACTGATAGTTTTTTGATAGAATTAGTTGATGATGACGGGCATTACCCGGTGGCCTAGTTGGTAGAGCGCCTAGTTACCGGAGTGGGTGTGCCCGTGTTCGAGTCCCAGCCTCCCCCTAGTTTGCCAGGATAATAATAATAATAATAATAAAGTTGATAATGACAAGGTCAACTATGAAATTCTAATTAATAGTTTATTTTTCTTTTAATTTTTTTTCTTTTAATTTTTTCTAAGTGACTTTTATCCCTCTTAGTTCCCCCCCCCCCCGCCCCCCCCCCCCCCCCCCCCCCCCCCCCCGCGTTGAAAATCTTTTCTGCCAAAGCCCATAGTGTATATACATTTTTGAATGCCAAAGTTGTAGAAAACCTGAGTCCCTTAATTAACAAAACCTTGGTCATTAACAAGTTGCATATACTACCTCTCACCAATTTTCACTTCCTCAACCAGACAATATTTAGAGAATTTAGAGGTTTTCTTTTTCTTCTAAATTATTGGCTTGTGTAGTTTCTAATATACATGCAGCTCATGTTCTGTTTAGATCGATACCATTCCAAATGAGCATAAAATTACAGTATAAAGGATTTCAATTGATCGGTGAATGTGTTGAAGGATTTCAATATGTAAGTACAACCTCTCTAACAGCTTAAGCTTTTGGAGTAGATGGTGAATAACATGGTATCAGAGCATGCAAGTCACGTGTTCAAACCTCTCTGTCACCCTAATAATTAAAATTGGAACATATGTTGGACCAAAAAGAAGGCCACACGTGAGGGGGCGTGTTGACGGATTTAAATATTTAAGTTATGCCCTCTGTAACAACTTAAGTTTTGGAGTAGATGGTGGTCAACAGAATGAATTCTGGTTCTATATAAAAATTTGAAATTGATCACTTACAAGTACTGTTAGAAAAATGAATATTTTCAACAACCATCAATAGTGATGAACTTTTAGCTTGGCGTTTGTACTTTATAGTAAATAGTTGGAGAAGAAAACTCTAGGAATGTACAAAAAGATTGTTCCAGAATAAATTGAAGGAAAGTGGAATATGTTGAATGAGAACCTATTCCTTTATGAGCACCGCACCCTCCTCTTGTGCCCTAAAATTAGTGAGTTTCCTTCAAAGATCCACATTGTGAGAAGATATGCTGATGTTCTAACTAACTTGCCTTGCTTTAAAAAATTTTGGAAAATACTTGTGAAATAAGCCAAATACATGGTTTAATCTAATCATGAATGTGGGCAGAGATTATTTTTAGCTTTAACATTTCTAGTTTTATTGTTAAGTTCTCTTTAGAGATATCCAAGAGCACGATATCATCAGCAGACATCATGCACCATGGAATCTCATTTTGGAAGTCTTTTGTTATTTCATCCAAAATGATATATCGTGCATGATGTCTGCCAATGATATCGTGCTCTTTGATATCTCTAAAGAGAACTTAGCAATGAACTAGAAATGTGGAGAAATGCTTTAGAATCGAAAGGATTGAGAATTAGTTGAACTAAAATCGACTATATGGAGTGTAAATTTAACAAGGATTGGACATTGATGTTATATTTATAACACTTCAAAACACAAAGATTACTTAAAACAATTACTTTCGGTACCTGGGATCGATAATACAAAATGATGGAGAGATAGGTAGTGATGTAACTAGTAGAATTGGAATGGGTTGGACAAAATGGAGACAAGCTACTGGGATATGATGTGATAAAAGAATAACGCAGAGGCTAAAAGGAAAATTTTATGGGACTGTTATTAGACCAACCATGTTGTATAGGTCAGAGTGTTGGGCCCTAAAAAAGAAACAAGAACAATGCCTTCACGTAGCGGAAATGAGAATGCTAAGATGGATGAGTGGAGTGACTAGAAGAGATAGGATCACTAATGAAAGAGTGAGAAAAATTAGGTGTAGCATCCACTGGTGAGAAAATTAGAGCGAGCAGACTTAGGTTGTTTGGACACATATGCCGGAAGACCTAGAGACGCGCCAGTTAAGCGAGGAAGACTAGTTGTAATAAAAGGTAAGTGACGGAGAGGACGACCAAAAATAACAGGGGATGAGGTTATTAAAAATGATTTTAAAAAGTTAAATATGGTAGGTGAAATGGCATGTAATAGAAAAGATTGGAGAGAGATAATTCATATGGGATTAAGGCAAGGATGATGATGATGATTTTTCCGTAGTGGAACCTAATTGTGGCTTATTGTGGCTCATCTATTTATATTTATGGACCTTGCTTCTGCAGTGCCTCCATCCAATAAGATCTGCTTCATTTGCAACTGCCTGCCATCCTAAATTGAGAAACTTTGAGTGGGTATTGTGGAGATACTTTACAACTGATTGAATGAAATTACCTCGGAATTTGCTTTGTCAAATAAGTTTATTGGCCAACCATATTTATTTATTTGATGACTGTTATGTTGATCTCTATTCTCTATATCAAAGAAACATATCTCTGTCTTGTATGAATGGGCACATAGAGTCTCTTAAAAATATGAGTCTTATAATTGATCCTCAGTTCTATAATATTCTGATTTGGATTTTTATTAAAGATTGCTGCCATGTTTTGCCAACTGTGAAGGAGTATGAGATGGACTTGATTTAAGGGATGTGAAAGCTGAAAATCTTTTCTTTCTTTTTTCCTAATTAGCTAATATTATCTGAATTATGTATCTTATGACTCAAATGTGTTGAGATTAATTGTTGCGGCGCTACAACATACTAGTTCAACAACTAATACAGATATATGTAAAAAGAAAAATATGATGCACTCTACAACTCATAGTTATGCTCTCTACATGTTTTGTGTATGTATGAGTTGTATATTTACGATCTTCCTGCAGTGGTGATTTATAATTTTTTTTGTTTTGTTTTGGATGTTAAGCAAAGTCTTGATAATTTATAATAATAATAATAAATTTAAAATAAAAAAATTCCCATAATGACATAATTTTCAATAAAATGGTGAAAAGAAGCTTCAGCTAAAATCTGCATTTAAACCAGTATCCAGTTCTCCTTTGGTCACATAGTTCCATATGAGCAATGCATCATGCTTTCTTGTTGAAGCTAATATAGAATTAAGGTGTTCTTAGTTCTTAAATAGTTTTTTGTTGATTTGGCGGTTGTTTGCCCTATGGAAGTTTGAGAGTTGATGTTTTTGCTATCATTTCATGAAAACATCCTTTTGTTATTTGCCTGATTCTTGACGTGAATACTCAAATCCACTGACTGACTCGTATCAACTACTTGGCCTCCACTGAGATTTTGTATTAAAACAACGTATACATTTTATTTATTTATTTTTTCATTTGTACAATGTTGTAAGTTTTATTGAGTTCTTGTTTCCACACTTACGTTTTCATTGTTTTTCTGCTAGACTCCATTCGTCTTTTTCTGTGCTCTATATTCTGTTAAACTGATGAAGTCAAGGGGGGATTTTTTTTTTTAATTATGTATTTCTGTTTGGAAATTTGTTTTTCTCTCTGCAATGACAGTGTTGAATGGGAAATGCCGGTATTTACTCACGATTGCTCATTTTGCTTTGGTGCTGCTTTCTCAGTGAAATTCTTACTAGAATTAACTATATTAATTCTTGGCAGCTTACTGGAATGCCGAGAAAGGTGAAGCTGTTTTATGTGATTCTGTTGACATATCAATTGCAGTTGCTACTGAGAAGGTATTCTCACGCAGGGCCTCTTTTTTTTTTTTTTTTTTCTTAAAGTTTTACATAGAACCTAATCTCTTTATATATAATCTTGGTTACAGGGTTTGATGACTCCAATTATCAGGAATGCAGATCAGAAAACCATTTCATCGATCTCCTTAGAGGTACCTAATGATAAGTCAAAGAATTTTTTTTTTTTTGAATGATCATTAGTTATTTTGTAACAGAGAATAATGCAAGTACCTGCCACCTTTAATTACGTTTTATAAACACCACTCTAGAAGTTGTTCCTTTAGAAGTTAGTTGATAACAACCAATGTTGGTTAATGTCTAATGGCTGTAGCAGTTCTTAAAATGAATCAGTTGTGTGGAACACGGGCTGCAAAATCAAATTAAGCTGCTTTTGAACAGCTTGGATGGGCATGTTTTGCAGCTTGTTTGAGCTTGTCTTTTGATGTATCCTTAAATGCAACTCTTAGTCATTACTCATTCCAACATAACGACAAAACTTTGTAGACATTTTGACATGGGACTCATAAGCAGATGATGTGCTTTCGGAATAATCTATAGTAATCTCGTTCAATTAGGAGATTCAAATAAATATACTGCATTTTTCTTATGAATGTTTTTTAGGATATTAGGAAGTAAATTCAAGCCACAATATAAGAGGAGACGTGGTCTGTAGTAGAATAGAATGGGAAAAGCGAATTCCTATTACCAACGCCATTATTTTGGTATAAAGGCAAGGATGATGAAGATGATGATTCAAGCATATATTTCTGTAGTGAGTGGGAGGAGTTTTTAGGGAGTTTCTATTTGTTTTTCTGGGTTTTCGAAGCAAATAAATTGTCTATTAGTGTATTGGATAAGCACACAGAGATGAATACAATTTGGGAGAAACAATACAATGAAGGATTTTGCGCCCCTCCTCCTCCTCCTCTCTTCTCTCTATCTCTCTCACACTCACAAACACACACACGCGCGCACGCACACAAAAAAAAGAAAAAATGGTAAAAGGAAAAGAGAGAAGAATTTGCGTCATGGATGTCTATTTTATTTTACTGTCTCTATCTTTTTCTCTTCTTTTTGCATGAACAATAGGCTTGAAAGTATTCTTATGCACTACCTCTCATGTTGCATCCTCTCTTCACATGTTCTCTTTCGCTATATGAACGAGGGGCTTGAAAAATGCATTGCTCCTCCCTCTTCTATCTTCTTTATTCTAGTTTCTTTTCTTCTGATCATATATTAAAGAAAAACTAGTACAGTTCAACCCCCATGGGGGAAGCTGTGTTGGCATACGATTTCTGCATGACCCAGATTTCTTTTGTTTAACTCCTGGGGGCATCAAGCCTCCACCCTGGGCTTGCTTCACACCCGTGGTTTTTGGGATGATTGTGGGTATCTGAAGTGAATAGTTCTGCCCCAAAAGATCAAATTTCTAAACTAGGCAAACGTTTTCAACCCTGGCTCTGCTACAAGAGAATTTAGAATTGTCTTTTAAGACATATTGAGAGTCTTTGTTGGTACTTTTGACGCTATAAAATGACCCTTGCTTATTTTTGGAAGCATTCATTGGGGAAGAATCAAATATAACTTTGATGATATTCTTGATGATCTGAGTCAGCCAGGAATTAGAGGCATATTTAAAGAGAATGGGTTTCTTCTCAAGCCAGCTGGAACAGATTATGCCATCAAAATAGGGTTTTGGCTATCCTGGAAGGCCTTAGAGGCACCTACTATGGTATTATGAGTTTTTTTTTAATCAAACGTAACTCTTCTAGTGTCACAGCATGGGTGAAAAAACTATTCCTTTTTCAGTTAACATCGAATAGTTTGGCCAAGAGAGGAGCAGAAGCTTTTGAATCATTTAGAGGTCAACTTTACCATATTAGCCCTCCTCCCTCTGTCTCTCTCACATAGTTTTCCTTATCCAAACATTTAAATAATCTACCTACCTAAAGAGAATATCAACTACTAGCCTTGTCGTATTGTAGTGTTTTACATTCAATGGCTGTAGCGGTTCTTAAAATTTATCATAGTGCTCAGAATATTACTAAAATGTATTACAAACAGTTTTATCATTCTTTTTGTGCGGTGATCAATGCATGGTCATAATAATTATAATTATTGCTGAACTAATAAGTATGGTCTGCAAAAAGTCAAATAGTTGATTAAATTTTGGTTCTTTGGGGTTGAAGATAATGCATTCTTATTTGTCTAAATCTGTTACATGGACTGGGGCATGGATCTGAATGTTGGTGTGTTACAGGTCTTGTTCATTTGAATACATTATATTTTAGTACTGTAGCATATGATGTTTCTTTTAATGATATACTCACTTAGAGTTCAAATTAAATGTGTTGTGTGGAAAAAACGGGATCCTATCTGTTGTAGAGGTAGGAAATCCTTCGCTAATGTCAAATATAAACTTTTTCTTCTTTTTGATCATCATTCATCACATATAGAGAATCAGTGCGTCTGCTTTGGGTTCATGTGTCAGACACACAATTCTAAATGAATGTGTTTTTTAGTTTTTCTTCGACTTATCAATTGATTCACATTTTAGTCCTCAGCTTCAATTTTCAGTAGTTTCTGATTAATGGGTGACTTTTGCACTTAAGGTCAAGGAACTTGCTGCAAAGGCACGAGAAGGGAAGCTAACACCAAACGAGTTTCAAGGTGGCACTTTCAGGTGAATATATCATAAAATTTAACTTTAGTATTAGCATCACATAATAATAATAATTCCTTTTGTCAGTCATCATGAATCTGATGTAATCTTCATACAGCATCTCAAACCTGGGAATGTTTCCAGTGGACCATTTTTGTGCAATCATAAATCCACCACAGGTTCTCTCTCTCTCTCTCTCTCTCTCTCTCTCTCTCTCTCGCGCACGCGCGCACACACACACCAACACATGTTCGCACAGAATACACATTCACCTAACCTATGCTAACCTTGCCATAGCTCGACAGAACCAGCAAATATAATATTTTGCTTGTGAGATGTCCTGTTTTCTGTATGCTTAGTGATATGTTATGCCGAGATTTAGTTGTCGTTTTGTGATAACTTTTGACTGCAGGGTATCCGCGGGCAGTGCCCCCTAAATTGAAATTGGGATCTGTTTGCCAACTGAACCCGACTAAGTTTGTAAAATTAGTACCCCCACAAAGCAATCTGATTGTCTTATTATGTGACATAGGTTTTCGTGATAAGAGTTGAGAGGTGGAACTTGAGTTTATTGTAGTCCGAGTTCACTGTCGATAATTTAGTTGAGATCACCCTTTCCACTTTGGATGTAGGCAATTTGCCAAAGCACATAAATCTCTATGTTCTTGTTATCCAATTGTGTTATTCTTAAATAATTTTGTTATTGACCATGTGATTTGTGCATAGCAATATTAGTCTAACAGCCTACAATCGTGTTTCTAATGAAGACAATTCTACAATCTAGAGTGCTAAGATTAGTTATTTATAGATGTTGATGTGCAATTGTTATCTTTTTGTATAATTTGGTTAATTGTTTCTTGCAGGCCTGTATTCTAGCTGTTGGTAGGGGCAACCAAGTTGTAGAACCAGTAATTGGAAGTGATGGTAAAATATTTATCAGTTATCACTTACTGAATAATGCCAGCCAGTAATTGGTATTCTATTATTTTATTTGAATGATTTGGATTTACTTTCTTCTCAGGAGTTGAGAAGCCTGCAATTGTCACAAAAATGAATTTAACATTGTCTGCAGATCATCGTGTTTTTGATGGAAAAGTTGGAGGTATGTAAGGCTGCCAAATTTATATATTTCCAAATTGAGGATATTTTGTCACCATGTCCCGTTGTGTCACAAATTCTTTTTAAATCAATCATCATTATCTACAAGTTAGATTTAAGTTAGTACACCGCATTGCGAATCAGTGTCACATCACTGTCTTGCAAGGGGGATAGTATTTGGGGTTTTGGCTCTCCTGAATTTAAGCGAGGTCTTAAAAATCACTCTAAACCATAGCATGGAGGCACTGCTGGAGAACTGTAGCAGTTGGTTACCAATATGTAATGTGATGCAGTTGTTGACCTCACAAACAGGGAGGCTCGTATTTGAAAGTAACTAAATCCCCACTAAGGTCCCCAAGTAGTAAAAAAACCAAACAGTATATGGAAATTAATGGTTTTTTTTCATTGTTCTTAATCTACATGGAATAGAGCACCAAGGGGTTCTTTTTCGTATTTTCTTATTGGGTACTGTAACAAGGGTCATTTGTCCCACATCGGAATCGGATGGGAAAGTGATTGGGTATAAATGGGTGGGTATGCAGTACTACCCAATAATTCGAGCTTTTGGGTAAATGGGCAAGCGCCCACTCGTTACAGTTGGTATCAGAGTTAGACCCAGTCCTTGATCCGGTGTCACGCCAAGCACCCGGCCCGGAAGGCGTTCGGGCTAGCATCCCGGGTAGGCAGGGTGGCCCGAACCGCAACGAGGGCGTTGCGAGTTTGGGTGGAGGAGAATGTAACAAGGGTCATTTGTCTCACATCGGAATCGGATGGGCAATAGTTCGAACTTTTGGGTAAATGGGCAAGCGCCCACCCGTTACAGGTACCATGAGGACTGTGAGGTGATCTGCTCTTATGGTCTTGGATCACCACCTAGGATGTCATATAATTGAAATTTCATTATTCACATCTTTAATTCCTTAGCATTAAGGCTCAGGGTTGTACAATTTTATTTTGCAGGTGCTTTCGTCTCTGCTTTACGTTCAAACTTCAATGATATCCGAAGACTTCTTTTGTAGTGACATCAGAAAAACCCTCAAAGTTATAATCTCCTAGAAAACAACCATGGTTGGTGAACACCTTTTAGACCAGTTCAAGCTGTTACAGTCTATCAATGACATGAAAACTTTGCCTTTTGTCATTCCATCTTTGTTGAGACAATTTTTTTCTGATTCGAAGGGTCTAACCTGTTTCGAGAGATGACTAAGTTACAAAGAGACCAATTTAAATGAGGCTTTGCACCATACGTGGTTTATCAATTATTCTGAAGTTCTGATATTTTTTCCTCAAATGGTTTTTTTGGCTGCAATTTGTATTTTCTTGTATAAGAAATAATGTACAAGAATAGATACATGATTCAATATTAGTTAATGTAGTCTCTGTTCATGTCTGCCTCCTTCAATATTAGTTAATTTTATTTTAACAATTTCTCTTGGGCCTGGTATGCTTTTACAATTAATAAAATATTATATAGTCACAGACATCAAAACTTCCATTTGGAAATCAAAAGGTTGGCCATTAAAGTTGGATTTTGAAGTTGAAGGTGATGTTAGATTAGAGATTTGGTGGAAATCTTTCGTTACTATCATTGTGCAACTTGAATTCTTGCTTGTATGGATTTTAAATAAAATAACTTCTTACACCTTGTTATTTGAAATCTACATATATAATTCTTTGAAATACTCTCAAATCTATTAGGCTATGTATCTTACATGATTGAACCAAAAATTGGATAAGGAAAATCTGAGGTATGGTCTAAGTCGCATAAAGCGAGAGTAAGAGTGAATTCGAGAGCGGGAACATGAAAGCGGTAGAATTAAGTTATAAGCAGGAGAGAATTTGAGATAGAGCTCGCGCAGAGCGTGAGAACGCACCTATTGAGAAGGATTATGTGATTTAGGATATGATGATTATGTTTTGTTATAATCATTATAAAATTAAAAGATTGTAAACATGGATTTTATATAAGTAACTCTTTGTATTTGTTATTTGAGATTTACTCATATAAAGGTACCAAGGTTTTAAAAAGACAGATATTTCACAAAGTGATTGTATTGTGGCTTAAAATCGATGTTAACGTGACAACAACACACAAGACTTTGAAATATACACATAACCTTCTTAAATCATTTCATGCACATTGTTTTTTGCTTTTGTTTCTTGAATTGGGGAGCAATAGTTAAAATTTTTAAATTGCATTTAGAGACTTAAAGTACTTGCATTCCATCTGTTAGAAATTAAAATTTTACAAAATAAACCTTATAGCAATGGAAAGTTGAAGTGTGTAGGCATGGATCTAAAATGTTTCTATTTTAGTATTTTTATACTTATTGTTTTCTTCTTTTTGTATTAAATACATATAAAATTATAAAATTATCCCTACTAAAATTATAAAATAAAAAAATATATATACTATTGCCCCATAACATAACCTCCTACATAATTTTTTGGGTCTGTTTCTGAAAATGTGTTGATCATTTGAACTCCAATCAATTGAAGAATTCTGTTAAGTGTCGTCTCCGTTGCCAACGATAGTAAACTCTAATATAAGTGTGCAATAAAGGACACTATATGATAAAGGAGAGAAAGCTTTGGTTGAAGTTTCGTGGAAATGGCTATAATACAAAGGAGAGAGTTTTGGGTTGGTTATAAACCTAGTGTCATGCTTTTGGATTTAAGTAGCTTGGAAGGAAGTAATTCCTTGCAGTTCAGAGAAATTGAAAAATTGAAAAATTAAAAGTCAAAGTAATTTATTAGAGTTGACAAAAAATAATTATAATAATAAAAATAATAATTACTTCCAGACCCTTAACGATGAGAATTCAAGTGAACCATTTATGTGGGACTACCATTTTTTATTTATTTATTTATTTTATGTATTACTTGAGCAAATTTTAGCCCTTCTTTTATTTTAAGAAAATCAATACAAGTGTTAATCCACCACCATCAAATAGCGTTATGGAATTTAGGAGGGAAATAGTTGGAGGAGAGGTCTTGATTCTTGCTTGACCCGGTTCATGTCTGTTTGGTTTTTCTCTTTCCTGCACTGCACAGGGTTTTGGTGAATCGTTAGGGTTTTGGGCGATGATTTCGGTCCCGAGTCACAGGCCCACCACCGACTCCATTCACTATCGCCTCTTCGACTTCGCCAAGACAGCCCTTATCAAAATCTTCGTATCCCCCTACGCCACTGTTCGTGCTCTCTCTTTCTCTCTCTACATATATATATATACACATATATATACCGAGTTGCATATATAATGAATGATGTATGGTTGTTTTTGTGAAGGTGTGTGATTTGTACTGTGGAAGGGTCTCTGAGGCGGACAAGTGGGACGAAGCCCAAATCGGTCACTACATCGGCATTGGTACGGAACTTCTGAAATTCGAACATTTTGTGGTTCAATTGATTTGAATTCTTGGGAGGTTTTTTTTTTTTTTTTTTCCCTGATTAATGCTCGTTGTCGTGGATGGAATTCTGTAGATGTTGCGTCGTCAGGAGTAAGTGAAGTTCGAGAAGCTTGGGAGAGTCAGCGAAAGACCTACAGTTCAAAGTTCTTTGAACTTGATCCTTCCATTGTATGCCCATTTCCCCTCTCTCTCTCTCTCTTTACACACACACATATATATATATAATACATGTAGATGTATGTATGTTCATTTCTTTACTAGATAACTTTTGGGTGTTAGACATTGATGTAGGACAGAATCAACAAGTCTGTTTTTGACAAACCAATAGTGTTTTTTGGGTGGAAACAACACATTGAGAAAAAGCCACTAACTTTTGCTTGTGGGCCATGCTGGTTTTCGGCAGAAAACCTTCGTTTAGGGCTCCAAAATCGCGTTTTATTGTGTTATATGAGGTCTGCGGATTATTTCGGGATTTTTGTTCGAGGCCTTAATGAAGTCGTAATGCTCATTTTAGATTTAGTATTTTTTTATTTATTAGGTTTCTTATTCTATTTTTTTGGATTTTTGTAGAGAAACCTTATTTTTAGTCTTATTTTTAGGTTTATTTTCCTTTTACTATTAGATTTCTTTTATGTTTTAATTTTCTTCTAGAGTTAGGTTTTCTTTTATTATAAATATGTGTACTGCGAAGTGCAGAATTAACTTTTATTCATTCAATTATCAAATAATATATCAGATTTCTCTGACGTATCTTTTCATTTTGTGGATTCAAAACACCCACCTTGTGGATTCATGGTAACCTGTTCCTCGTGAACAAATTTATCGCTTCCGCTTACGTCAAACATTATATGGTAAAGATATTGGAATTAACAAATGAATTTTTTTTCCTTGGTAATTAACAAATGAATTTCTTTAAGGTCTCTTCAAAAGTATTGAAGAAATTGTTATAAATTTGAGCTATTACCGATAAAAATGATATAGCCCCTCTACATCAGTTTTCTTGTAAGTTGCCCCTTTACATTATTTATAGATTTTGTGTAGTCCTGAGATATTTATTAGGACACTTCTCCATCTGGACGGTAAACATTGTAGATGTCATCCTTCCAAAAATGATATCAAGAACATGTTCTCCTTTCACCCATACCTAAATGTGTGAAATATGGAGCGTCTCCCAGTTCTAGTTCACATTCAATGCCTGATTGGATATGTATTTACCGAACCATACTCTAATGAATAAAATCTTAATTTTGAATTAAAGAATCTAAATTGAAATTACAAATCGATTATCCAACATGATCTGGAGACTAATCATAGTAATTTTCTCGTTTAAAAAATAAAATAAAAATTGAATGCATCCAACCCTCATTACATAAAACTCTATCTATCATAAAGGAACTATAAACTAAATCTTCCAATCAATGTTATCACCAATTTCGTCAACTTTTCGTCCCTTGGTTTCCTGGAATGTTAGAAAATGTGGTGAACCGACAGATCAGCATGAGATAAATCTTTTTGCATTATTAAGAAATATGTATATGCAATAAAGAGGATATCAATATTAACAACTCCAAACTTCAATAATATCAACAACTCAATTGTGTTTAGTAAAGGAGCAATAACAACTATTTCAATTGCTACTCAGTTGTCTCAACTTTTCACTCACTTAATTCCTATCACATCAGGGGGTCTCGTTTCTTGCAAGCATTATGAATTAATTATGGATAAGATTTACTGCTTTTGAGTTATGTTATGTGTCATTAACTTTTCATGGTTGTTGGAATTAACTTTTGTTGTCCACAGCATCATCATAACCCTTTTACTTAAATGGACAGTAGCAGTGCAGCACGGGCGGGTCAGTTGGATTAAATTGAGCTTAACTTGAGATATAATATTCTGCGGCCAAACCCTAGCCAAACCTGAATATGTTTTTCTAGGCCTGGGTTGGTCGATTAGGGTCGGGTTACTAATAATTTGATAGAAATATTACTAATAATAATATAGGTCAGGTTGCCTCTGGTTACTTGACAACTCTACCCAAGTCCAACTTGGATTGAGGGCGGGTTGAAAATTTTCAACTAAACCTAGCTCAACTATGGGATTCTGCAGCTTCATGTCTTAATGATTGATTATTTTTTTTGATAAGTATGTATTAATGATTGATTAATGATTAGGAAAACTCTATTGATAGTTACACTCGTTGATGCAATGTCTTGGGGGCATTTTCTTTAATTTTTAGTAATAAAATAGGGCTTAGAGTCATTTTTTGTTCATAATATAAAAAGAAAACATTGTAGGGTTGAAGTTTTCAGTGAAGTAGAAAGAATAAGTTAGTCACTTTTGGACCCAATTGTCGGTCGAGTGCCTTGGGGATAAGCTAGGCCAATTGTCTAGGGTGGTCGTTTAAATAAAGTTGAGCCTTCGTTATGTTGTGTTGGTTACATTACTGTTGACAATAATCGAGTATGTGTATAATAGTTCATGTAATATGTGATAATAATAAATTTTTTGTGGTATATGTGGACTAATGACTATGCATTGGTAGTTCTATGAAGTGCTTTCAGCTGTTAGTAAGTTTCCAACTAGCAATAAACTGAAACAAAATTGGGTAAGGTTGAGTGATATTGTCTTGTACTTTTTCTCCCTTTTTTTCCTTCCACGTGATGTACACTGAAAATGCAACACTAAAATAACATGTTTATAGTGAGTCTAGTTGCAATAAGTTATTAAAATCACTAAAGAAGGAAAGTATCCTTGAAATTTGGGCAAATTTAATTTCTGCAGATGAGGAATGTATTTACATTGAATCTGGTGATTTGTTTCTTATTTGATTAAGTGAACCTCGAGTAAAGATGTAGGCTTTCTTTCATTATTGCTTTTTTTACTTTGACACTTTATGCTTATAATACAGAAATTCCTACATTTTTCTCTTATTGATCTTTACCATTAGCTGGGTTAATCCTTTCTAACATATTAAGATGAAATTATTATCCATGCTATATGAACATAGAAGTGACTTTGTGGTTCATGTCAATGTGCTTTAGCTAAGGCTTTGTCTACTTCAAGCTTGATTTCTGTATGTTCCTTCTAGACTTACAGCATATTTTTTGACAGGAAAATATAGAATTGCATTTGAAGGAAAGGAATACGGCCGATATTGTTTGCTGCTTGCAGCATTTGCAGGTTTTGAATAATTTTATAGTGTTTTTCCACTCAGTCAATGTTCCTTTTAGGAAAGAATAAAGAAAGCTTTTATGCCTACTTGCAGTTGTGTTTTGAAACTGAGGAGAGAGTGAGGAAACTTTTACATAATGTGTCATCTTTGCTTAGACCGGGTGGATACTTTTTCGGCATTACCCCTGACTCATCTACTATCTGGTATGGATCTATACCATCGAGGTTTCCTTCTTCTCTCTCTTGGACATATTTCTGCTGCAGTATCTATGTGCATTACATTTGATTGTGGGATTATTTTTTTCTGCCCTTATCTTTGGGGATGTTATTTGCCATCAAAAATTTCATCCTCGTGAACTAATTCACATAATGGGTTACACTTTGCATGCAGTTGCCGTGTCTTAAGTTGGAATCTAAACATTCTAGTGAGTTGTCTAATTTTATATGTATTTAAGAAACAATATCGCCTCTGAACTGCAGTCAGAATCATGTATGAGTAGAGAAGAGATGTGACTTACCCATGGGCCATGGGCCTTTAATTTTTTTGCCATGACCTCTCTGTGTTTGTGTAACTCTGTTTTTGTGTGATAGTGGTGTAGGATAGCATTAAGGAGTACAGCACTGCTGTTTGGTTCTGTGGTATATTCAGTTTACTCCTAGGTCAATAAACTATTAATCAAGTAAGATTGGTTCGGTTCAAGGTCAATACAAAGACCAAACCTGAGAACCTATCTATATATGATACATATATGATTTTATAATTTGTATTCTTATGATTGTAACTTGGTTATATGTGCTTATAATGCTGCACTAGATTACTAAAACGTTTTAGTATTATTCTGGAGAACTTCAGGTAAATATAAATCTAAATTAGCATTCACCTGAACATGCTATGATCACCAAACAATTAGAAAATAGAAAATTTTAAAATGAATCAACATGCAACCAAGTTTTTTTTTGTCTGGAAAAGAATTTATGAGGCAATCGACTATTAATGAAAACTTAATCTAACTTCAATCATAAAGAACATAGCAAACAACGCGTAATATGCAGTTAAAAGAGTATGCAAAATAAGGAAATATCATTAGTGTGAGAAACTTGTAGATGTGAAAAATAAATAAAGTATCCGAAATACAGAACTCTTCACATTGTCTCATGTAGGCCTATATATGCTAACGGTTTCATTCAAATTTTTAGGACTATTATGGAGGATTGTAGTCTTTTTGTTCAAATTTCAGTTATTTGATCTGATCTTAGTGTTTTGGAGCTGCTTTGAATGCAGTGCTTTTATGGTTTGTATTGTTGTCCTGCAAATAATTTAATGAACAGTTCAGTAAAGTGGAACCAATTAGAACAAAACAAACCAACCTAATTCCTGTTAAATACCTACTACTTGAACTAGTGCCTTTTCTAGTACCAGCACAGGGAGAACCTGTACCTCAAACTAGTTCAGCAGATTGTTGCGCTTTACATTCTTCCAAAGCTTTGACTAAGCATTTGCTGATCTGCACTGAAGATTAAAACAACATGGATCATGATAAATTCTGATGACTTTTGCAAGAGGTAACTGTAACCCTCCATCTTGCTTGCAAGTCTCTCTCTCTCTCTGTCTGTGTGTGCATGTGTGTGCTCGTGTGCTGAACAAGCAATGACCATGAGTATATATAATTGTGCTATTTCATTCTAGTCTATGCTGGTTTCATGAATTCTTTAAATTGTAGTTTTTTTTTTTTTTTTTTTTTTTTTTTTTTGGGGGTCCTGCCATGGTTCGTTGAATTTTTTTATATATAGTTGTTTATATATATATATATATATATTAATGGCAATCTTTTATCTAATCTGTGAGTATAAGCACAAATTTATGTTGAAAGAACTTTTTTTTTCCCTTCAAATTTGTTTAGAAATACATATATTGAAAATATTTTTTTTCTCTTAATTTTGATGGCTTGTCTGACCTGGAAAAAGAAATGTTGACTTTAGCATAAACATAAGCTAGGCCTTGATATATTTAGTTTTTGTCATTAATTATTTTGATGATTAGATTGTCATCCTTTATTTAAGTTTTTAATGCTTTGCTCTATATAACTTTCTTATGATTTGTATCCAGTATCTTGTATATCTGTTTATGATGTCTTTAAAGTGCGGACCGACTGCGTGGTACTTCTGAGTTCTGTGAGATTTGTGGAAACAGAAGCTACAGCATCTTTAAGAGCTTCAGAAACTGTTGATTATCCCAACTGATATCTCCCTTGAATTGAAAATAGTAATATATAGATACCATTTATTGTCTCCTAGTTTTGCTCGAACCAAGAGTCAAGACATCTTTGATTTGCTGGACTAATTTATACCTTCTGCTGGATATATTTGAGCTGTTCAAGTACTGGGAAGACAAAATGCTTCAGGAGTTAGTACTCCCAAGACCAAAAACAAGCTTCCTCCCCTCCCCTCCCTCTTAAATCAACAATTGGAATCAAACCTTTAACCCCATCCCTACCACTTAGATAGTTAGATGTCATGCCAGCAGCTAACTACTCCGCTATAATGGCTATGGCAATTATGAAATTTTGGAAGTACCCTTTTTCATTAAGTAATTCTTAGAATACCCTTGACTGACTAACCTAGTGGATCACATGAAGCAAACTAAAAGAAAGCATAAAGTAGGACTCAACTTCAATTAAAATCTTGATTATACAGGACTGAAATGGTCCCCCTATTGAGACTTCCAATTTACCCTAGTCAATGCTCTCTCTCTCTCTCATATTGAAGTTGATTAAGCTTTATCTTTTCACCATCAGAATTTGATTGTGACATATTCTAAAATGTTGAGATTCTAAATCATTATCTAGGTTTTGTAGTGCATGAAGTTCTACTGCATTGAGAATTTTGAGTCTCCTTTCCTTTTTCTTCTTAAAATTTTACTGTTTTAAGTTATTAACATAGATTGAGATATGCTGAAATTGAAATTTGAAAACAATTAGTTGGTCGGAATTTAGTTTCATTGAATCAGGCACTTTATTGGCTGAACACTGAAATTTAAAATTTCACAAGCACCAAATGGTTTTACTACATTCTATGCATCTTGTGTGGCATTCTGGTGGTGATGTCAATTCCCCATTTGTTGACAATAAATGGTGCCTCCTTGAAATAGAAACAGAAAAATTGTTGTGGTGATTATGCATAAGTATAACGTCATACTTAATATCGCTTGTTTGACTCTGCATACCTTTATACTTGAGCTCAATTTTCCATGTTTAGTCTGTCATCAATTAATTGATGCTGTATGAGAATGTGTAATTTTTTGGGCTTACAGGGCGAAGTACCAGAAGAATGTTGAAGCATACCATAACAAAAGCAGCAGCATGAAGCCCAACATCGTTCCCAATTGCATTAGATCAGAAAGCTACATGATCACTTTTGAAGTAGAGGAAGAGAAGTATATATGCAGTTGATGCTTGGTTTGGTTGTATAATTTTTGTATGACCTGTTTTAACTTGTATCCAATTGCATGTGTTATCATTTCCAGGTTCCCATTTTTTGGAAAAAAATATCAGTTGAAATTTTCTAATGACATATCTGCTGAAACACATTGCCTGGTTCATTTCCCAAGCTTGATCAGGTTTAATCTCCATCTTTAAATTTATTTTAGGAGTTGATTCAGAAAGTTGTCACCCTTGTTGGTGCCATCATAATGGGGGCGTGGTGTCAAACTTCCATATTCCAGGGTTAACTAAATCATTTTGGCCACCAAATTTTAACCCATGTTGAATTTGAAAATTGTGCAAGTTTGTCTGTTTTTGGTTTTAGGCTATCTGCATGGGACCAAGGCAAGGATGATAATGATAAAATGTTCACTTGCCTAATTTATGTTTTGCCTCCAATATGGCTGTAGTTTAACTTTAATCTCAATCATGGGTAAGAGTTTGAATGGGAATGTAATTGTATGTTTCCATTTAAGATGTCTTAAATACTCATGCCTCCAGAATGCTGGCATGCAATCATCACACTGCCATTTCTTTCAGTATGCTTATTATTACTCCGTTCAATTTCCAAAATACCTAAAATCAAGGTTATGTAATTTGGTTCACAGGTTGGCCAGAGAGGCTGGTCTTGATTATGTGGAGATTCAAAATCTAACTGAATTTTATGATGATAACAGGTAAGTGCATTTGCAACCTACAACAGAGTATTATCTCTGCTACTTTAGTTCGTACGCCACTTTCATGCTTTACCTAGGTCTACCCCTCTCAGCATCCCACATTTGTGGGACCAACACTGGGCAATGGTTTTGAATTTGACGTGTGTTAGATTTCTAATTTGTGTATATTTGGATTAGTTTCCATGCCTTTAAAGTATCAGTGCTGACATTTTAGGTTTCTTGGATGTCAAACTAGAAATATGTATTAAAGTCTTCCTTGGAGTTTGAACATCATCTTCACCTACAAACTTATTGCTCAGAAAAGAAAAAAATTGGCGCTGGCATCTTCGGATTTTTTTCGAATAGTAGTACTTGCCGAGTTGCTGGTTTTTTGTTGTTAGTTTGGTATATTTCGGTGTTAAAGATTAAAAATGATAGTAAAAGGTGTGTAGGTGCTTGAGCTTTATATCATTTCTTCATATAACTAAAGGTATGTGTTTCAGAATAGTAATTCTACTATTACGAATTTAATAAATTTGGATAATCACAGAAGATTATTATGAATTTAATAAATTTGGATAATCACAGACATCCCCAAGTACTTGGAAAAGGCTTTGTTGAGTTGAGTTGAATAGAATGTTGGACAACTATGAAATTGGTCAAGAGTTTGGTTTTCTTCTCTGATGTGGAGTGTATGAAGCCAGATCTAATTTAGAGTACTTAATTGCAAAATCTAAATGACTAAGTATGTAAGCACTATAGATTAATGTTAAAAGTCTTCTAATTGTGTGAACTGGTCATGTTGGAAGCAACACTGAGTATAGTCCGTATGGATAGGGGATATTGTGTCAGACATGTCCGACATGTCTGGTTGGATGCTGCATATAGCAAGCATATTCAACACTTCATGTTTCTTAGATAACTGTGCATAAGATTATTTCACTGTCTTTCTTTCTTTTTTTCCCCCTTTATAAGTTGTATCTTTCGTTTCCTATATTCTTGCTTCAGAATGAGTGATGTCCACATTGAACACTTTACTTTAGATAAATTAACCAATTTTATTTCGGAAAATAAAGAAGATTAAAAAAAATAATAAAAAAAAAAATCTGGAATATTAGCCGTGTACTTGTATCCTTAGGTTTGGAGATTTGATAAATCTGGTGCTTAGACACATGTCCACACCCGACAAGTTATAAAAGTCCATATAACATAGCTATATCTACAATTTTGGAAAAAATAATAATAATAAAATGCATTATTATTTCTATTACATGCACAATTTGTTACAACAAAAAGATTTAAGAGAAAGGAAAAGGTAGGGAAAGGGCCCTTTGGCTTTTCACGCCAGCCATTCATTCTCCTCCAATTATTGTTGTCGTCTCATTAACTGGCCTGCATTAAATAGTCACACATTGATTTTGAAGTAAACTACTGTTGAGAAACTGTACAATATGTAGATAATTTTGTTAGTGTGTGAATGCATGTTTATATAAATCGTTATTATATATATATATATATATATATATATTATTGACATATGTAGCTCTTCTATTTTGTTGTATTTTGGTCTGTACATCATGCCCAAGTTAATACTGCTATTAAATCTTCTGTTTCAATGAACCCATTCTTCTAGTTATGCAGTAATCTGGTTTTGCATAATGCCACTCCCATTCCTAGATTTTGTTACAAGTGGCTGTCTGGGAAGTCTATGTTTCTGCTAACTACTGAAAAGTAGCATTGCAAGATCCTCAAGTTTTCTAAATCATTTTGGGTTGACAAGGATCAGTGACTGCAAGTTTCATTATTATATATTGTCTATTGTGCAGAAAATTGGAAATTTAGTATTGCAAGCAGCCTCTGAGGCTCTACTGTGGACCTTTTTGTAACACCTAGCACTTGTTTAGTTAGCAATTGACTTTTTTCCCTTTCATTTACTTGGTTCCCAAAGAGCACAATTTGCAGGCATGCTACTAGACGCTGGTCTAAATCTTGTTGATCCCAGGGGGAGACTTCTACCTAGATCGTATGATGTATTAGGTAATACATTATATATCTTTTCTTTTCCATATATTTTCAAATTAAGCTTGGCCATGTCGCAGTTGTACTTTACGATCCTATTCTTTTGGCATTCCCATTTTGCAGGTCTATATACCACATTCATTTTTCAGAAGCCTGACCCGGATATTTGCCCCCCACTCATGACACCTTTGTTGCAAGATGGAAGTCACAATCAGGACGAGGCAAGTGTTTATAATATGAGGAAGGATAGATTAGAAGTGAAATATCTTCAACCCTGATTTAACTGAGGCTACAGCCTTTGTGGAATAGCAAAATAGGATTCATGTAGCCAACTCCAAATAGTTGGGAAAAGGCTTTTGTGAGTTAATTAGATTAATATTGCACAACCAAACCCCCCACCGTGCAGGCAGAGAAAGGGAAAGAAAAAAAAAAAAAAAAATCAAGGACTATAATTCTTTGAAATTGCTCATATCTGTGGTTGTGAGGAAAATTTATACTTCAACTCGATATTGAAGGGTCTAAATATAATAGTTTCTTCTGCACATAGAGATTGTGTTTGAAAGCATTGAATTGGTGTCTTGGAATTGGAATAGAATTGCAGGGAAAATAGTTAAAACTCTTAACTAATTTTTCTCCAACTGTTACTCCAAGGCACCAATTCCATGCACCCAAACATAGCAACAGAATAATTCAACTGCGCGTTGGCCCTTAACTTTTTTCTTTTCCTATCATGTATTTTCTAGTAAGAAATAGCCTTATTGTCAAGGCTGGCTGAGGTAGGAAGAGTGATGAGCAGTTCTTCCCCAAAAGAAAAAAGCTTAAAAATATAAAATAAAATAAAAATTAAATAAATAAATAAAATTAAATAAAAACTCCAAAAATAAAGTTTGCATTTGAAGAGATTAAAAAGTCCACAGAAAACCACAAACTTCTCAAGGTGGCTAAAAATGACCTCTGTAAAAGTGAAATGTAGTAACCTCATGCTTAGTTCAAAAATCAGCCTTGGTTGAGTGTTGTTATATTATACAGAAAAAATAAAAATATCCAAGTCTTTTAAGATAGTAGATAAACTATCAGTGTTCTATCTTGTACATCCTTTAACTAATTTCCCTCCAATTCTTATTCCAAGGCACCAATTTTATGCACCCAAACATAGCAACAGAATAATTATACTGCACTTTGGCCCTTGACTTTTTTTCTTTTCCTATCATGTTTTTCTGTAGTAAGAAGTATCCTTATTGTCAATGCTGGCTGAGGTAAAAAGAAAAAAAAAACCTCCAGAAATAATGTTTACATTTGAAGAGATTAAAAAGTCCAAAGAAAACCACAAACTTCTCAAGATGGCTAGAAATGACGTGGGTAAGAGTGAAATGTAGTAACTTCATCCGTAGTTCAGAAATCAGCCTTGGTGGAGTGTTCTATTATACAAAAAAATTTCCTAATCCTATAATATAGTAGAGCGATTTCCTTTAGTACGTGCCATATTATCCTTACACTATCTGTGCTGTATCTTCTTCCTCCTTGAATTGGTGTCTTTGAATTGGAATATAACTGGAGGGAAATTAGTTAAAAGTTTGAAAGTTTTTCTCCAATTCTTATTCCAAGGCACCAATTCCATGCTCCCAAACATAGCAACTGAATAATTCAACTGCGTGTTTTTCTCTAGAAATAGGTTATTGTTAAGGCTGGCTGAGGTAGTAAGAGAGTGATGAGTAGTTCTTCCTAAAAGAAAAAAGCTTAAAACTATAATAAATAATAAATAAATAAAACCTCCCGAATTGAAGTTTGCATTTGAAGAGATGAAAAATCGAGGGCAAGCCTTGGCCCAACGTTAAGGTTGCTCCATTGTGACCTCGAGGTCACAGGTTTGAAACAAGGAAACAACCTATCTGCATGCCGAGGTAATGCGGCGTACATCCACACCTCCCGCAATGGCGGGCGCCTCGTGCATTTGGTTTGCCCTTCGACGAGATTAAAAATTCCACTTAAAACCACAAACTTCTCAAGGTAGCTAGAAATGACCTTTGTAAGAGTGAAATGTAGTAATTTCATGTTTAGTTCAGAAGTCAGCCTTGGTTGAGTGTTATATTATACCAAAAAAATACAATATCTTTTAAGGTATTTGAGCAATTTCCTTTAATACATGCCATATTATCCTTAAACTATCAGTGCTCTATCTTGTACCTAATTTACTGGCAAACAATCCTTGCTGCAAATATATGGAAACCAAGAATGGAGAATAAGTTGGTATGACGTTATACTCTCTTATACAGAAGGACACCTACTTGGGGCATTTCAGAGTTGTGTTCACCTTCCGTTAGCCAAAGTCAACCAATGCTTCCCCTTTCATTGGCAATGTCAATAAGTCAATCACACCGCTTTTTCTTTGGACCGAGGCCTTCCACACCGCTGTGCACTTCTAGATAAGATATGTCTCGGGAACGAAGTTGGCCTCTCTAATTGCTGCTCCACTAATCCTTTGAATGAGGCTATTTTCCCACCATTAGGGGGAGAAAAGAGAAATTCCATTGGGGAAAAATTTTGAAGTCTGTTCAATAAGTTAATAGAAGTGAAACTAAAAGCCTAAATCAAACTCTTGAGATAATGATTTACAAGAACAGCAATCATTAGTTTCAACTGTCCATCATCTAGAAGTCATGGTGAAGAGTGGGTATAGACACTTCATTAATGAGATAAAGGGATAAGAACTCTTCCATCACAAGGTTATTAAGACAATGTATGAGGATGAAATTTGTGGTAAACCATTTTGAGAGGGAATAAGCACATTAGCAATTGAACTCATCTCCCATCTCTAACGAGATGGAAAAGACAAGAATAAGAAACCTAAAAGGGAATGTCCACCACCCAACGATCATTTCTAGTGAACATTTTAAGACCATTACTCACCCCCGATTTAATATATTTCACTAAGTTGGGACAATATTGGATGATTGCATCAACTATTACAATGTACATACCAGAAAAAGAAAGAAAGGCAATGAGAACAACGATTTTCTTAGGAATATGAGGTGATGCTCCGGTGGCTACATTGGAATGTACATATGTCTGATTGGGTAAGAGCGATATGTGGCTGCAAAGAAAATTTTATATTCTTTGAAGTTACTAACTTCTTGCCAATAGTATTTGCAACTAACCATATATTCTAAAGCATAAAGATTATTTTTTGACAGACGACACAGGTACTTTAAATGCTAACTTAATGCTCAATCTTAATTGTTAATAAAAAAAAAACTTAATTTTTGTAGATGGAGTTCTTTGTTATGTTAATTCTTAACTAGAAATTTTTTCATTACACATAACATTTTCTTTTTTCTGGGTTGTTTTGATATTCTAGATGGAGTGGCAAGGGACTGTCTGGAGAGACGATGAGAAGAATGGACAAACGGATCCATCTCATGGACTAGGCAAAATAAGTGAACAAAAAGGGATTTTAGGTCCCGGCCCAGCAGATTTGCGTTTCTCAGAAGCTCTGTGACCTGGTTTTAGTCGAAAGAATAGGTGGAAAGTAGGTTGGGAAGAGAAAAAGCCCATGGTACTTTGTCTATCAGTGTAAACGAATCATATCTTCTTTTAGTTGTAAGAGAGTAGAACATGATTAATGTTATTTTTAGCATAGTTGTATTTTTAAGATAACACAAATAACATTTTTCCCTCCTTACCCGGGGAAAAAATGCATTTTTCCATTGTATAATATTTAAGATTGTGATATTTTGTACATTGAAACAAACTATATATCAATGGAGAAATAGAAAGATTGATTGAATTGTGGAAGAAACATGATTCCTTTTGAGTTTCAGAATGTTCTCTGTTCTTATAAAATGTTTTGTAAACTTGCATGGGAAAGTCTCCTCAAGCGCAATTTTCCGGAAACAGAACATACTCAGTAACTATAGAGCTTTCTTAATTGACTTGAGATTTCCAACAGGAATTGTAATTGGTTGACAGCCTACAAGCCGGGGACTTGGCGACTTTTTGTGGGAGCTTCCTGGGGGCTTGAAACGGACTTTCAAGCCCTTGAATCCCTTCCCAAAAAAATGTCAGTGTTTGGTGAATTACATGACAACAATGGAACTATGAACATGAGCTCCATTATCTGCGATCTTCACTCATCACTTTACTTATCTTTTCACGTTTTTTCATTTTCTTAGGTCTTGTCGTATGCGAATTCAAATACAGGTAGGTTTGTACTCTTGGAGGAAAATTTTGAGTGGAGTTAAATAAGTATAAAATTGTTGAGTTAAAACTTTTTAAAATAAATTTTATTTTTTGGTATTTGGTTGTCAAAAATATAAGTAACTTATTACATATCAACTTACAAGAATAATCTCAGGGAAAAAAAAACCTAACACGTTAACTTTTCACAAGCTATTTTACACGTCTTATTCAATAACATCGACCTAGACCTTTGCCAAACACTAAAAAAAAATATTTTTCGAAAAATATTTTTTACATCTAAACAAACGGATTATTATGGAAATAATTTTGGAATCAGGAAACTCCTCCAAACATAGCCTTGAACCCTCGACATGCCTGTTTTCGTGCTGCCCAAACTCCTCCTAGGTAAAAGAAATACCCAACTGAAAGGTCTTTTTCGAAAAATATTTTTTACATCTAAACAAACGGATTATTATGGAAATAATTTTGGAATCAGGAAACTCCTCCAAACATAGCCTTGAACCATCAACATGCCTGTTTTCGTGCTGCCCAAACTCCTCCTAGGTAAAAGAAATACCCAACTGAAAGGTCTTTTTAGTACACACAGAAATGCAAGGAAAATGAAGAGAAAGAAGCTGTTTGGTTCTTTAAGTTGCTGGCTTTGATGGGTTGGTGAGGGTTTCATTATTTATTGTGAACAAGAAAGAGACTGGGTGCAAAAATGAATGAGACTGCTGGTGCGAAAAACAAAAAAATAAGTTACTTTTAAAAAGTGAAAAGGCACGCCCGGTGGGACTCGAACCCACAATCGCCTGATTAGAAGTCAGACGCCTTATCCATTAGGCCACGGGCGCCTTCTGTTTTCCATTTTCTTGCTTATATTATATAATTAGTATCTTCTAAAAGCTCAGATAAACAATCTTCGTACGAGCCCGTCCCATGATAGTCTTGGTTTTAACTTTTTACTCTTTTACTTTTGACTATAATAACTTTTTATTTGGTAGGTGTAAAATGATTTTAGACATCCCTTCATTTAAAAACACAAGAAAGTTGGCAACTATGCTCAACTACCTTTGCCCTATTTATTTATTTATTATTATTATTATTTTTATTTTTATTTTTAAACTACTTTTGCGATTCATAGAAAAAGGTTGCTCTCTAGAGAATACATTGATTCTTGCCTCCTAAAATTTGTGGTTTTCAGTATTGGTGGCAATTGAGTGGGCCTTGGCGGATTTTGGGCTGATTATAAATTGTCGAGTTAATAGTGAATCAATAACCAATTATCAATCGATTTATAATAAGTCATAAAAAGGTTGGGTATTAAATGAGCTAGTTAACGCATACCCAATCCAAATATTTTTAGATACAAATTATCAAATTATTTTAATTATTGAATACAAAAAATTTATATATGTTTTTATATTAAATTTATTAATTTTTTGGTCTCACTTGTAACAATTTTTTTTCTTTTTTATTATTTTTTATTTTTTGGAAAAAAGTCGTTATACAACTTACAAGAGAGAGAGAGAGAGAGAGAGAATAGGAGGAGAGAGAAAAAAAAGGGAGAAGAGATGGATGGGAGGAGAGAGAGACAGGGGAGGAGAGATATGAATAGAAAATATTAATATTGATAATATTAGAACGGTTACACTTCAGTAATATTATTACTATTATGATTGTTAAATGACAAAAAAAAAAAAAAAAAAATTACTTTTACATTGATTTTTTTATTTCAAGGGTTACAATTATTATTATTATTTTTATTACAGAAAAAGAGAGAAAACAGAAGAGATAAAAAATAATAAAATAAAATAAAATAACTGGATTTTGTTTGAACGGGTTAAGATGGATACCCACTCTTAACTCACCATTGGCCCTTGAATTGAATGGGCACCCACTTTTTACCCATTATTGATCCACTCACTTAAATTTGGATACCCGTATAATTTAATTTTAATGAACGAATTTAAACGATTTATTGGATTTCATAAGAGGAATTGAACTTGAATTTAATACAATAGCCGGTAATGAAGAAAATTTAGGGAATGAGGGAATCAATAATAATGGGGAGGAAATTCCAAATGTGGTTCCCAGGACTCTTCGGGACCATTTCATCCCTACCACTTATGCTTCTCCCTCTTGTATAGTGATGCCAAATATCGAAGCCACTCAATATGAAATCAAATCTAGCACCATCCAAATGCTTCCATCTTTTCATGGCTTTGATAATAAAGATCCCTATAAGCATTTTGATGAGTTCCTTGAAATTTGCTCTACTATCAAGATGAGGGGTTTCCCTGAGAATGCACTCCACCTGCGTCTATTTCCATTCTCCTTGAAAGATAATGCAAAGTATTGGTTAAACTCCCTTGTTGCAAACTCCATCACATCATGTGCCCAATTGCAACAAGAATTTCTAAAGAAATATTATCCGGTGAGTAAAACCAATCAAATGAGGCACTTCATTCTTAGTTTTTCTCAAATTGATGGAGAACAACTCCATGAGACTTGGGAAAGATTACAAGATCTTCTTAGGAAATGCCCGCACCATCTAATTCCAAAATGGCAATTAGTGCAAGCCTTCTATGATGGTTTAACCAAACCACATAGACTCATGGTTGACTCCTCATGTGGAGAGATGTTCATGTCTAAGAATGCGGACGAGGCTTGGACCTTACTCGAGAATTTGAGTGAAAATTCATTGCAACACAATTCTCGTAGGGCTCCGATCTTAACCAATGCTAAGAATACCAATCCTTGTCAACCAAAAACACTAAGGGAAGAATCTTCTCAAGTGGATGCCATAGCTCATAAATTCTATCAATAAATGGCACTATATCTCTCTCCCTCTTTGTCTCAAAATTCAGCAAGTACGGTGTGTGCATCATGCATGAGTCCCTTCCATCTCTCGAAAGATGGCCCCACACCGAAGCAATTTCCTAATCCCAATCATGAGCAAGCAAATGCGATATTTTCCAGACCTGGAAACAATCCTTATTCTAATACTTATAATCCAGGCTGGAGAGATCATCCGAATTTTTCGTAGAGGCAACCCGTCCCTCAAAATTCGAACTTTCAGAATCAAAGGCATCAAAATCAGCCCCCTTCTCAATTTCAAAATAGGCCACTTCAGGCCTCGTCAAGCTACCGTCTCCCTTATAATCCAAATGTCTCTAATCAACCTCTTGCGTTTCCAACTGATGAGATTTTGGCTACAAACAAGCAAATGATGGAATCTCTAAACAAGCAAATGATGAAATCTAACAAGCAACTCTTGACATCATTGCAGCCCACTCTCCAAATGGTTCATTCTCATACTCAGTCTATTGCTAAACTTGAGAATCAAATGGGGCAAATAGCCACTTCAATGAACTAAATTCTTCAAAGAGATAAGGGGAAGCTTCCCGCTCAACCATTTGAGAATCCCAGAGGGATTTATGTGATTGACGAAACCCCTCTTCAGAGTGGGCTAACTCATGAACAAGTCCAAGCAATCATCACCTTTAGGAGTGGTCGAGTTGTGGATAACAAGGTTGATGGAAGAAACAATGCAAAAGTTCTTCCTCCCAAAAATCCAATTCTTAGCTCTTCTAATCCAAATCTCACTCCTGAATTTCCAAAGTCTAATGGTGCAAATTCCAAGCTTGTTGCCCCAAATGTAGAGACTTCTTATGAGCCTAAGGCTCCGTTTCCTCAACGTTTCCAAGAGTCGACACATTTTGGGAACAAAAATTGTAAAATTCAAGACATGTGGGAAGTCTTCAAGCAAGTAAAAATCAACTTGCCTCTCTTGGATGCTATAAAGCAAATCCCCCTATGCTAAATTCCTCAAGGATTTGTGCACTCAAAAGTGCACCTCCAAAAATCATTTGCCAAAGAAAGTAAGATTGACCGAAAATGTGAGTGCAATCATTCAACACAATGCTCCTCCAAAGTATAAGGATCCGGGCACCCCAACAATCTCGTGTGTCATTGGGGACAACAAGATAGAAAGAGCCCTCCTTAACTTAGGAGCTAGTGTAAACTTGATTTCATATTCAATCTACTTACAACTTGGGTTGGTAGATCTTAAGCTAACCTCCGTGGTCTTGCAGCTTGTCGACAGATCGGTCAAGCATCCACGGGGCATTCTTAAAGATGTCATAATCAAAGTGGACAAATTCTACTTCTCAGTAGACTTTGTGGTTCTTGACACGGAACCAATCCATGATCCAAAGAAGCATATCCCCGTGATCCTTGGTAGGCCATTCTTAGCTATGGCTAATGCTTCAATTAATTGCCGAACCGGGGTAATAGACATCACCTTTGGAAATATGCAAGTCAAACTCCACATTTTCCATACCACTCAACATCCTTCCGAAGAGGATGATTGTTTCCTTATTGATGTGGTCAATGAAGTGGTTGAAAAATCTCTCCCCTTTATTCTAAGCAAAGATCCTTTGGAAACTTGCATGTCTCATTTTGACCTCTCAAACTTTGATATTGATTAAGCCATCCAAGAAGTGAATTCGTTGCTCGACATAGGTGCTATCATGGACTTTCCCCCTTGGAAGATGCCAAAAGAACCACTTCCTCAGCTTTCCGCTACTCCTCCGGTCCAATCTTTGAAATCTCCAC